GTGTGGATACGCAGCCTAATGGACCATCGGAGAGAGGCACTAGCCTCCAGTATCTCTGCAAAATCGTCCAGCTGTAAGACACCCATTGTCAAAATAGTGTGGATATACAGCCCAAAAGACTATCGGAGAGAGGCACCAGCCTCCAGTATCTCTGCAAAATCGTCCAGCTGTGAGGCACCCATTGTCAAAAATGGTGTGGATATGCAGTTTGACAAAACCTCCCTCCCCCCAGTTCTCATTTCGCATTGCCCCTTTCTGCCAAAAAAAAAACCAATACAGAAAGCCAGGTCAATACACAAAACTTACAGAAGAGGGGAGAAGCCAGCCTCGCAGAGAATCAATACGTTGATACATTCGTGCGAAATTCGTTAAATCGTTTCGAAAAGTACAAATGTCATAAGACAAGTCAAGTCATCATTCATCATCAGTCAAAATCTTCATCGATGCTCCGCTTCGTCAATGAGCTGAGCCGGTCGTCAAATATCCCCAAAAGTTCATCGTTCCTCATTTTCCAAACGTGGCAACATCGCACTGCAATGGCATGCCTTTCCGTTCGAATCCTTCCCGTTTCCTGGTCATCATCTGTATCCATTTTCCTTCCCTTATGACCTCACGCCACCTTCATGATAAACCCTGGGTCCAATACTTTCTCTTACTCTCATCCTCCTTTCCTCCGCCTGTCTTTCCGCTGCTCTCTTTTTCTTCGCCGCTAATTTCTTTCCCAAAACCGAAAATCCCACGTACTCGATCCTCCTGCCACCAGTGAAAGGCACTTTGAAAATGATTCTTCTTTGCTGCTGGGGCGGGCCCGAGATCGAGAGTCGTCGTAGAAGCTCCTCCGAGTGCCGGTTCCGGAGGCTGGGCATGGAAGACGTCGACGAAGGCTGTCGATGGTGCTGGTCAGGGACCAAATCTGGCCGAAGGACCAAGCTCGGGTGTGAAGCATTCGCTCTTCGCTCCACGTAATGTCTTCTGTTATTCGAGCCGTGACGATCGATCCCCAAACTGTTCCCCATCAAGAAGCCACCTGATCCGCGAAAGCCCGGAAGACGTTTCGACATAGCGCGAGGAAGGAAGAACGCTGCACTCCTGCGCTTCTGCTGTTGCTCTTCGCCAACATCGCTCGTGTCGCCACCAGCGGGCAAAGGCTCGAAGTCCTCTTCGTCTTCAACATCACTGTCATCACTGTAGCCCTCCCAAAAGTCCCTCGGCTGCCAGAAGGAACTCAAGTACGTAGGTCTCTGCTGCACTTCAGCCTGCGGGATGCGGCGCGGAGGAGCAGACCTGCGGTAAGAGTTTTGGCGGCCGAACGGAACGGGTTGATTCAGGGCGTCACCAAGGCGACGAATGCGGTCTTTCAAGCTAAGAGAGCGTTGCAGGTTGGGTCGTGAGTTTTCCTTCCTGCGGACCTCTTCGCTGCCAAGTTCTCGCTCGAGCTCGTCAGCAGGCGTTGGAGGAATGAACTTTATGACAGGAGGTTCGGGTGCTGCGCGCGGATTCGTAAGTGGGCTGTCAACGCTATGCAGCGGCTTCCCGATTTCATCAGCGGGCGTAACAAAAGCTTTGAATCGCGGACTTTTGATGTGAGGTATTGGATTGCCGTCAATGTCGGAATCATCCTCATCAATCGGCGGGTAGTCCGGGATGCTGACATGCCGCGCAGTCTGGACCACAAGCAGGCTCTTGTTGTTGTGGGGAAAGAAGGTTACACCTTTGGCCTCGCATAGCTCAGCCTCTGACATGGCGGTACCTGAAGCTTGGCTCATAGGTGTGATGGTCGGGTGCAGTGATCGATAGTCCATGCTTTTCCGTCGCGGAGATTGTGTAGTATTGAAGCTGACTTCGGACGATTCAGGTCGATCTCGCCTCGTCATCCTCTCCGAGGTGCCCAGTCGAGGGCTTTGCTGTGTTTCTTCTTTGGACACATCGTTCATCGGTTGCTCTGCAATGGCAGGCTGCACAGGCTCTATGGGAGCGAGTGCCACCTCTGGCACGTGCCCGAGACTCGTTCGCCGCACTTCATTATTTCGATCCAACCGGTTTTCGGCGGACGATCGTCTTAGCCGTGGTGAAGGAGGAGCTGCTTCTGCCTCCGCAAGGAATGCATGAGTATTAACGCTCAGAGGCCGAGCCGAATCACTGACAGATCGAGGGGTGTGGTCGAGACTGCTGTGTCGAAGTGACCGTCTCAACTTGTGCGGGTTGCCCAGAACGCTAGCGGGTGCGACCTTCGGAGAACGATCTCGCATATTACTATACGAAAAGATCTTCTCGCCAGTTGATCTGCTCGCGCGGGGGATAGGATCAGCACTCTTGCCTTCTGTTCCTCTTGTTGACGGACGTCCATTCGAGAGGACATTCTCCTTCGCGCTAGCTACATCCTCGCTGTGTCCAAGGCTGCCCATTGCCCTCTTGTGGCGGAGGCGATGGCTGTCGGAGCTACTGATCAGACTGACATCGCCACGAAGGGAGTCTCGTTTCTGCGAGTGTCTCAGCTTGCGCTTGTTTTCCGCCGGCGCGACAACTCTCGCTGGGACACTACCATCAGAGATGGCGCTATGTCGCTTAGCATTTTCCTCTTGGATCATCTTGTACACCACATTGTTCTCTTCCAGACTCTTTTCCTTCTGTGCCGTGGAAGGAGGTGTGGGGATGGTGTTGGCGGGAGGACTTGGTGTAAATTCCTTCAGAGGCTTGACTTCCTCCTCGCGTGGTGTCAATATTTGTCGCTCCTCAGCTGGAATGGGCGGCAGCGCAGTCAATGGAGCAGGGTCTGCATTGTCCTCTTTGATCACATCTTCTAGACGCTGAAGAATGTCTTTTCCAGATTCTGGGGCTTCCGGTGCGGCGGGCTGGAACACGGGTTCTGCATTCCTGAGAAATTCTGAGTCCATTTCCCGGGGCGGCGGTGTTCTGGACATGCGCTCTGGCTTCTTCCATTTCTTGATAGACCCAGTGGATGCATAGATCAGAAAATCGTCGGGTCGCTTAATTTCGTCGCCAGGCTGGAATGGCCTGCGTAGTCGAGGAACGGCTGTCACAGCAAGCTTTTGACTGACGCTTCGAGTGACAGGGGACGATTTAGCATTGGAATCGGATGTGCTGCGCTCATCGCTAGCATCGTAAGTAACCGTCTTGTTGTCCTTCTCGCCCTCACTGCCATCTGATTCGAGGTGATAATTTTTGACGCGCGCGGCTTTGTCACTATCAGTGTCGTTCACCGCACGCTCTTCGTCCTGCATGGCCAACACCTGGTTCGATAAGCCCATTGCGCGGGCCATGTCCAGCCAGCTCTGCTTCGGGGTGCTCTCGACCCCAGCGGGAAGCATGGTCGCATGCGCACTGCTCGCCTGTGATGTGCGCCCTTCGGTAGCGGTCTGGAAAGACTCGGCGTAGGAGCTCTCATACTTGGCCATTGCTGGACGTGGTATCGTCAAGCCATCACCTCCGCGTGTTGGAGGAGACGGATCCGGTGTAGGCGGGCTGTTGCTCAGATTGACGGGCGTGCTAAGGCCCGACTTGTGTCTTTCCAACTCGTTCCTGACCCGATCTGCAAAGACAGGCGACGGGCTCAGCCTCCTTGGCGCGGAAATGGGATCGGCAAGCTCGCTGCTGGTCATGGTGGGCGGCGTGGGAGGGAAGTCGGAGTTGTTCCTGCTCAACGGCTTCGGAGGTGTGGTGGCCATGCTGTCGTTCGCATGATCGCTCTTCGCAGAATCGTCTGAGGGTATGTCCACGAAACTGCCAGGCATTGGACGTCGCTCTGCCCGAGTCGTGGTATGTTTCACACTGCCATCCGCGCTGCTCTTCCCTTCCGCAGTGGTGTGCACGCCGTCTGGGGGTGGCGGGTCCATAGTGGGAGGTTGCTATCGAAAACGGTGGGACATGTGTTCGTGGCAGGAGGTTTTTCGTCCAGGAAGAATTACGGTTAGTGTTTGCGGAGAGTTTAGGGTGGGACTTCTGGTTGTTCCGAGTCAAGAGTAAGGTCTGCGCGAGAAGAAAGGTTCGGTAGTCGTTACAAGCTGGGTCGTGGGCAATCGTGTCTGAGAGTCTGTACAGATGGGTGTATATCGTTACATATGCATCGGCTGGTGTCTGTCGTGGCACAATGGCTGGCGAGAGCCGAGTGAGGACTGCGAGTCGGTGGAGGTCGTCGATGGGAACGGGCAGTGGTGCGCGTGTGAAGCAGCGCGCAGGAGAAATGTGAGCGGGGATCTGGGATGTTGGCGCTGGTGGTGGTCGTGGTCGGCCGTGCAGGCCGGGCTGGGAAGCGTAGTCGTGTGCAAAGAGTGTCGCTGTCGGTCCGTGGCCGCGCGCGGTGGGCAGTTGGAAGGGGTGAAACGGCGTGGACGCGATGGTCGAGGTGGTGGTGGTGGTTGTGGTGAGACGGCGCGCGCCCGACCGCTCGAGGCGCAATGATGGCACCAGCACGACGCCAGCCCGTGTCTGCTCGCTCGCAGCAAGTCGCTCGTTCTCTGAAGACCGCTGACGTCGCCGGTCACGTGGAGCGAATCTTCATTTCATTTCCCGTCCCTCAGCCCTTTCATCATCACGAGTGTAGGAGATATACAACACGAGACGGGAGGCTGCGAATTTTCAGCGTGGTCTGGCAAAGCATCGGCGCCGGCGACGACGACGACGATACGACGAGGCCCGAGTGACTTATTATGCAGTACGCTGCCTGCACTGCACGAATCCTTGGCCGCCGCAGCCTCGTCGTGCGTCGGCCCAATGATAATCCCAAGAAGTCCAATCCACTGCAGCAATAGCTGCATTTCCGCCTGCAAAACGCATGCATTGCCCCCCATTCTGCCTGCTTTCTGACTGCCATCGCTTCGGACCAAAGGCCAGAGTCGGCTTCGAAATTTCTCAAAACATGCCGTGCGTCCCCTGCCGTACCACCAAATGTCGTCGTCCACCGCATCTCCCGGCATGAGCCTGAGCGGAGTCGGACCTCCTTCGAGTAGTCTTCCAGAATCTACCCACCGCGCCACTACGTACCTCCCTCGCACACGAGCTTACGGGCGGACCTTCTTCCGGCCGCGTATCCTGTGTACTGTATCGCCCCGACAAGCGACCTTGCGAAATGACGGGCGGGGAGTTGGCAGCGATGGAGCCAGTTCAACTTCGACCATGTTCCAAGTTCGCATAACAATCTCGTCGTCATCATTTCCCTCAGCATTTGCCGCAAACTGGAAACTGCTTGTTTGTCTGCAACATGTCGTGGGACTGCGATTGACTAATGGCACAGTAATGGTACCTGACGTGGCGTCGTCATCCTCACCTGAGCCCGCCTGGTTCGCGGGTGATGGTTGAATGGTTCTGCATTCAATGCTGTGCGAACTGCTCCTGCATAATCGATGCAGGCAACCTTTGCTCACCGCTCTGTTGGTACTCTGGTCATGCTCGGTCGCCGCCAATTCAGTGATTTAGCACAAGGACTCGAATGATGATCTCAGTCCACTCCTTTTATGCGACTGTTCTTCGGAAAGTTGAAGATTTTACACATTGAGCAATCTTTCGTGCACACTATGCAAGACAAGCTCTAGATTCCATCGACGCAGCAATGTAATCTTACAACTGCATTCACCTTTTCCTTTTCCACAATCATCCTGAGCCATATCTAGGCGCCTCTTAAACGCCTTACGCTGATGCTGTCCGAAAGTCATGTACACTCGTCGCTATTCGTTGAGCTTTCCGCCTCATGCTCAATTCTCATCTTCTTCTCCTAACCTCCCTTATGCCAGATTATCGCTCCTGTCGACCCAAACATCCTCCAGCTCAGCGAAATTCTGGAAATGGATGGGTCGATGCACATCATCGTAAAATCGTCGCGGGATGCCGACTTGCACAAACACGCGGCCCTTCTCGCGATCACCAAAGCCAGATCCCAAGAAAGACCAATTCCATCTCTCATCCTCCGGCACCAAGAAATATCCTCGGATCTTGTCCGACAGAAGAAGTTGAGATTTCTCGCCGAAAGCAGTAGAGAATCCGGCAGGCTGGTCGGATGACAGGTCCTTGTTCTCTGCGCCCCACTGGTAGCCTTGAGGCGTCAGAGACCATGCAGAAAGAGAGACCGAGCCAGGTGTGAAGTTCACAGTCATGGTCACAGTCTTGCGATCCCATGATGGGTGAGCCGCCATCAATTTGGCGTGTTGAGTGACATCCTGTGCCGTCATGTAGTTGGTCTCGTTGCCTGCCGAGGTGTGGATGACACCCAGTGGCTCGAGACCTTGCAGCATCTCGTTTTCCGGCAGGTTGCGTGGGAGCTGGATGTCGCGCGTTGAGCCAACTTGAGGAACCATTACGATCGTCTTGATTTCCTTGACTTGCTTGTTGTCTGGCGGAGAGACACCGTAAAGGTAGCCAGCGACCTGCACACGAAGATCTGCAACGGCAATGAAGCGCTTCAGGATGTTCTTTGGCATGACGTAGGTGAAGTGGTGTTCATCGTCGCGAATGTCTTCAGAGGAAATGTAGATGTTGTTGGCACGTGTCCGCAGGTTCGATGTGGCGATGGCTCGCGTCCGCCACTCGGTCTTGGATGCAAAGGACTGCTGCTCGTATGCCGACGTTGTAGTAACAATCATCTCCTCGCCAGCCACGTTCTGCGTCTTGGTAGTGACAGCGGTGAGTTGAGCTTGATCCTGTTGCTGCTGCTCGATCTCTGCGGCCTGTTGACGTTGCATACTTGGTGCGGAAATTTCCATACCAAGGATGATGTCTCGAATTTCGCTATTGGTGAGCGAAGAGGTGTTGACGTTATTCTTCTTGCCGTAGTCATTCAAGATGAGGTCACGCAATTGCACTTCGACCTTGACCCAGTCATCGTCGGAAAGCGAGGGCCAGATGTGGTGTTCCTGCGTGATGACAGTCTTGTCGGGTCGCAGCAGCAGCTTTGTCTTATCCTGGTTGACGTGCAGTGCACGCAATATCAGGACCAGACGGGAGAACGCGGTATACGAAGAGATGCTCTTCAGCCATTCATCGTAGAGATTGAACAGCACCATCTGCGGCTCAGTGGCACGCAGAATCATGTCTCCTAGCTTCTCGACCTTCATGGCAGCCTGGAAAGGAAGTTGAAGCTCTGATGCACGAATGCTGATATTCGGGAAATCGAGCAAGTGCACTTCGAGGGGGTCGAGGAGACCCTTTCGCGTGACAATGAGCTGCTTGGGCTGTTCTTCCACTGGCAAAGATCGAATAAGTGCAGCCACTTCTTCGGCCGTCTTCCACTTGGCGAGCTGACCAAGGCGCTTCTGACCAGCCCAGACACTGGTGTGAATGATCTTCAAGAACAGTTGACCAGTTCGAGGATTGAAGATGAAGATAGCACCGTTGATCGGCTTGGTTGTCAAGTTGCCTTCAAACGTCTTGTGGATCGTAACACGGTAGACATTGGTGTCGTCGATGAAGAGCTGGATCTGGTTGCTGAACAGCTCTGAGTAGTTCTGAGAGTTGAGGAACTCCTGGTTACTCTCAGATGCGTACAGCTGCAAACCCTTTCGAATACGCTCGCGGAGCACGTACAGCGCTGGATTGGCCTTCATGATCTTGGCCATGGCTTGTTGTACCAGCTGCTTGAGACCAGGGAAGTACTGCCCGTAAGCAGAGTACAAATTGTATGCCAGATCAATGCCGATCATCAAGCCGGTAGCCGATGGGTAAATCGACATGCTATCAGTCGTGTAGTCCAGATACTTGGCACGGACGTATCTCTCGATATCGTGTGAATCGTAGTCTCCATATCTGAGCTGCACATCGATCCAGAACTTGTTCGTAGTCGTTAGGCCCATGTTGTCCTTGGTGTCGTACAACAAGCTCGGCTGGCTGACACTCCACTTGTGAGACGCAAAGAGGAGGATATCAGCGCAGGAAGAGTTCATCTTGTAGGACTTTCGCGGATGGATAGTCTCCTTCTGCACAGTCTCGATGCCCAAAGCCTCGAGTTCCTGGTCGAAGACTTGGCACAGGTCCATGACAACGGACTCGTGGATCTTCTGCCACAAGTGGGCCCGGAAGATCTGGATGAGCGAGATCTTGAGTGTTGGAATCTTTCCGTGCAAGAAGATACCCGTGAGATCCAATTGGACTTGGAAACCGACGTAGACATTGGCACGATTGATGGTAGGCGACCACCAGAGCGTGAAACGACGGTTTGGAATCTGGTTGAGACCGGATCGTTGAGCGTTCGTGAGCTTCTTGTACTTCATCGATTCCTCGAACCCGGAGGCTTTCTCCTGCGAAGCTGTTAGCACGGAGACACTGAAGATGCGAATGTGCGTGAAATCGAAGGCAGGCGGTGCTTGGAAGGAGTGCGATAGCAGAATTGATCGCAGGATCGACGAAACTGATGAGCTGCATGAAGGAAGTTGATTTGCTTACCCAGAACAAGCCCTCCCAACTTGGAAAAGCTGTAGCTTTGAATAACTGCGGGAAATGTTAGCATGAATAGCCAGTACAGGTCAGAGTCAGGAACATGACATACCGTGTGTTCCAGAATGGTCTCAACACCTCCCAGCGCTTGGATGACATCCGTCCGGTAGGCATTGAGATTCCAAAGTTTTCCGTCATGCCTCTGGCTAGTCCACCAGAAGGGATTGCTCTTCATGTGTTGATAGATCTTGAACTCCGTCCGGGCTCTGAAACCCTTGTCAAATGACAAAGTACTTCGGTCTTTTTGGAAAAGTGTGTTGATACGGGGCAGACCACGATCCCAGGAGTCTTCCAGGTCCTCCAATGTCAGACGTCGGTTCTGTTGGTTAGCTTCAAGTCTCTTCTGCGAATATTCGGTCCATACGCGTTGCGAGTCGATGAATTCGGCCTCCCATGGGATAATGTAACGGAAGATGTTGGGGATGAGGGTCTCTTCATCGTGGCTCATGCCTGCGCGGAAATGGCTGACACCACTATCGGTCTGCTTGGACCAGCGCTTGTCCGAGGCTGGGATGAGAATGTGTGAACCAGAGATCATACCAAGACCACCCAATTCCTTGGGAGTGTAGAAGACGGCTGGTGGGAAACGCGAGGGCATTTTGGAATTGAGACCAATCTTGACACGAGTTTGAATCTTGGTCTCGCACTTCACAATTGTGTCAAGCAGCTCAACCGTGCTCACTGCGGCTTCACGATAGTACGTGAACAGTGCAATGAGGGTCGTGTTCCACTTGTTGGCGATCTTGGTGAAAGTCGTGCTGCCAGAGCTCATCAAGATCTGACGAATCCTGTTGTTGAACTTGGCGATATCCTCGGCAGTGACCTGAAGGAAGGCATGGGCGGTGCGTTCCTTGGTAGCATTGTCAACAAGCGCCCAGACGGAGTCTTTGGTTGGGAACTCGTCGTTCTGGTTGCGAATCTTTGGCAGAATGCGGACCTCGAAGCCGTTCATGGCGAACAACAAATTCGGGTTGTCCCTGCTGTACACACTGGCGAACGTGTCGTCCCACTCGATAGTGGTGATAGAACGTGGCAAGCGGTTCTTCATATCCCAGAAAACAGCACGTCCCAAGTTGACATCGTGTCGCATCAAGCGCATACGTGAGTCCCTAGGCCAGCACTTCTTGTTCTTGTATCCAATGACATTCTCGAAGTTTGGATCTGGTTGCTCGGTGAGGAAGCGTTGTATCAGATCACGCGACTCGTCAGCGGTGAAGCGGAAGAAGATCCAGATCTTGTCAATGTAGCGTGTGTAGAGTCGGATGGGGTGACGACTCTCCGTGGCTCTGTCCCGGAATTGGAGAAAGTCGTTCGGCGCATTTGGTGGACCAGCCATTTCCGATGCACGCTGCAAGCCAAGCAACAACAGATCGATGATCAAGCCGTAATACTGGAAGACAAAGGCGCTGAACTGAAGTCCTCGAATCATACCATAGCTGTTGGTGTGATTCATGTCCTTATAGTTCAGCTGAACGTTGTTCTTGGAGGAGATATAGTCAGCCAAGTTGTGGTCCATAATCAGTCGCAGCAGTCTGTTGAGAAGCGTGATGTCGATCTTCTCATACACTTTGTCCAGCCTCGTTTCGAGCATGACGTTGCACTCGCCTTCGTCGACACTCCAGACGTTCGACAAATTGTTAATGCCCTGCGCCCATTTATAGGTGAGGAGTGGGGGCACTTCAGAGTCAGAGGGCTTGATCCACGCTGGGAACAAGCGTCGCTGATCTGCTTGGTACCAGAGGTACTGATCAAGATAGGCATCTGTGATCTTCTCGATGGGTTCGATATCGTAGACTGGGTTGATCGAGCTGTAATTGTCGTTCATGTCAATACCAACTTCCTTGAATGAGCGCTGCGTCAGCAGGAAGCGCTTAATGCGCGCCAAAGTCGTGCCAGGGCTGTCATATGCTTGCTCGATGAGTGCAAGCTCCTCGCGCTGACTCTGGTTCAGTCTACCCTTGACCGAGTAGGCTTCTCGTAGACGCTCGAGAGCCAGAATCAAAATCTTGGTGTCATGCTTGTAGCTGACCGATGGGAATGGAATAGGCTGGAATTTCCTGCTCTCCAGCCAGTGCACCGCAGTCGTGAAAATGGCGACACCCTCTTCGGTGCTGACATAGGGACCGTCTTTGAGATAGTTGTGCTGACGTTCCTGCTCAGCCTTCAACCACAGACGAGTGAGACGACCAAGATTCTTCTTAGCCACGGTCTTGTCCACGGTTGCACCACGTCGGATGCGCTCACGGTTGTAGTGTGCGACGGATACCCACCAGTCCGCCTTTGACTTGACGTATCGCAGAATGACATCTTCAATCGGCTTAGGCAGACCGGGCACCTTCCAAGGAATATTTGACTTCCAGCATCTCCATGCCTCCGACAAGTGCTGCAAAACTGTGTTGACCTTACTCTGCTTGATACCTTCCGGCATCATGTCCATCAAGTCGGCCATGACAGATGCGCGGAGTTCGAGATCGAAGTGCGACTCAACACGTTGCTTGGTGACTGTCTTTGCCACACCTTTCGAGTGACGACCCTCGAACTGTCTGCTAAGCAAGTTGCCGAGCCATCGCTCCAGTAGAGGGATGATACCACGCAAGAAGAACAGCCACACTCTCCACGCAGGAGCCCAGAAACCGCAGCCAGGCCCCTTGCCAACTGGTCCACTGTTGAATCGATAGTAGATCAAGTGTTTCAAGTCCTTGCACGATCGAATCTGGTGCATAAGCTTATACTTATATCGATACATACCAGTGAGTTGGCCGACGTGGTTGAAGGCGTAGAGTATGCCATCTGCCAGCTGGAAGGCGTCGATGTTGCCAAGACGGTATTGCACTTGAGCATCAACGATAAGCTTCGTCAATCGAAGGATCTCACGCATCAAGTGGAAAGCATTTCCGAAACGCGATTTCTTTCGCTCTTTCGTTGTCAAAGTCTTGATAGGCTTCAGGTTGAAGTTGTAGTCCAGGTGGAGATAGGTCAAGTTCTTGCGGTGGATGAGCAAGTTCAGCATGTTGAAACCTTGTCGGCAGACCTGAAGACCGGCCTCTACCCAGTCGATGGTGGTCTGCTGGAAGAATTTCGTTCTCTTCAGGTTGCGCCCAAGCAATTGCTTGTTCTGCGCCTTGGGTGGTTTCTTGTGCAGCTCGTTCAGGACATATGTCTTCAGCAACTTCTGATAGGACACTCTGACCTTGACAGGCTGACCAGCTGGAACGTGCTCCAGATACCACTGCTTGACCAGCGGCACATCTTGAGCTCGCACCATCTTGCCTGACCGCCTGTCGAATGGATATGGCGCCCACCACAACGCGATAGCTGCCGCAGTATCGTCGTTGTACAGATCTTCATCCTCGAGGAATGGTTCGACACCTTCTGGCATGACAAAGCCGCCGTCTTCCTCGTCCGGCTCTTCGTTGTTCCCTTGCCCAAAGATCTCGTCTTCGTGGCTGATTGTCAGGTTCTTCGGCATCACTTGCCTTGAAGAAATAGGATTTATGACTGGGTCGAAGTAGAAAGGCGGTAGATTTGGGTCCTCGGTCTTGACGTAAACTGTCTGCGGGTAGCTGTAGACCCCGAGCTTGACAGATCTAGGCAAGCTGTTGTACAGATATGGGAAGGCGACACGGTACTCAGTTCGGATGGGAGCACGGAAGATGATTCGATCGATCGCGTTGAATTCGCCAAAGTCTTCGTCGTTCGGGTCGATATCCTTGTAAAGAGGTTCGAATCGTGGTCCTCCAGGAATCGCCACATTCAGCGCCTTTGCGGTCGCAAATGCTGGCATATCGAAGAGGTGGAAATAATTCTTGTCGTTGATGTCCGACAGCAGCGGGTCACTCAATCGATGCAGCGTGGCCATCTGCGGTAATGACAGGTTCCACTCTTTGTAACTCGGTCCATTGACATGGCTAGTGTCAGAAAGCGGGCGATGATCGTAGAACCACTCGAACACAGGTTCGTCCTCGTTCTCGTCCAGCTCCATTTGTATTGGCTCCAAAGGCTCGACGTCCTCGATGTTCTCGCTCCAAGAAAGCGGTGGTTCCTCGTCGTCAAAAGGCGGGAATCGCATACGCTTGAAATGCCGTCGATCGCTCTTTTCTCGTCGCATGACCACCCACATCGTCGCCCACTGAGCGTGAAACACTGGCTCGATGACTCTCGGAATCTCGTTGACTAATGTCAAACATCCATTGACGTGGTACAGGACCTTTACATCCCGACTGCTCTCCCATGGCATAGGCATATTTTCCAACAGCTTCAGAACAGCATGTGGCATGAACTTCAGCGCTCCAAGATAACTTCTCTTGTCTGCGCTGAATTTCTTTTGCGACACATCTCCAATGTCTTTGACGATCTTTCGCAAGTGCTCTGGAGGCATGTCCGCTTTCTGTGTTTCCACAAAGCCACCCCGTCGCTTCTCTGCAAAACGCTGCCTCTGTTGTCGTAGCCATTTCTGCTTCTTCTGCTGCAGCTTCTCCGCATGAGGGTCCTTGGGCGGCGCAAACCCAGGTGGCGGAGGGGGAATACCGTTCGCTGAGAGTCCCGGCGGCGCTCCTGGAGGCGGTGGAGGTGCCCATCCCGGCGGTGGAGGGATGCCAGCCATGTCGATGATGCTATCGAGATGTCGTGCAAAGATGTTCGTTGCTGCGGCTTCTGGCGCCGAGCTCGCCTTTGGTCAGATGCTGTCCTGCTATGCCACGACGCGATTCCTCCAAGTCCACGCGATCTTCGAGTCAAAGGAGATGAAACCGGGACGCGCTGTGGCCTGCGCGATTGTGGTGGTGGACAGCGAGGTGGCGTTCGTGTCGTTCACGTCGCGCTGCCGCAGTTTTTCGAGATGCAGGATGCGATGCGCGATTCATGAAGCGGGCTGTTCCGGCTGCATTGATTGGTCCGCTCTGTTTTGAGCCTCCACCTCAGCGATTCGGTCTTGGCACCCTTCGAAATCTTGCGCACAAGTCCTCCGCCCGTGAAGCGCACCGCAAGTCGACAACACTCCGCCGAACACTCATCCACCCAGCGATCCCCGACTTCGACAATCACAATGGGCTCCAACAGACTCACCTTCGTACGTGCGATTCGAATACCGACGATGCTGCGGCAGTGGCAGGAGTTGTGAGGGAATGTGTTTGGGCTAATTGGATATGTTGAACAGCGCCGCCGGGTGTCTTACAACACCAAAAGCAACAAGACCCGCATCATCAGAACTCCTGGTGGCGAGCTCCGCTACTTGCACATCAAGAAGCGAGGAACTGCACCCAAGTGTGGTGACTGTGGCATCAAGCTTGCAGGTGTAGGTCTATCCTGGTCTACCCATCTCGAACGAGCCAGCACGACGTGAAGGAGGACGAATATGCACAGGATTCAATGGGAAACTTGAGAAAGACGGGTCAGAGGACTGACGGAGGTGAATTACAGGTCCCAGCGCTCCGTCCACGCGAATACGCCCAAATCTCCCACCCAAAGAAGACCGTCCAGCGCGCATACGGTGGCTCGCGCTGCGCCAACTGCGTGAAGGACCGCGTCACTCGCGCTTTCTTGATCGAGGAGCAAAAGATTGTCAAGAAGGTCATGAAGGAGGCTGAGAAGAAGCAGGCCCGCCGATAGACGTCTCAGCTTTGATGCTCGGTAGGGAAGGAGGTGTATGGCGTAGAGGCAGGAATGGATGCATTGACACGACCACATCGCATGCATGGCCAGCTCACATTTGAAGAAGCTGGGCCATCAAAATGGATGGGAGCACATGACACGACGCTGCCTGGGCTGACACGCCCACTTGCGTATCCAATGCGCTATACTTGAGCTGCTGAATGAAATCCGTTCGGTCAAAATGAAACAACGCTGTCGCCCCCAAATCAACGCACCCATCACTAGTCCCGTTTGCGGATGCTCACTTCCAGCAGATTCATTATTATGATGTTCACAACTCTTGTCGATAGAGGTCGAGACAAAGTATACACACTGACGACAGGTCCTTCTCAGCATTGCGGTATTCGACGCCTCCATGGCTACTTCCGTTGTCGAAAGCACGGCAACCGCAATGCTGTACCCATCACCCAGGCAATATGTCAACATGCACTTTGCAGTGCAGCGGCTGCCTCTCCTCTCCACAACTTCCGCTCGTTACTGCAAATGGACCACAACCAGAACTGCACAGGCAGGAACCCACTGCGCCACGTCAACAACGCCCTCCTCGCGTTGTCCTCCATTTTCTCCTTTCTCCGTGTTCTACCAAATCCAACTACAGCGACAGTATCAAGAGCCAATCATTTACCAACGCTGCAGCAATTACATCCGCTACTGGCATATCCTCAAGATCAGCATTATTGCAGCGCGGCCTCGACAGCTTGAATCCTCACCCGAGTCACGAAGGAGTTGTCTCACCACCACAATACTGCACGCTTTGAATCTCGACTCACTTTGAAGCTCGAGGTGAGTCTCATGGATGTGATCGTGTGCTGGACTGAACTGACCACATTTTGAGCGAGCCAGCATGGGTCTACAAAAGTGCCAACGTACTCGTCACCGTCGAGAGAAACTGCCTCGGGAGAGTCGCCATGGTCCGCAGCGCCCCCGAGGAGTGAAACGCTCCAACGAAACGTGCGGACAGAGACCGACCCGACGCCCTCGCCGACGTCCGCAGCCATACTACACATCCTTCGGCAACATGTTTGACGAGCCAGAGGGCTGGATGCATCACACCTATTGTTGCGAACGTAAGTTGTGCTTCTGCAGGAAACGTGCAAGGCGAAGTTCGAAACAGCTGACACCGGTTTGTGTACTCAGTGCCATCGAGCGGCATGCCATGGACCGAAGTCATTGCGTACCCAGTCCGCGGGTCGACTTCCAAGACCGAGGCCTTCAGCCACGATGGCACAATTCCATATAGAGTCTGGCGGATGCGTGCAAACGTTCCCCTGGACTGGGCTGAAGCCGAGGAAGGATATACATGCAGATCAACGGCACGACTCATTCAAGAGAACTAGTACCTCTCCAATGTGGAGGAGTAGTGGGTCAACGCTTGCCCGCTGCACATGAGAGAGCATTGATGGGCAGAAACTGAGGTGATGCTGGGTGCAAGAGAAGCCATTCGGACGACTGCTCAATCGGCAGCAGAGGCAACATTTCGCGACTGCAGACGATGACGAAGGCAACAGAAGATTGTGAAGTGCATATTCCACATTCCCCATCTGTTCCATTGCAGCCATGTCTCTGGTCGATACTGACAACAGGAACCGCGGACGAACATTTGCTGTTCCGTCGTCGAAGCCTTGCAGCAAGACCATGTATGGTCCCGAATGATCAGTTCCAAGCCATTCGTGGTCATATTCGAAGCCGGACAGTGTCTCGTACCCTCTGCTTCTGCCCAGCACCGGGGACCTTTGGGACTGGACATGCTTGTGGCCACTCCATCAAGGTCAGCCCAAATATCCGTGCTAGTTCAACCTCACGTCCTCTCTGACTCGGCACGCTCCTCCAGAACGTGATGTCAGATCCCCAACTTCTCGCTCGCCATCCTCGCCCCCTCGACTCTATTCTTGATCTTCTGAACCGCAATCTCTCTCGCATAATCAGGTCCCTTGACAAAATTCGGCTTCGGATCAATCGAAAAAGGTGAAAAACCGCAATCATCTGTCGCACCCAACTGATCCTTCGGAATCCACTTCGCAGCTTCGACCAATTCCGCACAAATTTCCTCTGGAGTTTCAACCCTCGGATTTTGGGGGCTCGTCACTCCGACGAACGCTATTTGCTTCACAGCATCGGCGTCTTGCCGAATATGCTGTCCAATCTGTTTGTACACGGAGATCTTGTCCTTTTCGGAACAGAGCTGTATGAGGAAGTAGCCTGCATTGATTTGGAAGAGTGAAGGAAGGAGGGTATGGTAAGGAACTTCGGCGGAATGGGCGCTATCGCAGTCACCGCCAGGACAAGTGTGGAGGCCGATGTGCTGGCGCTCAGCTGGGCTGAAACGGGCCAGGACACGGTTGTTGAGGTCGACGAAGGTTTGAAGGAGGTTCTCATTTGTCCAAGGATTCCGTGGGTCATTCTTGGCTGTAAGGCCTGAAGGGAGAGAAGACGAGGTCAGTACCAATGTTGAAAAGCAGACAAGTGAGAGAGTGAGACTTACGGCCTTCAGTGAAGTCAATCGAAACGCGTTTTGCTCCGGCTTCGAAACAACCGCGAATGTCTTTCCCGCATTCATTGACGAGGTCATCCAAGAATCGCTCTCTTGGGTATCCCTCGACCTCTTCTTTCAGCGGATACAAGAGATACATCATGCTGGGAGAGACTACTGCCGTCTTCCTTGCCTTGCCTTGGGCGAATGGTGCCGACTTCTTGAAGTTGTCGTACGCGTAGGTCTTGTACCTGAAAGGTCCTCGGGCGAGACGAGGCAGCTGGCGACAATGACCATCGTCGAAGAAGGCCACAGTCTGACCACCACCCGCGAGGCCTGAGATCGCAAGTCAGTGTCGAGGGACGAGACATGCATCATTGCTCGCTACGAACCATCTGCCAACCCTGTGCCGCCGAGAGTATCAGTGATCGGATATGTGGCGAACGAACTGGCACGTTGCTCGCCATCAGTGATCAATGCCTCCCCGGTCTCAGCCATGCGTATGAGTGAGTCTTGTACAGCTGCATCTTGGGTCTTCTCAAATTCTTCCTGGGAAATCTTGCCTGCGTCGTAATCGGCGTACGCTCGCTGCAATTTCTGAGGACGCGGCAAACTGCCAACTACTTCTGTCGGGATAGGCATGACTGGCAGTTGGCTGCAAAAGTTGGTTAGAGACCAGAGCAATGGACGACCTTGATGGACTGCTTTTTGCAACACCAGAACTCTCAACTTCAGGCCTTTCGAATGATGGCGCGCGGGGACTCATCAGGCAGCGAGACCCGGATGCCTCTCGTCCTGGCCATCTTACAAACCATCACGGTGCTCTTCTAAGTTGCGGATATGCTTGGGGCTTCGTTCAATTTTGCTTCCGGCGACAAGAAGAATTGGTCAAGTTCGAGAACGTTTGGAGAGAAGCCGCTGTTCTGCCGACGCCGAAGCCAACTTGACGTCTCTTTTGCCGACAACATTGTTCTTCCTCATTCAACGCTAATTTGGAATCGATCATATTCGCAACGCTGAACGTCAGGACGAGTACGAGCACGACTCACGTTGAACTCAGATCTCATCGACTTCGATCGCGGAGCTGGAAGGTCTCTGAAGTGAAAGGATGGAAGAGAATACCGGGCAACACCTTGAAATAACAGAAAACCGCGATGATCCTGTATTTTCCTCGCTCTCGTTGTGACTACACCATCTCCTCCCGGATCTAGATGGCATACATTCCTACTACATCGACCGTCGTCGTCGAGACTCGCTTTCACGTTGGACGAGTATCTAGTCCTGCTCCGGTCCCCTTCGATTTCCGGACACTTATGGCAGCGTTCGAGCTGGAGCCCGGTAGGAATATGCGAAACTCGGGGTACCTATCGACGACCAGGTCCGCAGCTATGGCCTCGGCGGTATTCGTGGCGGTACTCGTGGTGTGGTCGTCCTCCAGGTTGGTAGCTTGCACGACCGTAATAGCTTCCGTACATTCTTCTCCCGCCAAGGTAAGGTCTTGCATATCCGCCGCAATGCGGTCTGTAGTAGCTGCGATGATAGAATGGCAGGCACATTGCTGTGCGTACGACTGATGCTGCTGGTATGCTTCTGTCTGGATTGAGAAACAGCTCGCTTCGGTAAAGTCTGTCACTCTTCGGAAGAACGATGCTGGACGATTGTACTTCTGAGGCGTTTCGAGGAAAGAAGAATGGCGATGGATCTCTCAAGTGATATCAATTATCTTTAACCCAAGAAAAATGGGCTAAGGGTGAGCACTTATGACTCCCTTGGTGCCTGAGCAACCTTGCCGTCGACAAGTAGCATGCTCCTCTTCCAGTTCCAGACTTCTATCGCCTTACCAGACAGTGGAGAACTTGGATTGAGTAACTGGACACAGCCACATACGCGGCCGATAGGTGGTCAAGGGTGATCTTGGTGTCGTCCCCGTGCAGCAGCGTGCGCCGTGCACAACATTTCTGTTCTTCTCAAGATGATCAACACTGCGGTCGATCTCGAATGCAGGCAATGGAGGCCACGATCACGGGATGGAGAACTGGAATCTTGCTGAGTTCGATGGAGCAGAAATTGCTGCCTGGTTGTCGTTGCCAAATGAGCTCGAATCGTGCAAGGTAAACCCTGTCTGAAGGCCACTGTTGGATCAGTCTTCGAACGAAGACGCATCGCATGACCAAGTTGATGGCTTGCAACCTTTTCGATAGTTCGCAGTAGTAGATCTGGAATAGTTTCTTTCATTCAGTCACATCCTCATCGTACAAATAAATCCTCCCAATGCCGTGCTGATCAATTGCTAAAAGTACACTTTGGAAATTTTCCCCAGGCGCCTTCACTCTCTCGTGACTCTTCTCTTCAGTAGTCTTACAGGTCCGTATCGTGACATCGTTGTTCGTCGTGATGGATTTGAACTCTTGTCCAGGACTTTGCTGTTGATTGGCGATTGTTTAGCAGCGACGGCCGCCGCCGAAACGCGATCGAGGTGGGCATGCTGCGCGTCCTCGTCCCCCACCGAACCCTCCCATCATCCCTCGACCTCCTCCCATCATTCCTCTTCCGCCTCCCATCATTCCTCCGCCTCCCATGCGGGGGCTGCCATAGCGTGGCTTCTCCACGACGACTGTTTGTGTGCGTCGACGACGGAATGGAAGACACATGATTGATTTTTGAGTGTAGATTTGTGGTTGTGTTGTGAGTGTTGTTTGTGGGCGATAATATTGTAATTCTTGTTCGATATGGAGGCGATTGCTTTGTTGTTGATGATGTGCAATACTTACTTTTCTCGCAGTGTTATATACGCTCTCGTTCACTGCTCTCACCTACCTGTCTATGTCATATGCCATGATTGTTGTTCAAGAACATTCTTGGATTTCTTGACAGCGAGCCTGGACCGATGTCATTTGATCTCAGAGTGGCGAATGCTTGTTGGCATTTCTTGCGTTCAGACTGGCCAGCTCAACGACGCCAAGAGAAGAGCTGCAAGAGTGCGCGAGGGAAAGCTTGGAGTACACGTGGACTGCGCCGCGGAGGTTATCGTTAAGCATACAACTTGTGTTGAGTCCGCGGAGAGGTGAGATAGGCGACTGAATGACCAAGAAGTTATCCTCGAAAATGTCTTTGCCGACGTCAGAAATGGCAAGATTGAACGACGAGAAAAGGGCATGGCCAGAGGTACTCAGCGCTACAGTGGCCGTTGCTCACACTCTTCCACTGGACAGACCGACGTCTTGCGGGGTGATGTTCATCGTTTGTGGTCGACTGCGTCTTCGTCGGCGGGGATTCTGGTCGCTGCCTAGAGATGGTGTATACAGACCGGACATCGCTTCATGGCATTCGTGACGACATTCTAGACCCCTCTGCACGTTTCAGCCCCATTTCCCCAGAGCTCGGCTGAAGTCAATTCTTGGTATGGCTCCACTAGCGCGGTGGCGGGCAACCATCACGACATTATTTCGTGTGGCACCTGCACGCAATAGGCTCGCTACCGAGCGATCTGTCAGGCACACGACAGCCGAAAGTGTCACGCTGTCAGTGTCGTCACTGTGCGGTGAGTCGTGGTGTTCGTGAGGAGGTGTCGTGGGTGCAAGACAAGTCGTACTCAACTACAACGAGACTGCTGCACATCAGCGACCACTGAAAGCTCCTTACGAAGATCCACGCTACAGTATACTTGACCCACTGCAAATTACTAGCGCCTGTTGTGCCTTGAAATCCTGTATCAAGGCAAAGTCAGCTCGATCCTTCCATTCGATCCTCCACCAATGCCTTTCGACCCTGCGATCGCCGGCATCTGTGCGACGGGCGTGACGAAGCTGGTCGACACTGCCATCGGGGAGAAATGCATTCACCACGCCCACAAGATTGCAGATCCTCGCGAGAAGAGAGATTGCTCAGGAAGTCGGTCTCGAGATCGTGCGTCAAGTTCTGCCAGCGATAGGAAGAGCGAGGAGGACTGGTCCAGGAAATCGTACTTGCGAAGTAGTCGACATCAGCAGAAGGCCGCGCCGGGATCTAGACGCCAGTACGAAGAGGAACCGCAAGACCATTGGTCGAGGAAGACGTATTTTCGGCGGAAGAAACACCAACAGCAACATCAGCGACGCGGTTCCTCGCCTGAGGCGCAGTATGAACCACCTGCTCCGCCATTGTCGAAGGAAGAACGACGAGCGGCCGAGGCGTGGGAGCAGCGATGCGACACATTTCGAGACGCGAAGAACCGCTATGTGCCGACGGCGCCTCACCCTGCGGCTCCGGTCATGTCGTGGGACGAGGAGCGAGTGTATTCTGATGTCGAGCGTGCTGTCAGAGAAGCGACGAAGAGGGCGTCACTGGAGCAAACCCGACTGCGGTGATAGAATTGTTGTTGGGATGAGACTAATTCCCATACCGCCTCAGTACTTCTCAGCACTCTCGAATCAAGCATTCTCTTGGGTCCCATCTTGGCGGCCTATCTTCCATATACTTTCCCTCGCACAGCTCGTACCTTCTTGATCTGCTTATAGCTTCTGCTTCATCACCAGCGACAGACCAGACTTTCATGTGGTCAACAGGGAATTCAGCTTCAATGCTACGACGACGCGGTTTTCCTCCCTGACTGTCGTCGATCCTGTACGCCGATCCTGTCCTCTCTCGGGCATAAATGGGTGACGTTGCATGCGTCACAATGTGGTATCCGAGCAGAGGATCCAACAGACAATGCATCTCAATGTATTCTATTTGAAAGTTTCATCATTCTGTTTAGTCTATTCCACCAGCGGAGCCGCACAGGACATTTAACAGCTGCGACCTCAAAAGCTAGCCAGGGTTGCACACCGGGATCCCTGTGAGCGCAACGGTGTCGCGATATTGAGCCTCTTTGCTCCATTCACCGCCCAAGTAGACCGCAGAGATGAAGTCAGGGTGGATTCCCGTGGCCGCCGTGGCACTCTTCACATCTGTGCAAGCATACTCCTGTGCGCCTAATGCAACTACGGCGAACGCAACGTACCAAGGCCTGTACAAGGATCAAGTGGAGACTTTCTTGGGTATCCGTTATGGACAAGACACGGGCGGAGCGAACAGGTTCAAGCCACCGAGACCATTTGTACCCTCAGGAGTAATCGAAGCGAAAGGTCCAGGCCCTGCTTGCCCTCAGCTACTAGGACTGAACGCCGTCCCGCCGTATTTGGGAAACGTAACAGAGACCTCGGAGGACTGTCTGCGATTGAATGTATATCGACCAAATGGAACGACTCATCATGATAGACTGCCGGTAATGCTGTACATACATGGAGGTATGCTTTCGACTGCCTGTGACACATAGTCGTGCTGCTGGAGTACATCATCCAGTGTCACCCAGATTAGCATGCTAACGAACAACCAGGAAGCTTCAAGGTTGGCTTCAAGGACGACCCCATCTCTCAGCCTGGAGGCATGATCTTACAGTCCGTCGCCCATGGTCATCCAGTTATTTCAGTGCAGATTAACTACCGACTGGGCATCTTTGGGTTCGCCCAGTCGGATGCATTGAAGCAAGAGTGCTCCGAGAACGCAGGACTGCGCGATCATCGACTAGCTCTTGAATGGGTTCAGAGCAATATCGCGGCATTTGGCGGAGACCCAGATAATGTCCTCATTCATGGACAGAGCTCTGGTGGCCTGGCAATTGGTATGCAGATGATGGCTTATGGCGCGAGCAAGCCATCAGTCTTTCACAAAGCCATTGGGCAGAGTCAGATCCTGGAAGGCGGCATTACCGCCAACTTCACCCGTGATGCGATGAAGGCGGTCGCGGATTATACCAAGTGCAACACCACCGAGCTGGACTCCGATGCAACTCTGCAGTGTTTGAGAAATCTCACCACAGCCGACCTTTTGGACGCCCAAAACGCCACATCGACTCTCATGAACTTGGGAGACATCTGGCTGCCTGTAGTGGATGGCGACTTCTTACCAGCAGCTCCGTCAGAGCTCATCGCCACGGGACGATTCTACAACGTAACCACCATGATTGGATGGTGTGAAGATGACACAACATTTTACACACCGGCAACGATCACCAATGCCTCAGCAACCCGCGACTTCTTCAAAGACTATCTACCCGGATTCACCGACGCGAACTTGGACAAGCTCCTCGACCTATATCCACAATCCGACTTTCAGGCAGAGTACTTCTCAAATGGCACCCTCGAACTAAACGCAGAAATCCGACGCGCAGGCAGGATCCTACGCGACATCCTCATGACCTGCCAACCCGTCTACTTCGGAGAAGCCTTAGCGAAAGCCGGAAACGACGTTTACTTCTACGATCAAAACCAAACAATCATCACGCCGTTACTTGAAACCAACTTCTCCTTATACGGATACGGTGTTCCTCACACCAGTGAGCTAGCATACTCCTTCGGCAATCTCTCGCATTACGACATCTACGACTTTCCCTTCCACCCCAGTCCTGAGGATTACGCGTTAGTTCCCAGAGAGAGCCGATCGTGGACTTCATTTGCTGCATTGGGTCAGCCTTCGATCGATAACACCACTTTGCAAGGCTGGCATAAGGCGAATTTCGAGGATGAGAATTATGGAATCTACATTATTGGTGGACCGGAAGAAGGGTATGGTGGTGTCAATGGTAGTCATGCCGCACGAGAAGCGTTGAAGAAGCAGAAATTGAAGGAAAGATGTGGATTTTTGATTTCTCCGGAGATTGTTAGACAGCAGGAGTACTAAGTGAGTATAGCTTGAGCTGAGAGATAGCGTTTGACAACAATCATTGCATTTGCGGTGACAACTTGTTCTGTCGTGGGGCTCGTTGCTGTGCAGAGATTGACGCATAAGACCATTAATTGTTCCTTGCTGTATGACGCCAAGCATATCAAAGTTCATCAAATTGGCTCTGCATGCTTCTGGCTTCCTGGATTCAAAGCATCATGAAAATGCATCGCAGTCGGAAATCTTTGATCATGGTGTTTGAATGAGTTAGTAAGTGCAAAATACAGTGAGCGACAACATTGTTCAACAGTTTCAGTGATGTGGTTTCGGCGAGCGAGCTGAGCCCTCAAGTCGATGTGGGTCCACCGACGCCTCTTGAAATCATGTTCCAAATTCCAAGTACACTTCCATCATTGGTCAGCCACAATTGCAGCGAGTACCTCCTATCATCATCATTGAACTCTGATCTCTGAAGGGCATACATTTCGCGATACTGTGCACAGCAGGAAAAGCTGTTGATGTTAGCTGGCTGGGTCGTTAACTAGTTCGAACATAGGTTTCCCTACCGGGATCAACTAGCGAACTTTATTACAACCAGGCGAGATAGGTCATGCGAGAGCCGCTGTCGAGGTTCCTCAGATTGTTGCGAGGGCCCGCTTCTCGGAGCCGCTCGATCAGATCAGCACAGTGACAAGGGCCAAATGCCAAAGGATTGGCTAAGTTGTGAAGAGACGCTACTCAATGTCTGCAGATGCGTTCCCCACACTTGGTAGAGGGCAACAGGGCAAAACTTCATATCCATATCCTGACGACTAGGGCAAGATGTGTCGTTCTGCGCCAGCATTGCGAATACGATGATACGATCGAAGTGTATATGACGGTAAGCATTCCTGATGGTAGTGAGTCTGCGGACACCAGCGGTTGTCTGCAGAAAAGGTATCCACAGTCGGCAGAGGGCACAATTGAAAGTTGTGGTTCCATGCAGCACTGATCTCAATGGCGGTATGGAACTTTGCACGATGTTGAACCGCGCTTCCGGTGCCGCATGAACGCCACGGAGGCTTGGAAGGATTTCGGAGGCTGCCGTTTCTGCTGTTTTGTTGGGTGTCAGAAAACGGACGCCAGCGGATGTTTGCATCGAATGTCCCCACACTCTGATGAGGGCTCTTGGGGCAGAAGCATATGTGTATGTGCATTGGCGCCACTGGTACTCCTGAATGTGACTTGAACGCTGTACCAGTGTATCTCGTGCAGCGAGACGTGATTCTACTGGCTTGCCAGATAGAAGAGCTAACGAATGTCCGTAGTTTTGGGCCCCACAGTTCACTGAGGGCTGCTGTGCCTGCGAATACGGACCGATATCTGCTCGAGCATAATATACTACTATGGTGGCTGGGATCGAAACGTCTTCTCGCGCACTCTCCCGGCGTCACCCGTTGGGGGGACACCCAGTTCCAGTGCTGCTTCCTCGGTGAACAACTCGACAGGTTCTGGTGGAGGCAACTCGGACATATCTATGCCTTCCTTTTCATAGATGGCTGTGTTGTCTTTCTCATGAACATTTGATTCTGCATGCAACTCGTGGCTGGCTTTGATGGTACTCGCCCCTTCCCTCGCTTTCCTGCGCCTGAAAAGCAGGTAGAGCCCGAGTAGTGCCAAGATCAAGCATGCCACGACTCCGATCACGATACCTGCGATACTTTTGCCTGACAAGCTGGTCCGACGGCTGGCTGGAGGACTTGCAGCTGCGGCGGTCGCATTCGGTAACCCAGAGGCATAACTGCCGGGACTTGCGGTCGTGCTCACATCATCCTGACCAAAGGTTGTTGCAGCCGCCAGGCTACCAGCAAGACCAGAAACGGTAAATGGATTGGAGAATTGCCCGAGCTGAGCACGAATTGTGTAGTCGGGATCCTTGGCCAGACAAGAAGTCACTCCATCACGAAACCACTGCGGGACTTGGGACCAGACTTGCGATGCACAGAGTTCTTGCTCGTCGAAGCACATCAAATCTTGAGCATAGTATGTACACTCGCAAGGACCGGGCCATTGTGTGAGAGCTGTGTAAGATTTGGTGCATTCGGTGCGGAGTGAGTCGACGCGCTGGGCGCAGGATGCAAAAGTGCTTTGCACTGCTATGCAATGGCCTGTGTACGATTCGGGCATTTTGCTGGTGAAATCCTGAGTGTAACGTGTTTATGAGGTGGACGAAAGGTCAGTGACTGGAGAAGCAGTCGGGCATAGTACAAATTACGTCGAGCTTGTGGTCTCCACGAAGCTCAACAGTGTACTTGCGATGTCGTGCGACCCGAGAGAGTTGGTTCTGTCGCGCCATGGCGTCTGCTCTGTGCTGTACGGTCTCTCCGGCGTGATGGCTTCACGGGCCGGTGAAGAGCTACGACTCCATGCCATCAGAACTGCCGATGTGCCAGGAGGCAGAGCTATTCCACGAGGCAAGGCTGCAAGACTATGTCAATTAGCACATTCGCGAGGACAGACGGCTGCCTCCTTTCAGCCATTGTCTGACGGGAACGGCGGCCGTTGATCTGGCGCATGGCGACGCGTTGCAGTGCGCCCGCTCTCCGTCCGCATGTCTTGCAGCGTGACGGGAGCTTTTGAAGTCACGTTGATGTTGCTCAATGTTGATGTGGATGCCAGGGAGAAGGAGAGCGCGCGTGGAAACGCTCATAGCCGAGAGCCCTCGTCTCGAGGCTCTCGACGTCATGACCCGCACCTTCTTCCACAACAGACTGGAACAACAACTCCAAATACCAGCTTCATACAAAAACCGATTGATGCATTGCATTCATCTCAGTCATCTGGAGCATGCTGACTGATTCATTTGTCTGAGCCACTTTGACCCCGACGCTCCGCGGCAAGCGTGGGCGTGAGCCACTTCAAGCAGGCTTCATGCTGCCCAAACGTGCGGACCTGGAGGCCTGAAAGATGCAATTACGGCCGTGTGATGGAGATTGCGACTTGCTGGCCGTCAAACTCACGACATGTACGGCTGAAGGTACAGAGATTCTGGATCCGAGTGCAACCTCGTACACAAGCAAGCCTTCGATGGGATGCATATTGAGATTAGTGAACTTCAGCCGCTAGTGACGATGCAGCAGCTTCATTATGCTCCACGCGACTGCACAACGCTACCGAGGGATCAAAGATGCGCGTTTGGACAGCAGGTCACATTCCTATATCAATCCGTCATCGGTCACTAATCCCCGCAGGAGGGGCTCCACCATCACAGCGGATTGTGGCTTCCAGCTCAGCATAAACTTTGGCTGGAGACGAGATATAAGAGAATATGGAGACGCCCTGCCGGAGAACCCAAAGCTCATTCGTCTTCTGAGGGAAATCATCTTACCCTTCTAGCCCACTCAGCTACACGCCACCCAACATGCCGCTCTGGAGAATCTACGCACACCCAGATACCTTCACCTATGACCAGAGGAAAGGTATCGCAGAAGCCATCACCAAACAATATGCGATGCTACCTGCATTCTATGTCAATGTCATATTTGTCGACGTGAAAGAAGAGGGATTGTGGGTTGGCGGAGAGACGAAGAAGAACTTCGTCCGCTTAACAGTGGAGCAAATCGCACGACAAATGCCGAATCCTGATACTGAAGCAGGCCGAAAGCAACGTACAGCATGGATGGACAAGATGAATGAGGTTCGTAATGAGCTTGGTAATCATTTTGCGTTGTGTACTGAACTAATGGACTTGACATGCAGACTCTGCGTCCATACATCCTTCAGCGACCTGAGATCGAGTGGGAAATCCACATCGCGGAGACACCGAGAGATTTGTGGCGCATTCAAGGCATCGATCCACCACCTTCGAATTCGGAGGAAGAGAAGGCATGGAAAGAGAATAATAAAGCACGTTCGTATTTGTGATGAACTCGCAAATTGGACGCTTGTGCTTCATTATGGATGCACATCTTGCGGCAATCAAAGCAGCATATTTGATGGAAAATAAAGCTGGGGTGATGATCACAAAGCAAGAGTGACAATGCTGTAATGTTCTTGCATAAGAAGAACAGGGAGACAAGTTACAGTCATTCATCTCCACAGACGATTACAGGACCAGTGCCTATAGTACCAGAATATTACCTCCTAGCTTTCAATTGCCTGTGATTGGCAACCTGATAGCTAAGCTAGTCTTCTCGTCCCTACATACGTCAAGGTCTCCACCACAACATGCGACCTCGCCCGATCGAGTCAAGAATTCACAGACCAAGAGTACGAAGACCATTCTGGAGAAGCAATAACGCCCTTGAAAAGCACCCCGCAAAAAGAAAAGCCATCTTTCGCATTTCAATTCAACGACATACATCTGCAGCATAACAGCATATCAGCAGAAACACAGAAAGCCCGCGAATACAACCATGACTTCAGACACCGACGACCAAAACCCCACAAGAACAGGTCAATGCCTTTGCGGCGCAATCAAATACTCTCTCACTGGCGCTTCAGCGAAACCTTACTACAATACAATCTGCCACTGTCTCAACTGTCGCCGAGTAAGTGCAACATTAAACCAGACCAGAAATAGCCCTCCACTACTGCGTCGTCACCGAATGAAAAGACAAAAACCAACAATTTTCTCACTAGTCCCACAGGTCACCGGATCAGCTTTCCTCCTCGCAAGCATAACCCCTCGTTCAGGCTTCACCATAACATCCGGTGCCTCTTCACAAAAGTCCTACCAAGATACTTCCACTTCTTCCGGAACAGAGCTTACACGAATATCATGCGGAATTTGCAGTTCGAATCTTTTCGCTTTTACGCCGCTGTGGGATGAAATTGTGAGTATTGCCGCGGGGACGCTGGATGATTTTGATGAGAAGTGGGAGCCGGATACGGAGCAGTGGTGTGTGCATCGGGTGGGATGGTTGGGGGAGAAGGATTGGGGGGTGGAGAGTGCGAGGAAGTTTGAGGGGGCTGTGAAGAAAGGTTGAAGGGGGATGGAAGGGCTGTTGGAAGAGTCAAAGTGCTGTTCACGTAGGAAAGTTGCAATTTGATTTCTTACATTCTTTTTGGGTCCATCATCACTCGTCAATTTACAATTTAAGCTAAGTCGACATCTCATCGTATCCATATTCTCATCCTCTTGCGTCTACTTCTTTGTTGCAAAACTTCATTCCCAGGTCTTCTCCCCAATGACCCAGCCATCGTACCATATGAAACTCGAATTCGGTGTATCTGCCCAAGCCAGAGTATCTTTCTTAAACTTTCTCAGCCAGTTCTCGTCGTCTTCGGACTCTATCGGTTTCCCATACGTCGCAGCAAAACTGGGCAGAAGGGCTTTCGCAAATAGCCGCTTCTCCTCTGGTTCCATCAAGAGATTGGCGACGTCGCCCGATGAAACATGATCCCTGTCGAAGCCGGCTTCTTGCATCCAAAGGGAGTTGATGAGGCCTGCTTCCGGGTGCGCACCACGCTGACGTGATAGAGTGTGATAGAGCTCCCAGTTTCGTTGTATGGCTGGAGTGGTAGGTCGAGTGCATTGAGAATGCATGTCTCGTGTCGCCACGATGCCACCGCTTCTGACAACGCGAGACATGGACTTCAAGGCATCGATGGGTTTATCGAGATGGACAAGCAGTTGGTGACAGTGAGCGATATCGAAAGAATTGGACGGAATGGACGATGGAAGGGAGTAGACATCAGCTTGCATGAATTCCACATTGGTCAATCCAGCAGCGGCAGCTTGAGCTTTCGCGGCCGCAACGGAACCTGTGGGCCAACCTGTGTAAGTTGAACTGCTGGGACCAACGGCGATGGAGAGACGAACTGGCAGAGTAGTCGACGCCCAGCACGTATCCATGTGGCGCGCGGCGCGCGAGATCGATTGTGATAGATCCAATACCGCAACCAACATCGATGATCCGAGAGTCGCTCTTGATATATGGGATAATGTGTGGGGCATGGGCCTCAACAGTCCTCAAGTTGAAGAAAGCATCGAGGTCACGGAAGTCGGGAGTGCAATCCTGATTGCTATCGTTGGACATTGTGCAAATTTCAAAAAGGCAGGACTGATGCCTCGAAGCTGTTCATCCAACGACTGGTTTATATCACATTGTATTCTTCGTGTCGATGTAGTGCAAGGGTCCGCACCCAGCAGCCCAGATCCCTGCTGAACTGGGGTCCAAAGCTTGAGTCCGGAGTCCGGAGGCTGTAAACTTCACATTCACACTCATCTTTCAGACAAACACATCGCGGTTTTGCATCACGGTGCGCTGTATTGCCTTGTACGATCCAATCAGCGAACTCGGGGCTCAAGTGCCGCACAAAGGCATGCACCTGCCTGTCCATCACTTGGATCCGTGCGTTTCCAAGCGGTATCATCGGCCATGTAAGTGATCCGAGCCGGTCTCCAGACATGTTCGTGGTCTAGCGTGGGTTGCTGCGTGTGACTGATGCACGGGATGCGCGGTCATGGTGCAATGAAAACATTTTTGAGCATCGTTGAGATCGAGAACACCTCATATTGAGCCAGAAGAGTCGCAAGATGGCAGCTCGCGTCTTGCACAGGAGATTTCAGCCACCAGCTATGGCCACTGCCCTGAGCGGGGCCGGATTTCTTCCACGCTAAGTTAAGTATCTTCACGGAGCCATCCGGACAGTAGCTAGATGGCTGTGTTGACTGATCTGCTTTTTGGTCTTCGTTTTGCCTGATGTCGTGGCCGAGGTCATCTCTGTGTACAAGGGGTTGGTCGGATGTGAAGTCGTGACCTTTGCCCCTTTTGGGTTTGCAGTGCGAGGGATGTGGGTCTGGCTTCCTCCATTCGAGATACATCTCGCAAGCTGGCTTCGCAGGAACGCGGACTATTGATTGACCACGAGCCTGTAACTTTCATCAGTGTTGGCATAGCTTGCTTGGCAGGTCGGCAACAAGACGCAAGGCTAATGGCTCAACGTCAGCACGTTGTCGTTAGGAGATCGCGCGGCCGAAAGCAAGCCCATTCAAGCGGCGTAGACGAGGTCCAACAGGGTGGTGAGCAGAGCAACGCCACCACCTTGGGTCTCCACTGTTCGGCCGCGTCCGCGATCATTCCAGTCGCCCTCGCGACCCTCAACGGCCTCCGTGGTGATACATTTACCTGCACTGCGATTCATGAGGGGTGCCATGGGGATTTGGTCTTGCACATGCGGAGCTCCTGCAATCTGTTGGCCGCCTGTTGAAGTCGACCAAGGTCGGTGTAGGAGCTCTGAAGCATTGTTGCGATAGTCCACCGCACTTGCGGGAAGTGCAGCGGGTATATAGTTACCCCGTGAGGCACCCCACCACCCGCCGAATAGTCCTTCACAATTTCGCGTTTCGAGTGCGGCGCGAGCATTGTGTGCGATCCAAGGGGCATAGTCTTGACAGCTGGTACGGTGAAGCGCAGCAAGCTCATTGTTAGCAGCAAAGGTTTTGCCCGGATAGAGTGGCTCTCTTGGCAAGGGCTCGCAGAACTGCCCGAGATGGTGTAGGTAGATGCCCTTGAAGGTTTGGGCATCCTGAGAACAATCGCGCTTGGCATCACAGAAGTCTTCCAGGATCCCCGCTCGACCCAGACCGGCCCACTCAGAGGTCTCTGACGAGACAAGGTCTCGATCGACCCGCCATCCGGTCGCCTTGATGACATTCCGCACAAGTTCGTGTCCGTCTTGCAAGTAGGTGGTGTTGCCAGTACTTTCCCATAGTCCACGCAGGCCAGAAAGGATTACCCCTTGATTATATGTGTAAACCATTTCATTCCTGGAGTCGCATTGTGTTTCGTTCCGCTCGATCCCCGAAATGTGGAACCCGTCTACATAGAGACCCTGCGTGTTAGTCATGTTGCTGTGCTTCAGCCAGCGGTACCCCTGCACTGCCGCAGTGAGGAAATGGGCATCATGTGGCTTGGCATGTTCGAGGTCGTTGGCGCGAACGTCGTCGCTCTGGAACGGAGATGAGTTGTCGTCTCCTAGGCACAGTGAGTAGGAATTGCTGGAGATACATGCGGTGCTCAAGTGGTACTCGTACCGGGAAAGTGCAAATACATGCCTACCGAGGCTGCAATCCACAGCTGATTGGTGATGGCATTCTTGTACGGCTCCAGAGTAGGATTCCATACCATGCCGCCACCACACAGGCTCTCGTCCCAACCACGACTCGCCAAGTCGTAGAAGATGTGAGCGCGATGGGCGAAGGCGGCTTTGAACTGCACGCCGTGCCAGGGCTGGAACTGGTAATGCAAGCGAGAGTGGGTTTGCATGAAGCGAAGGTGCTGCAGCCACGCGAGCACCACCCACAGCATGTCATCAAAGGCCTCTTGCCTGACGGCGAAGGCGTCCTCACCGAAGTAGAAGGCGGTGGCCTGGCCAAAGTAGGTGTTGAGCTCGTTCTCTACATGCGGTGCATCGCTGGCGTCAGCGGTACCTGCATCGAGCGCCTTGCTTAGCGCAGTCAAGGCAGACGCGAGGTGCGTGTTCATCACTGCCGCCGTCCAGTCGATGGCCGTGGGCCACGCACCCAACCACAGCTCGAAATACGACGACTGCATCACCCGGATTGCTTTGCGCAGGTCCTGCAGTGGATCGACGTGCAGATCGAGGCCATGTCGCAGGGGTGGAAGGCGTGTCTGCCATGCGGCGGGCGTGCAGGGTGCATGTGTTGCACATGTTGCACATGTTGCTGTGTTGTTTGTTGGTGTTGCTGCCGCTGGTGTTGGAGAGAACAGTGATGAAGCTGGAATTGCCCGAAGCAGCAAGAGCAACACGGCCGAGGTGGTCATGGTCGTCCAGTTGGCACAATTCGGTCTCGTCATGCGTATGCAGCGTCGATCGAGCACATCGACGAGCCGGATCTCGTCTCTGCGGACTGGCCGGGGGGACGGTGGAGGAAGTGTCGCACACCAGCAGGTGTCACGGTGGCACAGCTGCAGCAGTGCCGACGGGAATCTCGCGATCACCCAGATCAGCCTGTCATGCGAGCAGCAGTGCGCCGCCAATGCCCACATGCACACGGCCTCGTGATGGACAAAAGCGTGGATGGAGGGTGCGACAGGAACAGCTTGTCCGATGCGCGCAGCCGCGGCAGCGAATGGGAAACATGCCATCCTCCCACCGTGCTCCGGATAGCTTCTAGCCATCGAGCTGTGCTACGGGCTTATTCTGCGTTGCGCACGCTAGTTAAGTGCTGTGCATGCGTCTTGTTCGTCTGCTGCTTGCCTACACCCATTGCTCGCTCACTGACCGCCGCCATCGACCATGCCGGCGCGTGCCACCACCGCTCTCACCCTTCGACCTCCCGATTGAACTCTCTCGCCCGTTTCCTAGCCGTGCTGTCACAGCCCGTGCCCTCACCACAGTCGCTACATACCCCTCCGCATCTCTCCTCCATACCTCGACGGTGGAGCAGCATTACGGCCGTGGCGCGGGGCGGAACCGGCTGCTGGATTGTGCTCTTTCATTCATTGCCCCTCCGCCGACGACATCGCCCACCAGCGCCCTTTGAGCCTCCTCCTCCAACCACCCAGCATGGCTGACCCTTCGCGGCCCTGGGTGTCGAATCCTACGGCCCAGGCCATCTTGGACTACCTGCAGATCGCATATCCCATCACCTTGCTGGTGCTCTATCTGACCACCTTCACCGTCCGCAGCATCGTCACTGCCCGCAGCGACAGCGACACCCTCCCCTCGCAACGCCCGGAGCAGCTGGGGCCTGGTGGCAAGCCGCTGCCCAGGAAGAAGAACAACGCTGTCAAGAAAGAGTCGGACATTTCACCGGACCTCGACTTTGCGCGGCCACGCAAACTACTGTTCGAATGGCTGTCGGTGGGCGTCATCTTCTCGCTGAGCGCCAACATCCTCGTGGTCATCGTCCACGCCATATCCGCAAGAGATGAGGGCTGGTGGTGCGGTCAGGCACCCACGGTATGTTGCGGGAAAGAGCGATACACATGCGTGCCAGCACATACTGACAGGACAGATCTATCTGGTGGGGTCTTTCATGGTCTACATCCTACTCGTCATTCACATGATCGACTCCAAGCCATCGCCCACCATTGCCCATTTCCTAACATGGGCCGCCGCGTTGCTGATGGAGCTCGTCTTACTGGGAGCCTCCTTCGCCGCATACACTTCCGAGCACCGCGAACCGAAGCCCGGTCATCGCCACGGTGGCGAATTCCGGAGAGGCATGTCGGAATGGGAAGTCACCGAAGTGACCATCGACATCGTCCGCGTCTTCATCCTTCTGGCCCTCTTGGCATTCTACACTCTCTTCGTCTTCTTACATGATGTGTGGAAGCGAAAGCCCCAGTCAGAGCACGTGCTCAATACCGAGGAGACCACTGCCCTCCTGTCCAATGGTCATGCGGAGAACGGCGCAGCCAATGGTACTGCACACGCGTACGGTTCCACAAATGGCAAAGCGCACGGGCCTGCCGGCTATGGACATGGACGCAGTGGTCACCACGAGGAAGCACCGGCGGGCTGGGAGAAGCCAAAGCAGACGCCGACACGTAGCTGGTGGGAGTACCTTCGAGCATATGCAGTGTTCTTGCCATACATCTGGCCAGCCAAGGATCGGGCACTGCAGCTCAACTTTGTCATCTGCTTCGTGATTGTGTTCCTCCAGCGTGGTATCCAGATTCTGGTTCCCATCCAGCTGGGTAACATCACTGATATCCTGGCCGGAGACAACATCTACATGCCATGGCTTGCAATTGGTCTGTACATCATTTACCGCCTGTTCCAAGGCTCCAACGGACTGCTGGGAGCTGCGAGACAAGTCTTGTGGATCCCCATCGAGCAGTACTCGTACCGTGAGCTCTCGGTGGCAGCGTTCGAGCATGTCCACCACCTCAGCCTGGACTTCCACCTGGGCAAGAAAACCGGCGAAGTGCTCTCTGCATTGGGCAAGGGCGCGTCGCTGAACACGTTCCTTGAGTCCGTGACATTCAACGTGCTTCCCATGCTCATCGATCTGGGCGCTGCTTTTGTGGTATTCCTCGTCAAGTTCGATGCCTATTATGCATTGGTGATTGTCGTGGTTACTTTCTGGTACATCTACATCACCATCCGCATGGCAGCGTGGCGAGCAGAAATCCGCCGACAAGCCACGAATGCAAGTCGGGAAGAGGACGCTGTCAAGAACGACTCCATGATGTCGTACGAGACGGTCAAGTACTTCAACGCGGAAGCGTATGAGTTCAACCGCTATCGCGATGCCGTGAAGAAGTATCAAAAGGCTGAGTACCAGGTCACTTTCTCGCTCGCGCTCATGAACACGATCCAAAACTTGGTTTTCATGTTTGGACTGATTGTGGCCAGCTTCATAGCAGCATACCAAGTCACCTCGGGAATACTCAAAGTGGGCAAATTTGTCCTGCTGGTAACGTACATGACACAGCTGCAAGGGCCTTTGAACTTCTTTGGCACATTTTACCGGATGATTCAGAACAACATGATCAACTCGGAGCGCATGTTGGAGCTCTTCAAGGAGCAGCCGACCGTAGTGGACAGCCCGGAAGCCGAGACGATGCCTTCTTGCGAAGGTGAGATTCGATACGACGATGTACACTTTACCTACGATCAGCGAAAACCTGCGTTGCAAGGACTTAGCTTTACCTGCAAGCCAGGCACCACAACCGCATTGGTCGGCGAATCTGGAGGTGGCAAGTCCACAGTTTTCCGCCTTCTGTTCCGTTTCTACAACACGCAACAAGGAACGATTCAGGTGGATGGCAGGGATGTGCAGGGTATTACTATTGACAGCTTGAGGAAACACATTGGTGTAGTACCGCAGGACACGGTCCTCTTCAACGAGACGCTCATGTACAACCTCAAGTATGCCAGGCAGGATGCCACAGACGAAGAAGTCTACGAAGCGTGCCGAGCAGCGAGTATACACGACAAGATCATGGGATTCCCGGATCAATACGACACGAAAGTGGGTGAGCGCGGGTTACGACTTTCTGGTGGCGAGAAACAGCGAGTTGCGATTGCTCGCACTATCATCAAGAACCCCCGCATTATCCTGCTGGATGAAGCCACTGCAGCGCTGGATACCGAGACGGAGGAGCATATCCAAGAAGCTCTCAACACCTTGGCGCAAGGCCGAACCATGCTGGTCATTGCTCACCGGCTAAGCACAATCACCATGTGTGACCAAATTCTGGTTCTGCATCAAGGCAAGGTTGCAGAGCGAGGGACCCATCACGAACTGCTCGCACAGCGAGGTCGTTATGCGAGCATGTGGAGGAAACAAGTCCGAGCGCAACGCGCCGCAGAGGAGGCCAAGGTTCTCAAGGAGAAAGCTGACAGGCTTCGACGAGAGAGCATGGACAGTAGCGCGGCCCGTCTCCGGATTGGCCAGGATGAGGACACACCGCCCAGCAGCGACGAGGAGGAACACGCACGCAACAAGCAGGCGGCACCTGAAAGCGACTTCCAGAGTGCGCTTTCGTTATCGCCGAGGGCTGCGGTCCCCCACGCGCAAATATCTACAGTGTTGGGTGGAGGGAAAGATCCTGGTACCGATGTCAAGCCACAGCTGGAAGCGTTGCGAAGTGGTACAGTGCGATCACCATCGCCTGTGGTAGAAGAGGAACATCACCATCACCAACACCATCCCGGGAAACCTGCAGGACACCCTTAGAGGAGGAAGATGAGTACGAGCGGCAAGGTGCTTGACGATGAGTGATCGATATGGAGCAGGTGGCGAATGTCAGGCGATTAGTTCGCCGGCAGAGTGTTGGAAAGTAATGAAGGAAATTACACCCTGCTCGGAGCAAGAAATTGCTGCTGCTTGCATACACTCAGCGGCGCAAGCATTATAGATGGATGGGAATCGACGTAGTGCGCCAACGTTCCAGCCTTGGTGTTCACTACATGGTGGAGAGGCGAAGAAGAAGGGCGACGATGGACGAAAAGTATTATGATTACTTTTTAATCGTATTGTTGAAACACCTATCAACTATCAACCTACTGAATCCAGTGACTCCAGACCTGTCAATTTTACACAGCCAAGAATTCCGCTCGGCTACGTGCTTACCCAGAATGTCGGTGTCACGTATACAGCGCAACACGGGTACGTATCTCCTCGCCTCAGCGTCTTACAATGCCACTGCATGTGAAAGAGAAGAGCGGTGAAGGAGAAGAGTTCGAGAAACAAAAACAGATCGGAATCGCGCGTGCAAGCGAGGTGAGATAGACATGGTAGCTGATAAGGGAAGAATGGATGTCGTCTACTGAACAACGAATGGTGGAATCGTCTGGGGATCGGGAAATGGGTGCATTGCATTGCAGTACATTGCAGTACAGTGCAGTGCATTGCGTTGCGTCCTTTGTCGTGCATATTTGAGGGCTTGGTGCTTTCTGACATACTGCATAGCTTTTTTCTTGGCCGTGTGGGCGGCGTTTGGTTGATGGAAGGAAACGGTCCATGGTTCACGAAGGTGGATTGTTTGGTTCGACCTGTACAGTTTCTACGACGCATGGCGGAGTGAGTGCACGTTGTTCTTCGGTAATGCCGTGCAAGGACTTTGGTCCTCCTCACGGGCTTTCCGGGTTGCGGATCCTATAAGTGGTGGAAATTCCGTGGATGGCATACTGTAGCTGGGGGTTTTAATGGTTCTGTTTGCGTGGCATGTGGTGGTGTCGGGAATCCGTGGAAGGTTGTGCAGTGCTGACACAACGTGGAAGTTGCGAGCACCGTTTTCAGTGCTGAAGATGGCAGCTGATGTCACTTCACTTCAGCACTTTCTGCTCCCAACATGAAGTCGTTGACAGTGTACAGCGATGAGTGAATATGGTGTCTCAAAAATGTTGACCACTCACTTGACACTTTTTCCTTCGGCTTTTCCAGATCGGACAGCACTTCGTATTCGAGCTTCCAGTCCTTCAAAGACCCTCGACATCATCACTGTTGTCCTCACATGGCCTCGGCGCGCCCGTCACAGCCGCGTCTCTGTCGAAACAACACGAGCTGGCCAGCCAATGTCTCACTGCAGCCGTTGTGCAGCACAGCGCGGTGATGATTGTGCCCGCGGTGTCGACCCAATCAATCGGACGGAGCTACGGGCACCTTCTCCACGATGCATCGCACACCTGACCCGAATGCGCTTCTAGCTGCATAGAATATTGCTCTTCCTCGCCCAGCCCAGGATCAACAACCTTCTCTTCTGCGATCCATCGACGTCGGCGTGCTCTGAGTTCCAGAAGCTGGCTTGCTGCCACAAGATGAGCCGGTCCCGCGCCCTCCTGTGCCGTGTTCAAATGCCCAGCCGGGAGCCCGATTGAGAAATAGCGCAGGCCTGTCGGACAATGGTCCGATGGGTTTGCTGATCGCCAATGCCTGGCGTGACGCCAGGCAAACGGAAGCTGTGAGACCAGCTGCGCTACCACCGACAATGTGACTCAGCACTGCTGCAGGTCCGAGAACGAAGCACGCCGCGCTTCCGACAACTGCGGGCAGTCGACATCTTCATCCTTGCTAGACCGGCCAACGCACACACACGCCAAACGATACTTGACAAGGGCTGTGATTCGCTGCATCTCCCTTCTCCCTCGTACCAGGATACAGCTGCCGGCCCAGCCTCCCGCCTTTCTGGTTCACTCAATGTTCGATGCCCTCTTCACTACTGCACAACATACTCGAGCGTACCGTTCCCTCGGGTCCAGCATCTGCCATCATCAAAATCTTCACGACGACACTCCGAAACACATCTGTCGACGCTGACCCGACGATCTGGTCTCGCCGATCTGGCACATCTGAATCAACACTCTGAAGGGAAGCCATTGGTCGTACACGGAGACTCCGGAAACAGCTTCGAGATACGAAGCAAGATAGAGTGCTGTGGTGGCGGTTGTTGCGACTTCTGCCACCACCACAACTTTGCTCTGTGCAAATGGCACTCTCAGACCAGATCCCTATAGTGAGGCCATTCTCAGCCATGTTTGAAGAATATTCAGCGCTGAGACACAACAAAGGATGACCATTATTCTACTTATTCTAGTGACCAATATGGAGACGAGAATGATAGCTACACCTCGTTCGTGGTCTCGATCTGAAAGTTCAAGTAACATGAGTCGAAATGCTGAGAATCGATTTAGTGCGAGGACGTTGGCGACAACGACGACCATGTATCGACATGAAAATGGGAGGACCTATCACGCATATCGTAAGTATGTGCCTTTGATTCAACGTGAAGTGTGCTAATCGTGAATAGGAGACGGCGAGTATTGGCAACCGTAAGCTATATCCAATACTAGACCGATGCAGGTGAACTAAATCGCCCCAGGAACGACGAGAAACAAAACAACCACGAGGCAATAGTGTATGAGGATCCACGACTGTATGTCCTGATATAACGATCGAAATCTGACATATCTCAGGCACCACCTTTGCATCATGACCCTACGAGACAAGCTCTTTCTCGCACCCGTCACCGATCCCAAACGTATCCTCGACATTGGTACCGGGACCGGCATCTGGGCCACCGACATTGCAGACAAATTCTTCAACGCTGAGGTGATCGGCACTGATCTCTCGCCTGTTCAACCTGGCATGCAGCCCGATAATTGCCGATTCGAGATCGACGATTGCATGTCAGAGTGGGTGTATCCCGAGAATCACTTTGACTTCATCCACATTCGCGGGCTTTTCGGCAGCATCGGTGATTGGCCGCAGCTGTATCAACGATGTTATGAGCATATGGAACCTGGTGGATGGCTTGAACAAGTTGAATGGAGCATACAGAACCGAAGTGCAGATGGCTCACTCAGCCCTGATTCAACATTGGCGAGATGGTACGCTGATACAGATAAACGCTTTTCTGACAATGCACACCCAACAGCACGTTGCTGACGATCATTGCTCACAGGTCTCGATACGGCATCGAGTGCGGAAGACGGATAAACAAAACTTTCGAGATTGCAGAAAACATGGCTGGGCTTATTAAGGAAGCTGGCTTCGTCGACGTGGTAGAGAAGCGTTTTAAATGGCCTATTGGACCTTGGAGTTCAGATCCAAGACTGAAAGAGATTGGGAGATGGAACTTGCTAAACTGGGAAGAGGGGATGGAAGGTTGGGTGATTGCGCCTTACACAAGAGTATTAGGGGTAAGCTTCCTCTCGCTACCGGCTTCCAATGCAGGAGCTGATTTTGCCACAGTGGTCCGTCGACGAAGTGCAGGCCTGGCTGCAGGAGATCCGAAAAGCTTTGCGAGATCGCAAGAAGCATGTTTACCACGAGGTGTAAGTTTTTCGACTTTGATATCGCTTGTTGACTCGCTTACACTGGCTTTCAGACGATTGGTATATGCTCGTAAGCCATTCGACCACGAAGTCAGTGCTCCTGCGGAAACGAATGGAGAGCACGAGGCAGGTAATGGCAGTGTAGCAAGACCGCCGTCTGACTAGCAGCGAGTCCTCGGCATCAATTGGCTTACGTATACGTTAGCTTAGAGCGTACAAGCGAGCATCACCAATTTGGAGCCTTTTTCAAACGCCAACAACATATGAGGACATCCACTCATACCACTACAGGCTGGCCTGTGTGACGACGCCTTCCGAGCACGTGGAACGAGATTCTAGTGCACTGATCATACTTCTAGATGTTGTCGTATCAAACGTAATCCCATTGAGCATCTGAGCTACACAAACGACCGCCAATATTGGGCAAGAAATTAAGCTTACTGACATGTAGCAGAGTACCATCTCGGCCTCGAATAACGGCGTTTGGACACAAGCAGAAAGGCCGAATCATGCACCCACCAACATTTTGAGTGGCATGTCGTTAGCAAAGAAGTTGGTGGCGTGCCTAAGCATCTAGAACGCGGAACCAACATGCTGGAAGAGAGCCACGAATATTGCCCTAAGTGCATGCAATTTTTGGTTGCATGCGTGATCGGCTGTGTTGAACCCTTTGAGTCTTGAGCAGCAGATTCACGTGGAAGACTCGATCTACCTGTTGGTCTATTACCGCATTGGGCAAGAAGTAGGATTCCAACCGAGCCACTGCAAAGCAGCACTGCCATTGAGATCATCGCTAATCCTTCAGAGTGTCGATCATCTACGGTAATACCAGAATACCAACATGTGAACGAGCTATCGTGCTGCTAGTGTATAAGAAGCGTTGCATGCATCAGCTATCGCGAGAAGCATCCTTCCTAAAGTCGTAGAAGCAACGAGCAGCGCATTGCAAGGAGATCAGCTGTATTCGCACGAAACGAAACCTTGCCTTGGTCACAACATATCCAACCACACAAGACCATTCAACTCAATATATCCCAACAAGAACACCCACAACAAAATGGCCGTCCCAATTCCCCGCCAACTCCTCACAAACTCCTACAAAGGCCCCCACTACACCCTCCAACCCGATGAAACCTCCTCCACCAACGGCCTCATCCTCGCCCCCGCCGAATCCTACATCAACGGCGGCCTCAATTTCACCTTTCTCCCTGCCTCAAACAGCACTCCCACAAACCCGACTTACACCCTCCAAATCGTCTTCGAAGAACACCACTCTCGCTTCCATATCAGCAAACCCGGCATAGAATACACAACTTGGCTCCTCGACATGTGGGACACCCCTTCTCGAGACCAAGTCTGTCTTTCCGAACCCGATGGAACAACAAGTCAGATTTGGCATTTGGAGGAACAAGCCCGGATCCCTGAGGGTGCGCCAGGGGCGAGGTATTATAAATTATGGAACGATTGGACGGGGCCCGGGATGTGTTTGAATACGTATGCGAATGGGTCATATGGGGCGCATATGTCGGATCGGGCGGGGGATACGAGTGGGCAGTATTGGATGTTGAGTGGTTTGCCGCCTCAGCAACCGCAACAACAGCAGTATTATAGTGCTCCGGTGCAGCAGCAGCAGCAGCAGCAGCAGAATTATGCGGCTGTGGGTGCTGCGGCGGGGTATGCGCATGGGAGTCAGCAGCATCAGCAGGATGATGGTAGCAGTAGTAGTAGTAGTGATAGTAGTGATGATGAGGGACATGGGAAGAAGAAGAAAAAGCATAGTAAGAGGGATATGGCGACGAAGGCTGCAAAGGGGTATTTGGCTGGGAGGTTTGCGCAGAAGTTTGCATAGAATAGGATCTCAAAGCGAGGATATGAAATTGTTAGGACGCGGCATAATGATGCGATGTCGCATGTGTACATTGATTATGTTCCAATCTTAGTGCCAATCCGAAACGCCAGCGCTAATACTCACATGTATGTCGATGATATGCATTCTGTCGACAGAACTTCCCACCGGAATTGATGCTTCAAATGCTCCTAGGTCCCAATCCAAGAAAAATGTAGTGTTCAAGCATCACCAAGACTCCCGGACTCTCCAAGCAGATCCCAAAGTGCATGACCTAAAACACCGATAGTGTGCTTCATCTTTTTCTAAATTCCCTCATGAACGCCACCACAGCCACAGTCTTTCCCAACAGCTGCACGATCATCGGAGCTCCTCCGCACGGCTCTAGTCCGATGATCTCCATGGTAGCCCTCTAGATGCGTCTGCCCATCCAGCCTCTCGCCGTCCTCCGGCACAGTGCCCAGAAATTCGACGTGTTTTCCCTGCCTTTCATGAGCAAACTTCTTCAAGATTTTGGTGACCCTCTCCACCTCCTCTCCGGCACCCAAGTAGCTCTTCAAGAAGTTGCCCACGTCCGTATTCTCGTGGTTTCCAACCAAGGCCCGCGCGGCAACAGGGTCCGAAGAGTAAATATTTACATCCGCGCCAGAATGGCCGTGTGTCGACCAGCCAGTTTGTGCGCGACGAGAGATCATGTCGGCGAAAATGTAAGATGCCGGAGCGGAAGCCGTTAGGAGAGATTCTATCTCGGCGGAGGAGGCGTCGTGGATCCCGAGATTCTTCTTGAAGAGGGAGTCTAGGAATTCACGCTCGTCTTCATCGTGAGAATCATTCTCTTGCAGTTCTTTCTTGTGGAGTTTGGTTGTTCCACGATGTAAGAACTCATACCAGTTCTTCGCAGTGTGACTGGCAGAGTGTGAAGCATTGGCTAGGACACCAGGGTACCAAAGATAATCCGGATACGTTTCGTGCAATTGCCTGGCCGCAGCCAGACCTCCCGTCTCGTGATCCGAAGTGGAGACCATCAGCGTGGGAGTATCCGACTTGTCAATGAACTCCAACACGGCCTTCATGGCGTGGTCGTATGCCAGAACCTCGTGTACCTGCGCAGCGGGATCGTTGCCGTGGCCTGCGTGATCGATCCTGGAGCCCTCGATCATGACGAAGAAGCCCTTGTCAGAATGCTTCGAGGCGGCAGAAAGAAGTTCGAGTGCTTTGCGAGTTGTTTCCTCCAAGCTCGGGTACACGTCGTTTTCCTGCCTGCGATCAATTTCGTATGGGATGTCGGTTGGAGCAAAGAGGGCTAATAGGGGAAGTTCGGCAGTGTTACTATCCAGTGCGTCGAAGTCCTTTCTGTCCCCAATATACTTCCAGCCGTTGTCCTTCGCGACCTTCAAGGCGTCCACGTCGTCGGCACGACACCCTCCTTCGGTGGTGTTGGGCAGGAAATGACATCTCCCTCCTCCCATCATCAAATCCACCACTCTGCCTAGAGGATGCGTTTCTCCCAGCATTTGCAGCGCAATCTCATCTTCCATTTCCCTTCTCCTCACGTGGCTTGCAAAAACCGCGGGGGTGGCATCCGTGATGCGCGTTGTAACGACCAAACCCGTAGTGTATCCCATGCGCTTCGCAGCCTCCATAACAGAACCACAAGGCTCAAAATCCGGCAAGACAGAAATGGCTCCATTGTAACTCTTCGCACCACAAGAGAAAGCCGTCGCTCCAGCAGCAGAATCCGTGACGAGCGAGCTTGAGCTGCGAGTACGACTTTGTCCGATGAGATGTTGATCGATACCCAGCGTCTCGCCCCAAGGCAGGTCTTCAACATATTGTCTCCAAGATCGCGTCAGGGCGAGAGACGTCGGTCCCATTCCGTCAGAGACCATGAAGATGAGGTTCTTCTTCCCCTTGCCGCCATCTTTGCCTCCGCTGCCTCCATTCTGTTGCCCATCATTGCCTGTTTGTGTAGTGTGTTGCCAGATTACTGCTAAGACTACGACTGCAGCGGTTGCGATGATGGCCCAGATAAGGAGTCCTATCTCCCGCCATCGGTTGCGTGCGAGGAGTTTGGTGGTGCTTCGACTGTCGGTTTTGCCGGTTCGCTGGCCGGTCAGGAGGGCATCTTCTTCTTCGATGCCGCGTTCGGAGGAGTTTGTCGATGGCGGTCGGTGGATGACGGGTTCGGTCATGGCGTCGTGTGAGGTTGAAGATGTGCTTGCCGCTATGGTGTTAGGTACCGGCCTAGGCGCGCAACGACGTGCTGAGGCACGCGTGCCTTTGTATGACTGAGTGCGGTTCTCTCAGGTTTATGGCGGCCACTCCTCCGAAATACCTATAGATGTAAACAGAAGGGAAGAAGGGAAAAGGAGATGTTAGGTCTGGTGACTGGGATCACAGCGTGTGAGGTGTGGTGCCGATGTCAGCAGGTTCAGAGCTCGGTCAGATGAGAGGCAGGGTCCGTCGACGAGGGCAGATCCCACCCATGACAACAGAAACAGCAGTATCAAAAGAAGTTCACTTTGAAAAGTTCACAATGTATGTCTGTCACACTCAAGTCTACCTCGATCAGAAACTCGCAGCCTCAGCCAAAACGCTATGCAAAGCCGTGCCGCCTCTAATACTCGTACCCGCTGTCGTATCATGATGAAGTGAAGAAGAAGAAGAAGAAATAGGAAAGTCATAAGCCCGTATCCAGTCCATGCCATCTCATAATGCCATGCGGTCCATGTCCAATCCATCATCATAACATTTGGAAATCGCACCGGGTCGCCTCCGTGGCAGGAGCGAAGGAAGGAGAGAGGGAAGGTCATTATCGCCCTTGGCTTCTGCTCCTCCCCTCATATCGCATCCCTTCCTCCTCTCTCTTCTTGTCCTCCCGGTACTCACTCCACTTATTCTCTCCGGCATTGGCCAACAATCCGCCCACAACAGCACCGATGATAATATCACGTTGACGATGTTGCTTGCCGAATTGTCTGCCTGCCAAACCTCCAGCGACAGCACCGGCCAAACCGACTCCGAGACCTCTACTAGAAGTGTCAAAGGTTTGCGCGATTTTGTCTTGGAAGTTGCTGCCTCCGCCGGATCTGCTGCGCGACCGGCTTCGAGAGCGTGAGCGAGAGTACGATCGTTCGCGGCCGCGTGAGACTCCGCTGCGGCGACTGACTTGCGAACGGTCGAGATGAGGGTCGGAGCGACGCGCTACGGTGCCTGCAGCGCCGTACGGCGCATCACGGGCGTAGCTGTCTCTGCGGTCGGCGGGCTGAAGATCTGATCAGTCGAAGTTCATACGTTGCACCACGCCGGTGACGAACAACAAGTGGTCCTGCACCTACAGGTCCCCGATATCTCTCTGTCGTCTCGACATAGCGATCGTAGTCGCGATCGTCGTATCGGTCGCGATCACTATATCCTCGGCCACCACTTTCGTACCTGCGACCACTTCGCTCGTCGTAGTCGCTGTCGTCGTCATCATAGTAGCGACTGCGCGGTGGAGGCTGGGCAGACCGTGAGCGCGTCTCGCCCTGGTATTGGGTGTTACCCCGGTAGTCGTCGTTGTACCCCGATGCCATTCCGCTGTCTCTGCGAGAACCAGCGTTGGTCGTTGCGACGAGCTGCTTGTTCGGCTTGTCGTGCTTTTCGAGAGTCCAGAGATCCTTTTCGGGAAGGACGGAGGCTGGGTTGCGCGCAGGATCGTCGGTTTCTGCTTCGTACTCCTGCAAGACACGATCGTTGCGTTCGTTCAGAGTACGGATGAGAGCTGAAGTATCCGAATCGTCGGCGAAACGACTCTTTGCAGCAGGTTCTAGAAGACTTGCTTGCTTGCGTCGCGACGCTGGAAGATGGACGAGTTGAGTGGTGTATGGATCAGCGTCGAGAGGACGGGCTGAACGAGTTAAGGCAAAGGCAGTATTGCGCTCAAAGTCTGATGACCTCACGCGTGAATTGCGGCCTTGCGATGCTGACCGGAGCCCTGTGCGGTTCGCGCCACCAGAGCTGCTCGAAGACGACGAAGAGGCCGCCGCAGTCGCTGCGCGGCGCTGCTGCTGCTGCTGCTTACTACTCCGGGGCGGGGCGGCCGTAATGACCTGCTGATGATGGTCCGGTGGCAGTGAACGCGGCGGTCGTACAGGCCGGTACACGTCTTCGACTTTCTTGCCGTTGATGTACTTGCGAGCACGATCCCATCCAGAGTCGAAGTGGTTGTTGACGGCCCAGCTCACAAACTCACCTGCATCCTCTACAACGCCCTCCATCTCCCAGCGGCCTTCTGCCCACTATCGAGCGACGCTGGCGGCGGATGGTGGCGGGGCAGCCCAACAATGACGTGGGTCTTGCAGGAGGAAATCTGGCTGCGCCCGACGCAAGGCGCAGGATTGCCCAACTTCTTCACCCCACGTGATGAGCAGATTGTTGGTCGGATTGGCCACACAGAGAAAGGCGCGGCTCGCTGCAGGAGGGCGATGGGGCTGGCGCGGATCCGGGCGCGGCGACTTGGAGTTCTGCGAGCCGGGGATGCTGGACTTGCGCAGATTCTCAACCTCTTTTTGCGTCGACGGTGCCTCTCGCGTGCGGTGACTGTGGATGCTGGTGCTGGCAGTGTCGAAATGAGTGGTGTTGCTGCTGATGTCGCGAAGTGCAGAGTGAGCGGATATTCATGCACGCGTGAAGCTGCCTGCCTCGAGCTTGCGATTCCACGCGAGCGAACGACTCAGGTTGGTGTGCGCGCTCGCCTCTAGCACAGGCGAAGGTGTCTGGATCCGGACGTCAGGTGCTCGAAGCGAAGAAACACGCCTGGTTCTGGCTTTGCTGTGGAAGAAAAAGGCGGCTCGTCTTTTGCAATTGAATTCCTCTCTGTTGGCGGCGCGGAGCGGATGGGAGAGCAAGGCCGGATCTGACTTTGTATTTCTCAAACAGAAAGAAACGAGGGCAAGAAGAGTTTGTGGCTGACTGATTGTTTGCGACTACACTCACTTCATCATTCACTTCCCTCACTTGCACAAGTCTGGCTCTTGTCGCGGCTCGATCTCAATTTGCTCCATTCGCTGCCGGCAACTATTCTTCCACGCTTCCTGCTTCTGCTGCGTTGGCATTAATGACGTGGGCTTGCAGCTGCGCATAATTGATTGGGCTCACGATGCTTCCACGGGGGTGGCGGCTACCGCTTGGAGCGATGAACGTATCTGGGTCAAGGCTTCCTTGCGAAAGCATCTCATCCATTCGCTCCAACGGCTCCAAGGACAGCGGTGTGCAAGGTGCTGTGAGATTTTCGGTCCGTGTTCTAGTTAGGCATTCAGATCCCGTTCTATTTATCCTCAAGCTGTCACATGTGTCTTTCACTCGTGACGCTGGTGCTCATACATACGGCATCGGTGGCAATCGCGGACTGGTCTATTGTCCTCTCGCATCACCATGATCGCAGAGCGTGGGAGGAAGATGAAATACATCAGGCCCCAAGCCCGTCTCCGATTGTTTGGAAAAACTTAGCTGCCAACCAAATAGGACGCCACTTGCTTCATCTGTGTCTCTCGATCAAGGATATACCACCTATCGCAACGCGGCAAGGCGATGCCGCCCAAAGCATAAAACTTCGGTCGAGAACTTCACTGGTTCATTTGTGCAGGTACGGAGCTGTTGGCAGTTTGCCAGTATACAGGGAATCCTTGCTCGGCAATTGTCTGCTCGCCGAGTCATTTCGACACTCGGGCCGTCTTGTGGACGAGTGACAGCGTTTCAGATGTTGGAATCCCGATTGTCGTTTCGACATCGATAGTTCATCGTGAGCTTCAGCTGTGCTTCTGCGTTTCTCAACGAAGCCAGACCAGAGTGGAGATCTGCACGTTTTGCATTCGAACCATGGTGGCCTCTGCTTGGGTTTCGCGTTTTCGGGCGATTGTTCGAGCCATGGTGAGAACTTGCAGGCTCTGCTGCATTCAAAATGGCCATGCACGATGTCGAATTGATATATGCCCTTCCAAAAATGCGCTAGCGCCAGGCTACGCCAGGCAGCAGTGAGTGCCAAGACATGAATCCTTCGGCCTCCAGCAGGTTCTTCACTTTTATGCTTGCTGCTATTGAATGATAGGGCCTCGTTATTATTTGATGATCGTTGACCAACAAACCTCAAGTGAGGACCTGTTATCCCACGGCTGAAACAAGAACAGATTCGAACGAAAATGGTTTGGAGAAGCTTGTTCGACGACAAAACATCATTGTGCATGATTTTGAGAAAGAGCATTGTCTCAGCAGTCTCAACAGTTGGCTCCTCCAGCTAAGGATAGAAAATACTAGGGCTTGCGCTCCAAAGAGGTGATTGGAGGCACATATCCGCATGATCGTTTTAGGAGCCAGTAGACTCATGCCTGCTAATTATTCAGTCCTTCACCTAGCGTCCCGCGAAGAGTCTTCTAGACTTCATTCATCGACAAGAGAGCATCCTCTCCACCCGGACTGTCAATTCACCTATTCTATCTCGAAGTATGCTCCTCCCTTGCCCTCCTTCAGGCACTTTGTCAACCAGTTTTCGCAGCAAAGGTAATAGCAAACGATGCACTTCCATTCGAACAAACTGAGCCAAATGCTCGAGCTGCGCATCCTCGGCTCTGTAATTTCCCGCTGATATGGGGCGAGCAGTTACGCGAGCTGGAGCAATATGCTCGCTAGTCGAGCCGCTTGCTGCTGCGTACCATGCAAATACTTGGTCTGCTATGTGATAGCACATCCATAACAACAGCGCTCTTCCGGAGCACGGACACTTCAGGACACGAAGGACCACATCGATGTAGCATTTATTCCTTGCGAGTACTTCGTCGGAAGCTAGAGCTTCTATAGAAGCACTGTGAGAGCCATCCAGAATCCGCGTTACGGAAAGACAGCGAGTCTCTGCAGTGTCCAGAGTTTCGAGGCACTCGCAAAGTAACGCCATACAGCATGAATTGTTTCGTGGTCTGGAGTTTGATTTATCTGCCGGGATGGATTCTGTTTGCGATTCTTCGGAGCCAGAGCCAGCGAAGTCTGCGGAGAAGATATCAGTGCACGGAGGAGTCGCCAACGAGTATTGTGGCATCCATGTCGGAGAGCCTGGTGTACATGTCAAGGATGCCGAGGGAGTCGTATCTGATGTCCCAAACGAGTCGAAAATCTGATCGAGATTTGAAAAGCCTAGAGATCTTAAGGCTTCTGGGATAGATGAACTGGAAGTTTCTTGGTTGTTGCACATATCATGGCTCTCCAACATGGACATGCAATCGGAAGTGCTAGTTGCTGGTGAATGCATCCTTTGGAACACAGTCTCTGTTCATCGATGTTAGCGCACATCATTGCCGCGATGGGTCAGCAATACGGTGTATGACTTACGATTAGGTATTGAGCCGAACATACTTGAGGTTTTGTTATTTCCCGCTCGTTGACTATACGAATAGTTGCAGAATATGTCTCTGGCCATGCACCGCTCGCAGCGCCCCAGGGGGCTAGTTTTCTCGCATCGGACTTTTTGCTTCGTGCATTCGTCGCACGCTTGTCGTAGTTGTCGAGGCGCCATCGTAGCGGAGAAAGCTGACATTACTTCCTTGAATAAATTTCAGTCCTGCTTCCAGATCTTGTCCGAGGTATACGCCACCAGCAATCCAGTCAATCAGAAGTGCGAAATTATTGTATTCTGGGAATTAATGCAGTGTCTTTCGATCTCTAGAAATTCGTTCTCGCCAGTTTCGAGTTGTTCAAAAAGCTGCTGTACAGTTCTATGTTGCGCGCAGAAGCGAATGCACTCGGGGAGGTCCGCGTGTGAAGAGGAAACAGACCTCAAGCCCAAGTGCGAATGGCCTTCGCCTACTATTGCCGTGTTCTACTCACCTGTTTTGCACAGCAAACCGAGTCTCGGCATCTGTAGTCGCGCATTTGAATTGCGCCTGAGTTCGCTCCCAACGTCCCGTCTGCCATGCAAAACGATCGACAAGAGCTCACAACAGTCAATGCTCTAAGAGACCTTCGTTGCCAGCTCCGGTCTTGGCTTTGAACTATTTTGCATTGGAACGGCAGAGAGATGGTCGTCTCAAGCAGCATACCGCCTCATACGTCGTACAAAGTGGAGCTTGCGAACTGTTAGGCGCAACTTGTGTGTGGAAGGGCCTGTTTGATTCGTTCCGAGGAAGATATCCAACACCTTCCGCACTCCTTCGCTCCATGTGGCCCGCCCGCACGTGCTGCACTGAGCATGGCCACTGCAGCCACAATCCTCTGGCCGACGCCAGATCTGGGCGGGAGATCGCTGCTCGAGTGGACTGCATCCTACATCTGCAGGATGCCTTGCCAAGTAATGGGTTACGACGGATAATGGCGAGTTTCAGTAGCTTTCCGAGCGTGGGGTGAGTATGCTGGTATAGAGTAAGAGCGGATGAATTCTTAAATTGAAGGAACGTTCGGCTTGCAATACCGTTTGCCATCTGTGCGTTATGTATCTGTTTCATTGTTGATTCCAAGGGACAGAGGCGTCAACGACATCTTGCTGCATCATTGCGCTACTGTGCAAATCGCTACGAGTTGTGATGATGACGCGTGATCTTAATGCATTACTTCGGCCCTTCAATGCAACCATTGGCATCTTGGTCTTGGATGATGAGCATGAATTGTTCCGGCTTGTGTTGCTGCAGAAGCTGAGCTTCACTCCAGCCTGGAGAGGAGCGGTGCATTCCGGGGCACTGCAAGTCTGGGCTTAGCCTTCTCATTGGTTATTGTGCTGTGATCGTCATCCCGCTACGGTAGTGTATTCAGCACCGGGTGACATAAGTGCACTATGCACCTGCAAAGTATCCCACGCGGAGTCGGGAGGCCTTACCTTGGCACTTTGGAAACCATATCACGTCTCTTGTCCTCTGGGCATTCCCGTAGCTTAGGATTTGGTGCCAAAGTTGTACGGGAATATACCAGATTAAGAAGGAGCTTGGGATGCCAAATGCTTCATGCGCGCAATAAGTCGAAGATCATCGTCGCCGTCTTACATTCTGCTTCCAATGCACAGCCGCGGGCATGGCACAGCTCTGTAGCAACGTCAGAAAATAACGCTACGGAGGACGATGGGCAACAGAATGGTCGATCTCTCGTTCTGCACTCACTCGCCCATACCGAAGGAAAGAGCAATGACGATACGCACGATGCTGTCGCCGTGACTGTGATTGCACATCCTTCAGAACAACAACAGATGCTTGGCCCGTTCAAACGTGTTTACCATGCTGTCATATCCCCGAAGGATCTGGTATTGGAGTGTCGAAACAGGAGAAATAGCAATGAAAGAGGTCTGAGGCGGCAGTATATCAAGGCCTGAAATGTCCTGTGCAGAGATAGAGCATCAGCAGTAGCCTCAGCCTTCACAGCCAGCAAATTCCAGCAGCAAACCCCCATACCACAGATCGACCCCGATCTCCAAACAACAGACACCATGTTTTTCTCCAAGATCAGCTCCATTGCCCTCATGGCCATGACTGCCCATGCGCAGGTCCGAAACTTGGACGCATACGTTGGCAGCAACGTGGCCTGCCAGGCCGGCGAGTTCGTCACATGCTCTGTATGCAGCCCCATATCTTGCAAGTAATCTGTCCAGAACTCTGATGCAAAAATTTCCAGGATGTGAACCCATGCTCTTGCTGCGTGTTCGATGGCCGCTCGTTCGGTAGCACTCGTATCACCAACCCACAGGCCAACGACTTGTCCCTGGGCGGGATCCCACCCACCGATGGCAACGCAGGTTGCAACTTCATCGCCCGCGGAAATGGGGGCCAGGTGAGAACTTTCGAGAAATCTAGAGATGCAAACTAGTGGCTAACATCTGAAAGTGTGTCTCTGATGGACCAAACGGTTTCTCTGCCTTCAGCTGGGAGCCAAGTGGGTTCGACTGCAACCGCCGCGCCGGTGGTAGCAGGAGGGCGGTTTCCAACGAGGTTGAGGCCGATCTCCTCACCTTCGCTGACGGAACCGTTTATGTACGTGCAACATCTTTGCGCCATCTCACGCTATAGCTAACTTTCGACAGGATCTCCGCAACATGTCAGCTGCCGACAAGAAGGAACTCGCCGATGTTGTCTACAGTGGTCAGGGAAGCGCTGGTGTGCCAGCGCACATCCAGAAGCACCGAAAGTAGTCGGTATCGGGCTTCATGTCTGGCCGGGTGGGACCGTGCAGCTGATCGTGTCCAACGCGGGCTCATGACCAGTTCCGCAGACTAGAGCTGGACTGTCTTTTCGTGATGTAGTATGCCGCCCAGTGAACAGGAGGGAAATTGGAATCGCTAGGGTACTCCATTCAACCGAGTTCGCTTGATGGCCTCGCAATTTTCCATTGTCTTTCACATTCCAAGACCGACACGCTGTTGCCCATGCGATGTCGCTCATAAATTTTAGGTGTCAATTGGTCAATTTCGTACTCCTATATGGAGCAAGGCTCAAGGGATGCATGCCATCATCTGGGCGCTGGTTGATGCCACTTGATCTGGAATCCATCCCGAGGTCCATTGCGTTCCTTCCTGCTCTGTGGAACTGCCCAATCGGATAAGGTGATCCAAATGACAGCGACCTGGAGTGAATGCCCACTGTATACACGGAAACCGTCCTTCGTTCGCGCAAGCCGCCGCGCAAGCCTCTGGAGATCGTGTCGCCTCTTGCTCCTGCCCATTTAGCTCCGAGTACTTTTCCAGGTCCTTGTCATCGGGAGTAAGAGAGTCTGTGTGCACAAGCTTTCGACGCTGGGCAAGATTGTTCCATTTTCTACGATCCTCTCCAATATACGGCTTCACGAAGTGTTGAAAGACATCGCCGAAGAAGAATGTCGATCCTGGGGCATGCGTGTTTATCCAGTCCCTTTCGAATCTCCAGAGTGCATCTACCTCTTCAGGGCTGTTGTGATGCCATGAGATGGGAGTTCGACACCAGACTTGCTTGTCCCAACCCATAGTCGACACTTGCTCTCCTTGAAGGACTGGCCAGACTTGCTCCTGAGCAACGCCAGCCTCTTTCAATGCTAGGCCTAAAGCGAGGTCGCCGTACAGAATTCGAGGTGTATTGCAACGGGCCTCCCATGCTGAATCGAATTTGGCTGCACCCTCAGCCAGGCGTTTCTGCTGTAAGAGTTGCAGCGCCGGGAGAGAAATCAGCACACCACTGCCACCGTGCGAGAAGGGATCACTGAAAACAAAATTCCTGGCTCCAAGGTAGTGCGGCTTCGATGCGTCCAATGAACCAAGCCAATGTAGCAAATTTGTCCACGACAGGCTTGTGTCAGCCTCCACAATAACCATCCATTTGGCGTCCGTCGTTTGCATTGCCACTGTTGCTCTGTGGATCGTTGGGAGCCATTTGTACTTGTCGAGGGTCCAGGCTTCTTTAGCTGGCAATCCTTGCAAGAAGGCGCTCTCTTCCCTGTGTTGTTGTATCTGGTGGTAAACGCGGAAGTCGTTATTACTGGTCTTTGTCTCTTCAGATACGCTTTCAAGGGCATCGTGTATAGTGTATCCAGCAAATTCTTGGGTGACATCTGCGAATATCATTGCGTGCTCGGCCAGAGTCAGTGTGGTATTAACGTGTGCTGGCAGTTTGGTATGCATCTCTGTTGCACCAGTACGGAAGACCAAGAAGACGTCCGAGGGCTGTGCAGGTTTCGCACGCCCGAACGTCGTGTGTACGAGGCCTTTGGTCCATCTTGGTGTCCCGAAGTACAGCAGCTCGCCCAGTATCATCAGAAAGGTGGCAATGGCGCCCATGTACACATAGCGATGGTGCGATCGCATCCTGTCCAGCGAGTGATGATGTTGCCTTGCTGCACACGCTGATTGTGAAGCAGGCTTTACATTGCTAAAAAGTTGTTCAATGGCAAGGCTTCTGTGAGAGCCTTCGAAGCTGGTGCAGAATAGATCCTTCCGTGGGAACCCCCGAAAGATCGACACCAGATTGGCCAATAAGGGTACGACCGTTGCGTCTTGGGGCGCATAGCCGTCGAGTCTACGTAGATAGGGTTTGGGCGGGCTTCTCCATCGTCTCTTGGTATGCTTGCGCTTGGCGGGCTGAGCACAAAAGTGCCCGCCACGCGTTTCTGTTTGCAACCCAGTGCAGGACGAAGGAGCGAGCTACCGACAATTCAGCAGTGCATGCAGGAGCTACTGGAAGTGAGGCGAGTTTTGACGACGACGTCACGTGCACAAGTGTCAAGTACGACACGGTCTCCAAGCAGTAGTCCTGATGAGATGAACACGAAGCTGGTTCTGTTCCCTCCTGTTGACACAGCGATAGAGCTACCTTGGCTCGAGCGATGAACGTTGGATCAGTGCCAAGGAATACTGCCAATGACGTACTGAACGTTCAGTAGAACCAAAGCCGTTCAGGACCAAAACGTGCATATACCAGAGACCAGGACTGCCATCGACCCTGTATCGAGCCCGTGATATGAGCAGTGGAGGGAGAGACAATACGTCCAGTAGCCAAAGCATAGGCACCTCAGTCCTGGTCAAGGTCACCCAGACTGCAGCCCGCCCATAATTCCTTTCTGATATGCCTCAATGACTTCTCGGCACTTAACAAGCACTCCAGCAGCCAGCATTCGGACTTTGCCCTCCTCGCCACCCGCCTCGGTGACCAACCCTCCACTACCTGTCCGCTCAAAGACAACTTCAACCCAGCTTTGAGTTTCCGCTAATCTCTTCGGTTCTTCCTGCGCTAGCCGTGCACGATTTCCCCACTCACAGTTCACTTCAAGCAACGTGAGTAATGCAAAGAGCACCGACTCTAGAATGGATATGTCGTTCGCTGAAGCCACACGGAGATTCAACAGCAGCTCCCAGAACGCAGTTGTCACGTCCGGGAGGCCCATCGTAGCAGGACCCGCGGCATGCAGGAGCAGAGCCAGTGTCTTGACAAAGGTGACTTGCACGATGGCGGCAGACGCGAAGACGCTGCGTTGCCCATATGAAGCAATCTCTTGCTGATAGCGAGTGACTAGGGGGTTGAAGAAGTGCGTTGCGAATATCTTGGCAAGCTGGTTTGCTGCTGGTCTACGTTTCGTTCGTTCAACGTCCATGCGGCTGGAAAATTTTTTGATCTTGACCGCGTTGAGGTGTGAAGTTGTTTGGTCTGCGGCTGATAGAGCGAGAGGTTTCATGATGGCATCCTCCACGCTACTGCTGGCTGATTCTAGGCGCTTCACAGGTGGAGAGGTAGAGTCGTACATAGCGTGAAGCCGAGCAGGAAGCTTCTTGCTGGGAAATGAGGTATTTGGGAGCACTGGATTCAGATCATCCTGATCTCTCAGCCCAGCTAACTCTCTGCCTCCGAGGCCAAGAGCTGACAGCATAATGCAGCGTTGGGAGAGCGAGTAATCGCCGCTGAAAGCCTGTCGACTTAGCCATGGTGCTATTTTGCCCACGTCGCTATGAAGCACTGCCATCAGCGCTTGCAGTTTTAGCTCATCAAAGTCTTCCGTATCAAAGGGATCCTGTAGATCACAGAGAAGCAGCCCGAGCTCCTCTGCATGGTCGGTCACTTCTCTGCCAAAATTGGACTTCTTTCTGATCAACGAAGCTGCGTGCTTTATTGCAACCTGGAATTTACCATGCTTCTTATCCTCACGCAACATACGCATCAGATCTCGGATGTACACGGGCGGCCGAACCTTTTCGCGGTTGACCAGCGTCGCGTCTTCGTCGCTGTCTTCAGGATCGCTGTCGGGTTTCGCGTATGGCTTCAACTCATCATCTTCTTCGCCCTCGTCATCCGATAGTTCTGTGACCTTCTCGCCAATAACTTCAGTCTGCACTGGCGGCCTGGGAGGCCCAAAGGATTGCTTTCCATTGATGATGGGTAGTTCTTTGCTCCTAGCCGGCTTTCGTCCTTGGTAGGTCATGGCCGATCGAGACGTCAGAAAAGAATCAAAGTCTCGTAGTGTCCCAAGCTTGTCGTCTGACTTGATGAGCCGCTGGTACCATTTCGCATCCTCCGTCTGCATTTCCGCAGTCTCGAAGTTCATTCTCGCATCCTCCTTGTCAACAAGGCTGGATATCGTTGTAGCTACAACCATGCCGAGCCATCTGGCACGAGAGTTGCTGCTGTGCAATCTGTTACTGGTTCCAGACATGTGCCCAGAGGAACGTGTAGTCATCAGAACAGCTATTGGGCTTTGACGATGCAAATATCCAGCTACGAGGAGCAACAGTTGTGCAATGACCTCCTGGTGGATGATCGGAGCGTGGTTGATGAAGAGTCGGTCCCCAAACGTCGTGATCAACCTTTCCAACACGTTTGGCAGTTCATCAGGAAGCGCTTCAGCTATTACTGCGACCATGGCTCGGCGCACTGGCACTGATGTTGTGCTCAGCAATGTCGGGTCGGCAGAAAACGACAGCAACTGTTCGCGGCTTGCATTCTCCTCATGCACGAGCAGATCTATACATGCCGCCAAACTAGGCACGACTTTGGCACTTCCAGTCATATGGTCACCATCGCCTGATGGTACCGATGAACGCAGCTGTGACAACCATTGTAAAGTGCTCTCCAAGAATTGACGTTTCGTGAAACTTGGTAATCTCCTTATGATTTGCGGAAACCCGTGTGTCGCATCCGAAGAAGATCGTGCAAAGGTTGCGGTATACGAGAGAATCGCTTTGACCAGAGGCACAGGGTAACCCAAGCCAAATGCCTTCGTCAGCAATTGGGCTGCTGCTTGAGAATTGGCCTGCTCATCAGATCCTTCCGCTTCAACGGCAACCATCTCCGTGATGCTTCGTCCAAGCCAATTCGTATACTCGGACGCGTTAGAGATCCAAGATCGCTTCACGTGAACATCCGAAACATCGCTCAGGATGTCTTCCGCGCGTGCGATTGTAGCGACTACCTTGCCACTGCCGATCAGATTTATAAATTCTTTCCACGACATCGATCGCTTGGTCTGGTCGGGAACAGCTTTCACTAGCCCCTGCCAAACATGACTAACAAATGCCTCACCAGTGAGCAGCTGAAGCATCACTCCCAGTAAGTCTTGCAGCTCACTAGCCCCAGACGTGGACAACGTAGTGTCCAAAAGGACATCTGCCACTGCTCGGATCCTGGCTGTAATCGCATTCCCTCCCGCCACGTTGGTCAGGCATGATGTAAGCAGCTTTCGGTCTCTCTTATCAAGAGCTGACCAGAAGTTTGGTATTATGGTGTTGACGATAGCATTGATCAGTTGGGCTTGCTGTGGCCCTACAGCATCAATACTGAAATTAGACGAAAGTCCTTGACCAGAGCGAAGTTGCTCCAGTATACTCCGAACGGCCGGCAAATTGGGCTCGCTCCTCAAGATCTGGAGAGCTTGTTCTGGAGATACAGGAAAGTCGAAGACATCCGCCTCTGTTTGAGGTTCGCTACCGGCACTGCGTCCATCATCCTCTGCTGGCTGGACTACCACTTCTGGCTTGGCTTTTTTCTGATCCGGTCGAGTGGAGACATCTTTCAGCGAGGGTTGCAGCTCCTCACTACTGTTTGCGACAGTCGTCTTGACTGCCGTGAGGAAGTCGGCCATGACATGTTGATGCTTTCATGTTGATGGAAAGAAGAAGGCGGCCTTTTGACTGGGAAATGTGACACGTCACGTGTTTTCGCGCCTGCTTATCGATAGCAGCGGTGGAGCCAGGAAGCTCCAAACGTCACAGAGCTTCCACAAACACCACACACCCTTCTCTTATACGCGGAGATGGCTGCAACAATACAGCCAGAAGGCGCCGTGCCCACGATTTCTAACGACAACACCACCTCACGAGCTCGATATGCTCACCTCGACCGCATTCTCTCACGAGCCGGTGCCTTCACCGATCCTGAGGCCTTCATCCCAGGCGAGCCCACCATCCAGACGCTGGAGAACATTAAAGTGCTGGTCATCGGCGCTGGAGGACTGGGATGCGAAATTCTGAAGAACTTGGCCTTATCGGGCTTCAAAAACATAGATGTCATCGATATGGATACCATTGACGTTTCCAACTTGAATCGCCAGTTCCTCTTCCGACAAAAGGATGTGGGCTCGCCCAAGGCGACAGTGGCGGCCGACTTTGTCATGAAACGCGTACCGGGATGCAAAATCAATGCGTACGTCGGCAAGATCCAGGACAAGGACGAGGACTACTACATGCAGTTCCACATCGTCATTTGTGGGCTGGACAGCATTGAGGCTCGACGGTGGATCAACGCGACACTGGTCGGCATGGTTGATATGGAGAACCCGGACAGCCTCAAGCCGTTGATTGACGGCGGCACAGAGGGCTTCAAAGGCCAGTCGCGTGTCATTTTCCCAACCATGACCTCCTGTATCGAGTGCCAGCTAGACATGCACGCTCCTCGCGCTGCTGTTCCCCTCTGCACACTCGCCACCGTTCCTCGTCAGCCACAGCATTGCATTGAGTGGGCGCACATCATTAAGTGGCCTGAGTTACGCAAGGACGACACTCTCGACACCGATGATCCGGAACACATCACGTGGCTCTACAAGCTGGCCCTTGAGCGTGCGAAAGAGTATGGCATCGAAGGCGTTACCTACTCCATGACTCAAGGTGTGGTGAAGAACATCATACCCGCCATCGCCTCGACAAATGCAATCATTGCAGCTTCAACGTGCAATGAGGCCTTCAAAATCGCCACCAATTCTGCCCCCTTCCTCGCCAACCCTGCTTCTCTGCCGCCCGGTGTCGATCCGGAGACCTACGATCCCGATGACGAGTTCACTCCGGCCCCAAACAACTACATGTTGTACACCGGTGATAACAGCATCTACACATACACCTTCGGACACAAGAAGAAGCCAGATTGCCCTGTTTGTGGTAATCTGCCAAAGGATCTCACTCTGTCACCAGAGAGTACATTGGGTGAATTCGTGGAGAGTCTAGCTGAGCGACCAGAGGCACAATTGAAGAAGCCAAATCTGAGGTCTGAGGCAAAGTCGCTCTACTACAGCAGCCCTGATGGTTTGAGAGAGCAGACAGAAGCGAATTTGAACAAGAAGCTGAAGGAATTGGTCGAAGATGGAGAAGAGATCGCTGTGAGCGACCCAGCACTCGCAGGCATTGATCTACGCTACAAGATTCGCTTTGCATGAAAAAAAGCCACGAGCCACTTTTTGGCACCTAGTATAGGCTCGGTGATGTTGGCGGAGGAGGCTTCACTCGGCCCTGGGCACTTCGAACGAACAGGAAACTGTGGCATGTGCAGCTTCTGGGAGAAGTAGGTAAAAGCGTGTTATACGCACCTGAGAAGAACTTATATTCAAATGGCAGATCCCGTGACCCTTGCTACCTGCTGGAAGACGCTTACATCCCAACGACGCGGAATTGCAACCGGATAGGGCCGTCGCATTCACTCGCTGCACGTGAAAAAGTTAAATTCGAAACGCAAGTCACAAGCTCTTTCTTCCTGCTGAGACTCAACCACGGGCTTTCTCTCGTGATCCCTTCAGCTCATGACCCGGGCGCACTGCTCACCACGATGGATACGAACTCCACCATCTTGACATCACTGGGTTCGATTACCCGCGGCACTGCCAACGTCACAACAGCGCCTCACTTGAACACCACCACGAACTCGAGCGCAGCCTCAAACATACTACCTAGCACTTCTCGAGTCACTTCGACTTCGACACTTTTCGCCGCTGTGAGCGCCACGCCAATACCACCAGCTGCGGACATGGCAGAACGAGTGACGAAGGTTGCGATGGACTCGAACCGGCTTACGATCAGCCCGTTCTGGGTACTCGGTCTCCTTATTGTCCTTTTCATGGTCGTTTCGGCTTGGTATCTCGTAGTGAGATTCATGTTCCTCGGCCTTCTACGCCCAGCATTCAGGTTAGTCCAGTCACTCCACTTATACTTATACAGTCTTTGCAACATTGCTGACAATTTTAGTCACCTTATCACAAACACCAACGAAGGGACTCGCAACCTCATACAGAGCAGCTACGAGAAACTCGGAAGCAGTGGCCGCATGATCACCCAGGTTACTTTGGTACTATTCTTCTTCGCACTCGAGCAATGGCTGGTTGTCGACACCATCTTGGAAGCTACCGCAGGGGAAGCTCTCAAGCACCATCCATCAATTGATGTGATCCTTCGAATCTTTGCATTCCTTTGTCAGATCCTCTGCTGGTTCATGGTCGGTGAACTGAAGAAGCCTAAGGCCGCGAAGAACTCGAAGCTCAGGGATGCGAGGCAGAAGGCGGAGGATAAAACGAACGTGTAGGCGGCAATTCACATGGTGAAGGGGGTGCTAGAAACGGGATGCAGCAGAGGCTAGACTGAGAACATGGGCAGCGCTCTTTCTGGAATACTTTTCTTGGTCTTCTGCAGCACCTGGGGACCAGCCCTGTGGGAAGGGCAACGCAGACTGTCGTGAATTTTGCGAAGGACTAAACGCGGGTTGCTTGCGCATGCCACGAAGCCGGCTGAGTATCGCAGACATTGTACCATACTGCTACTAATGAATCTTTTCAAACCGCTCCTTCTACCGCGCTTTGTTTCTTTCTAATGCACTGAACTCATAGCCGACACTCGATTAAACAGTCATTACAACTGATCGCAGCAGAAACCTCCTAGGACATCGTCATCTACCACCAGCCTCGCGATCACTCGGCAAATCTCCAACATGACATATTCCTCCTCCACAATCGTAGCGAGTACGACCATCCTTCTCATCCTCCTCACCTTCTTCGTCACCCTGCGCTTCATCGCCCGCCACAACTCCCGCCCAAAATTCTCCTCTCAACAACCTCTCACACAAACCGGTACATCAGAAGGCATCGGTTCTGATGACTGGGTTTGTCTCTTCGCCGGCTTAGGCTCCCTCATCGGCTGCCTTCTCATCCTTGTCTCTGCGAACGATGGCCTCGGACGATCGACTTTCTCCTCCCATCCGACTAAGATCCGCGAAGTCTTACTACTCATCTGGCTCGATCAGATCAACTACCTCCTCGTCATGGCTCTTACGAAGACAAGTACGCTACTACTCTACACTCGGATCTTCCACTCCGCGACACCAGAGCAGCAAATATTTCGACGATACTGCTGGGCGCTGATCGGAATTGTCTGTTTGACAAGCTTCTTTCTGACTGTTTTTGCGATCATTATGTGCGAACCGGTCGCATACTTCTGGAATAGAGTCACTGCGACTCCGATCGAGAGTGGAGGCACGTGCAAAGATCACAGACCGTATCTTTATTCGAACACTATCATCAGTATCGTGACGGATTGCTGCGTGGTTGTGCTGCCATTCAAGTTGATTTGGGGCCTGCAAATGAACCGGAGGAAGAAGCTCAAAGTGTTGGGCATCTTTGGCCTAGGTGGAATGTAAGTCGAACGTTCTCTCAGTGCTATCTGATGCTCAGTTCATGCTAATTCATTCCTGTAGAGTCATCATATGTTCCATCATGCGAGCAACTCTAGTCGAACCTGCAGCACACCGAACGGATCCAATGGTGGATATTGCTGGACTATGTATGTGGTCACTCGTGGAGTCTGTGGTTGGCGTCATTTGCTGCTGTATACCAGCAACACATCGATCGATCAGAAACTTCTTTGCTGAGATCTTTGACATCGGAAAACGAGAAGAGACACCTATTTCACGGGATCCGAGACCTACGAAAGCAGCGGTTACAGAATGGGATGATTTGGAGCCTGGAGTTGAGGCGCATGGCGTACAAAGCCCAATTGGCGTGACATTGAAAGAAGACTTTGGGCAAACTCCGATCATTGACCCAAGATGGTGACGACGCAGTGGTAGGCGAAAGCGGCGCTCAGGTTGGAGATTTTGCGCAGAAATCGAACGCATTCCATAAACAGTCACAAGATGTATGCCCATAGCCGAACTTCATAACATTTGCGGCGAAATCCAATGTTCTGATATACTCCCTATTCCTGCCCAAATATGAAAGGCTGGGAAAGGTCGTTCACCTTAGAGACAATCGCTGCGATGGTATGAGAAAATTCCAACACTTGATGTGGTGTTCTAACGATAGTCCACGCGCGACCTGTCACTCATTATGTAAAACAGGCAACCAAGGAAATCAAACAGAAGACATACAAGCGTTTGCGGGAAAATGTGGCACAGTGTAGATCCTTTGACGAAGCCAACAGGACGTGACGTTCCAAATAATACGGGCTATGATTGGGATCGACTCATCAGACAGTGCCGAAGAAGAAGTCGTAAAGGTCTCATACCTATGTCCCCGCCAGTGCACCCAACCCTCGAGCTAATTCACTTCTTGATCTGCCGATGTCTCGTGATGCGGTATTCACCGTGCTGGTTCCAGTGGTGACGGGCAAGTGCGACCCCATCTAAGAAACGGCCGTAACACCCCGGCTCAAGGCATGCCATCGTCCATTCCCTGTTTGTTTCCAATTCCATTACAGAGTCCCTCTCGTCGTGACTGGGGCTCTGCGTGCTAAGAAAACTCTCGCCATGACTCTATCCAGACGGCTCAGTCTTGGGCTTCACCCCAAGTTTCAAAGTGAATTTCTTCTTAGGCGGCTCTGGCTTCGCATCTCCTGACGTTCCATTTTGCCCTAAGCTACTGAGACTCGTGATGGCCCCGCCCGTAAGGCTTTGTACACCAGGGCTGGGGTGGGCGTGACTGTGTGGTGAGGCAGTCGCCGGCGGACTGATGCTAGGAGATTCGCCACTGAGACTTCTGAAACCGCTTGCTGCTATGGGTTGGGGCGACGCGGCATCGCCACCAGATAGGGAGCGGAACCCGGTCAACGAAGGTGGCGACATGGCCGGTGCCGCGCCAGGGGCAGCTGTGGCTGACGATGCAGAAGCATCACCGAAGCTCCTGAAGCCACCGAGGTTCATTTGCGGCCCAGCCGGCGAGGTCAAACTTGGTGGCGCAGGGCTCCACGATGCACCGTTGGTTGCGGGACCTGAGAAGGAGCTCTGCCTGCTTCGTCCGCCGCATTTAACTGGCACAATCTTCTTGGCAGGCGGCTGCCCACTTGGTCCTCGACCAGGATGAGGTGGCTTGGATACTATGTCCGATGCCCTCCTGGAGCCGGCTATACCAAGCTGTAACACGACAGGCGGACCACCTTTTCTGCCTGCCTTGAGAGATGCGGACCCTCGTCTGCCATCAGTGGCACTCTTGGCGGAAGCACCTGGAGTTGATGCTTTGCTGGCTTTGGGGATTTTGGGGCTAGCCTCGCGTGGGGAAGCGATGTCTACGCTAGCTTTGCGCTTCAGGCTACCAAGATTGAGCTTGAACCCTGACTTCTGCTCAGTAGGCGTAGGCGGAATGACGGGAGGAGGCATCGACAACGAAGCTTGTTGCTGCAGTGCCATTGTTGCCTCCATGCTTTCACGCTCTCTTTGTTCGCGCTGCTGTTGCGACAATCGGATCTTCAAAGCCTTGGCATCGTCCCTCTCCTTGATAGCTTGCTGTGTTTCCCGAGCTAGTGGGCCAGTGTATTGGAGATTATATGCCTCAAGATCTTGGTATGCATCCCAAGAAAGACCAACCTTCTTTGATGGCTTCGTTCGGTACTGGGTACCATAGTTGTAGAAGCGCATCTTGCCCTTGCCAAGATGCTGAACTTTCCAGGGCAACGGGTACTTGATCGTCAGTGTGAGCGATGTGACAGCGTCGAACATCAGCTCCGCAATCTCGCAGAAGGAGCCAACCTCGTCCAAGGTAATGCTCGGCGATGTTGCAGCATACCAAAGAGCCTGTTTGAAAACCTCATCCTTCTCGAACGCGATCTTCAGCGCTGCAATAGCACCCTCGGGAGTGGTTTTCCTGGTTGCCTCGATCCGCCTCGCCTCGTTACTTTGAGCCTCTTCCAGGACCAGCCCACCGTCGTTAACAGGTGCAGGTGCTGGCTTCTCAGTTTCGTTCTCACCGAGAGCAATGTGGCCCAGGGCCTCACCGAGGCAACGGAACATGCGCTCTCGAAAGTAAGGGGAATCATCGTCCGCTAGTGAGTACAGTAGATGCTTCATGAAGGCTGGTTTCCTTGTCAGACCGATCTCGTTCATGCAGCGAAAAGCCCCCAGTCGCACGTTGTCAGCAGTGCTATGCCTTGTGTACTGCATCAGCTCCATGACCTTGTCCTTGACAATGCCCGCCTTGACCAATTTCTGCAGGCACTCGATGGCGGTAGTGGAGTAGACATTTTGATATGTCACAATCCATTCATCAAGTCGTCGATAACGCTCAATCACATCGATGGCACTTTTTGTGAATGGCGCGTCTGGGTCGACGGGATCTTCTTCGAAATCAAGCGGATCTTTGACTGCTCCCCCAACATCTGCCATACCGACGTCTTCTTCCTCCTCTCCGAAGTCGAATGTGTACGATTGGGGTACCTCTGGCTCCGGCGCAGGGGCTTCCTTTTTTCTACCACCATCCCACTTCGAAGCTACCAGTGCATCTGCAAGACATGACATCAGCGTGGCGACGTAATGGCAGTCCGAAACAGGATTATCAGAATTGTCGTTGTGTGTGAGAAGCGCTTTGAAGAACTCCCGCACGTCCATGGGCACTTTACCATCCTCGTCGCGCAGTTTGGACATTGCTCGTGGGATGGCGCATTGCATGATGAATGTGATCCTGCTCGAAAAATCGTTCGGTCGTGGCATAATTTGACCGGTAGCGCCCTCGTTCTCGCAGTAAAAGTATGCGAAGGCTTTCATAAGATGATGCTTGCCGATATGCATCAGCTTATCCTGAGAGAGGACTGCAATGCCATCCGCTGCCATTTTGCGTATCCCGTAGAAGTACCGTTCGTCCATGAGTGTGCGCAATAATATCGTGAGCGACACAGGATGGGGGTTGGAGCCTACGAGATATCGCATGGACTCGTACTGCGCCACAATGTCCCTATCTTGCTGCAGCTGGGAGACGTACATGTACACCGGCATGACGAGGTGAATCTTGCCGATCCATTCAAAATCGGCGTCCATGCGGATCCACTCATAGGATTCTCCACTCATCTTCTCCTCGTCTTCAGCAGACCACTCGGTGAGGTCCCATTCTTTCCGATCCTGTTCGCTGTCCAGAATGTCGCCTAAGCAGTATAGAAGAGCGCTATCGCCCCCCTCCTCGCCAACGTTTCCCTCTGCAGCATTGGCACGTTCTTTCTGCCGCCGATTGCGTTTCAGCCTCTTGTATTTCGTGTTATACGGGATCTCCAGCTTCGTGATTGGTTCCTTGATTTCGACTATGTGCTCATAAGGGGTACCGTCTGCTTCGTGTATCCGTATCGTCATAGGTCCTGTGAAAACGGGTTGTACCTCCGGTGCCCATACTTCTTGCACGTGCTCCTTGACCTCCCGCATAAAGTTGGAAGGCTCGAATTGCGGCTTGGTCTGGCGTTCGAGCTGTCTTTGCGCAATCGTCATCTCCACGACAAGTTTCTTTTTGTTGAAGCGCTGCTGTACATAGAAGATGGGGCAGCCGGAATTGAACACCCACTGGCGGAAGAAAGATTCCAGCTTGTTGTGACCAAGCTTCTCACATGTGCGCTGAAAGTCGGCGGTGGACAGCTCGCCATTGTGAAGACTTCCAGTCTTGGCGTTTAGGAATATCTTGTTGATGATGCGAAAAACTCCAGTGGAGCCACTTGACTTGATCAGTCGACGGTCCAGAATACCCAGCACCACGGCTGACTTCAGATCGAGGAAATCGCGAATGGCTGGGTCGATATGCAGTAAAGAGCCTAGTTGTGCTAGCGACGGTCTGTCAACATCGAGGTCGTAGACCCTTTCCGCAGCAAGCTTCTGTTCCCATCGGTACTGGTTGTTACCCGCCAGCTTCTTCATGAATACGTCGGTGAGATATCCTGTTATGCCTGCAATGACCCAAGTGTCGGAAGGCTCTTTTGGCACAATGTTGACGCCACTCCATTGCTCTGCGACTGCTCGGACCAATATGCGGGTGTGCCGGTCAAGAGGCTCGATGATGTCAGCTGGAAAGAGCAGGCGATTGCTGCATATTGTGAAGCCGGCCGCCCCCGCTGTGTCGTAGATCATGTCATCGACGAAAAGCAATTGGTAGGTGGAAAACGGAAACCGCCCGCAGTTGACGGAGATGTGGTCGACAGCTTGGCAGATGGGATAACCGGTGTTCTCAACTTCTGCTGACCGGCCAGGTAAGCAATACGCATCCACTTTGACCGCTGTCTGACCCAATTTCGCCTCTTCCTCACTGCCACGAAAGGCGGTAAGATCGACATGCTCGAAAGGGCCTATGGCAAATCCCACGTGCCGTGCTGTGACGGCGTCGTTGAGAGAGTATGTAACAGTATGCCGTGTATCATCCTCGGGATCTGCGGTGTCCTCTGACTGATCACCAACGCACAAGATCGCGAGTTCCAGTGCGGCTTCTGAACTGTCCATGTCGATCAAATAGTCATCCGCAGGCTTTCGCTTTTCTTTTTGTTTGGCGACCAACTGATCCCCATCCGCCATATCCACGTCTTCGACCTCCTGGACCTGTCCATTCGCTTGCGGCGTATCAGCCTTAGATTTGCGATATGCATCTCCTAAAGTCCTTGGACACCTTATCGCAATCTCCCAGATGCATTTGCTCGTCGCGTCGTCCACGCATGGAAATATGCTCGATGAGTTCCCTGGCCAAGGATCCAATTTGGTGTACAGGTATGGGTACCGCTGATCGCCTGGGTTGCAGCCGATCCATCGAATGCCGTCCCGATCAGAGTCCAACTCGAACTCAATTGTGAGCTTGATTGGGGCGAATTGCGGGATTTGTTGTTGTAACTTCTCGATCACAGGCGTTTCCAAAGCATCTCCATCCGGCTTCGACACCCCAGCTCTCTGCTCTTGAATGGGCAGCGCTGTCGCAGGATCCACGCGCAGTTCCTGGATCTTTAACCTGGGTGGGAGTGTGACCACAAGCTGCGCCTCTGGCAGTGGTCGGAGTGCGCTTTGTATCCGAGAACGAAGCATTCCATGCTGGTGCACGCCTGTCTTCTCACCCACTCGTGTCCGTCGATAAGGATCGTCATACTCGAACCTCGCATTGATCCCGCTCACTTGCGCCTGCGTCGGTCTGCATTGCCGGCAGTGCAGGCTGATGTGGCGCAAATCCCGCACGAGGGGCTGAACGGTAATCTCGGTGCTGCCTCGAAGTGACTTGCCGGGGAAATCGACATCAAGGTCCACACGCTGCTTTAGCACGGTGTACTCTGGCGGTGCCGGGGCTTGCGCATCTGCGCCGTCTTCAACGAAGCCCGGCATGGTGGTCGCAGCACCACCCGAGTGCTGAAGACGCTGTTCGCACGACCATCAGACGTTGAATACAGCAGCGGCGGAGAGGCGGAGGTGAAGTGTCCGGGTCGCCTGTCGCGCGAATCGGAGGCGGAAGATGCTCGAAGTTCGGTGCGAGGGGCGGAAGGCGAGTGTAAAGATAGTGTCGCGTGGCGGTGAGGATACAGTGTGCTGTCGCTGGCGGAGTCGAGTTGGCGCAAAGAAGTCGTCTGGTTGTGTCGCGACGTTAGCTGCAGCTGCAGCGGAAAGTGACGAACGAACCAGCACGGGCGACGCGGGCATGCGCGGGTTCGGATCAGCCCACCGAGCCCTTGACGCCGGGCTCAAGCCGCGAGAGCCACTCGGCGAAAATGTAACGCCGATATCCGATTCCTGTTGCTCGCACACTTGGGCTTGGCTTCCCTCCTTTCGACATCACACAGTCACATGCCCAAGGTTCTAGAAACACGGCTTCCACGTTCACATCAGCTGCTTTCCGACAAGTGACTCGTCACTTGCCACGCACACGCCATGTCTGCCGTGCACAGCTGAAAGATGCCAGATGTCTTCCGACTCGTGGACCCTACACAGAGCAAAAGGAGGGCTGTTCCAGCTTGCGACTCCTGCCGGAAGAGGAAAGTTCGATGTGACTTAGGCCCGGGCGATGCGAAATGCACGCCTTGCAGTTCTAACGGCTTCGATTGCCGCCTGGCTCACTGCAAGGCTCGTCGCAAAGATCCGAGGCGTAGGGCACGGAATGATGCTGCTCATGCTCTTGGTCTTAACTCTCTCCAACTCAGCTCACCAAATGCACCTGGCAACCTGGGCTCATCACTTTCCCTAGATCACCAGAATATTTACCATGATCGGCATCTGCCTGCGACCCCCTCTTCCGTTCCGTCCACCTCGATCTTGACGGTAGGAATACAAAGAAGATGCCGATATTCCTGTTTCAAGCCTTGCTCGCGGCTAGTTGTGTTGTAAGTAAACGTTGTCGAATACATGGATTTTCACAAGAATGAGACTAATGGAAAGTTCCTCTCTCCGCACACCCTTGGTGATTGCGGATTTGCTGACTATCATTCCGCCCGGCATACTCTCTGTCGCCGCGCTAGTGTAAGTCTTTGCAGCGGACGAAAGAGCGCTACTGACTGTGAGCTAGCTGCTCTACGATTTTGGGATATGGACAGATCCTCTCACTGTTGCACAAGGAGCCCTGTTATTGTCTCTTGTCAGCCCATATGACGATTTGGTAAGGGGGAATTCCTGCTGGATCGACACCGCTATTCGCTTTCTTCGAACTAGGCACACTTCCGCCTCGAACGAAGGAGACTCTGTTTACCAGAGAATATGGTGGTGCGTTATCATACGGGATCGTACTCTGGCTTTGATGACGAGACGGCCTCTTCGATTGCCATCTGATGCTATTCCATCTAGCGTGAATCTCCAACCTGGAGAGAACGCAGTCACTGGAGCTCTTGGTGAATCCTTCGTCCTGAGTTGCTTGGACAGGAACCAAGTCTGTCAACTTTTTGGGCTTCAATTAGGACTTTCGTTTTCGTTCACCGACTTGGTGAGCCTCGTTTACCCGGTGTCCGGTTCTCTTGGGCCCAAAGTGGGGTCCTCGACAGATGCCCACAACTTCACTGGTCATGTTGCGCATCATGAAAGCGTTCTGTACTCCTGGCAGTTGAAGGTCTCAACGTGGCATGCGGACCATGTCCTGGTCGGAGATGTCAAGCCAGCTGTCTTACTATTCGTGAGCCGACTGAAGATGCAAATCCTGTTCGTAGAGCCGGCCGTTGAGATCGCGCTGTGCTAACGACTTGCGCAGGACTGCTAGAATTGCCCTGAGTTTCACTTTGATTGCAACGTGCTCACTCCATCCGGAGCACTTCACGAGTCCAGCACAGAACTTGATCAACGATGCCGCGAAAACCATATCCGAGAGTGTTGTCATGATGGCCAACACAGCCTACGAGTTGTCATCTCAGGGACTTGAAACAAAATCAGATATGCAGGAGTCAGTCTACGTGCACAGATGTAATTGCAAAGTTCTCACACTAACCTCTCATCCATCAGCCCAGCATGGTGCATATTTCCTATGCGTCTGCTTCAACTCTCTCTTAAGCTAAGCACCGTGTCAGAAGACCAATGTGCTATCAAATATCATATGCAACACCTACGCCGATATATGGAAGCACACCGCCAGAGATGGGATGGTATCGATCGTGTGCTTAGCAAGCTCAATGCACTTGGGCCTCCGAATGTCAGCGGAACGGACTCCCCAGCACCAGCTATGAAACCGAGTTGGGATCTAGCCAGCATGTCTCATGGCGTCACGCACCGTCTCTTTCGAAAGTACTTGACATCTTACTTGAGGCTTGGCACTGCTTACAACCTGTGCATTTCTAACAGCACAGCGACATATCCTCAGGATTTGCCACCTATATTGAGGAGCGACCATTGCGATTCTACACCAACGACCGAAATGCTGGTAGCTGGCGATGCGAGCGAGCGATTCGAGCCAGGAGATGAGTTCACCAGTTACGATCACGACGGTGAACAGCACGGCGAATGGCGATGGGACAGATTGTTCTTTCACGATGCATTGCTCGGTGATCTGGACGATTCCCTGGGTACCTACGCGACTTGGTGAGCAGTGACGTCCCTGGCTGTCGTGAGCTTCGAAAGTCATCACCTATAAATCCGCACCCAAGATGACATCAGTAATTGGAGACATTATGTTGGACGTGATTATCGGCAAAGAAGATTCTACGCAGACTTCATAACTTATGGCTCTGCGCTGCAGCTTTCGTGAGCTTTTCCCACCGTTTCAGCAACTCCCGCACAGACAGATCAAGCAAGACATCCTCCGAGCCACCAGGCACACGCGAAAGGCCAACTTCTCTCGAGATTGCTAGAAGCGAAATTAGCTTGGGACGGCAGGGAAATGGGACATGTGTCTTCACCTTCGATGAGCTCTCCTTGGCCGCTTCGCGTAACACTGTTTCCGCCAAGCAGAACTTGCGCATGGCTGATGCAATGCTCGAGCGTTTTGGCAGCTGCGACTTTTGCCATCGCGATCAATCCTCCTAAGAGTGTATCTGACTCCGCTTTGGGCAAAGTGTTCATCCCATGGGTCAATTGTTCCGCTCGAGCCCACTCTGCCTCCAGCATTGAGCCGGCTTTAGCAAGACGGTTGCGCACGACTGGCTGGTCAATCAATCTTTTGCCAAAGGCTTGCCTCTTAGAGCAATACGCAAAAGTGGTGCTGAGTACTTTCCGAGCCTGGACAAGAGCGCTGATCACCATGCTCATCCGCTCATGGTTGAAATTGGTCAGGATGTACTTCAGACCTAGCCCTTCTTTCCCAATCAGGTTTCCTACTGGTACACGGACGTCGTCGAACTCGATGAAAGTTGTGCCTGCGACCTGTCCATTGGACAACGTCATGGAGCGACACGTCACGCCTGAGGTGTTCTTCAAAGGGACCATCATCAGGCTTATACCGCTGGCACCAGGACCACCTGTCCTGACAGCGGTCGTTGCGTAGTCCGCCCATATACCAGTGGAGATCCTACATCTGGTGAGCGCATGACCGCGAGGGCATCGAAGAATAAATTACCACTTCTTATAACCATTGACGATATAGTGGGACCCATCAGTGCTTTTCACTGCCGTTGTTTCTATATTCGCAACATCGGAGCCAGCGCCAGGCTCTGTCACAGCGATACATGCTCGCGTCTTCCCAAGCAGAAGCTCTGGCAGAAGACGATTTTGCAGCTCCTCGCTCCCGTAGTGCAACAACGGCGGAGTGCCGAAAGCCATTCCAGGGATGATCATGCCGGCTGGAGCCCAAAGCCCACAGTAGTACAGCTGTAAAGGTCAGCATTGCTTCCTGTCCAGGCTGTTCAAGGTGACGATACTTCGCTGGTGTATATCAGGTAATGGAAGTAATCGAACTGCTCAAGACGAAGACCTCCCGGCAGTTCGTGCACACCCAACTGCTTCAGGCGCTCGACCGGCAACGGCGCAGGCAGTGAAGGTATCAGCATCCCCGCTGCAGCGAATTTGGCATACATATCGAACGATGCCTTGCCATCACGCATCCATTGCAGCCCATGGTCGCCAAGGTTTTCAGATATGAAGGCTCGACAGGTCCGCTGCCATTGCTTGTGAGACTCCGAATAATATGGAGAGGGAACGCCTGTCAGCCACGGAGCTTCTGCGAACGGCGTTCTGTCGATGCTGTCGTCCATGAAGCGTTTACGAATGGATGAACGTTGAACGAGTTCGACTTTTTGCAATTTTCAGGTTGCACGACATGGAAGAAAACAATGTGAGAGGTCAATCTGGGCTGTTCAGCTCGCGAATGCGAGTGCAAAACGTCTCTCTGCCGATCGTAGAGGGCAGTCGGAGAAGCAATCGCCTTGGCGCGACTGGCATGGTGCAGCAGATACCTGCTCGTTTTGGAAACCCCGCATGGATGTGACCAATAACACTGCTTTGCCCGGTGCTTCCGCATTGGGTATGACCGAGTGCCTACACCGAGGTCTATATTTCATTTCACAGCTGTTTGCACACGTCTATCCTGCCGTTCACTTCATACAATCGAAGAAAAAGATCCATAGTCATGCCTCAAGACAGAAACTTGGTGACCGTCAACACACGCATCGAAGACGGTGTGGGCTTTGTTCAAATCAACAACCCCAAGCAGAGGAACACGTTGAACTGGCAAGTGCACTACGACTTGCTAAAAGTGCTCGATGAGTACAAAGAGCATAAAGATGTCGCCTGTATCCTACTCTGCGGCAACGAAGATTACTTCAGCTCGGGATGGGAAATCACACTCCTGGAAAAGTCAAATGCAAGCGAGAAGCAAGCCTTCTCTGACATCGCACTAAAACTCATGATCGGTGTCTACGACTATCCCAAGCCAGTCGTCTGTGCTGTGGCAGGAATGTGTCCAGGATATGCCATGGACGTTGCCAACTTTGCGGATATCACTATCTGCTCGAAGAATGCGGCCTTTGGAGCTTCGCAGGTCAAATATGGTCTTAATCCGATGACCCATCCGATGTTTCGAAAGATGAGTGTACAGAGAGCTCGTCGATTGATATTTACTGGTGACCCGATGGGAGCAGAAGAGGTAAGATGCTAGGCCAGCCGCTCTTGTGACATGCTAATCTGATCAATATAGGCACTTCGCACTGGTCTGGTGGATGAAGTGACTGAAGTCGGACAGCTGTTGCCTCGAGCATTGGCACTCTGCAAGCAAATTGCTGAGCGTGGAGCGGAACATGCTGTCAACCTCAAGGAGATGTGTCTTCGTGTGCCCAACATGGATCACGTTGGAGCGACATACTACGAGACCCGATTCACAAACGATCTCATGGCCAGAGATCAGTTCAAAACTCTTGCTGCTGAGGGAGTCAAGCGAATCAAGGAGAAGCGGAGCAAGGCCATCGAGAGACTTGGCAAGCTCTAGTGCTACTTTCCGCATTACTCAATGAAAGTTATAGTGCGCCTTTACTTCTGTATGAACATGACATTCTCCAGAATTCCAAAGAAGGACTGAGGCACTGGACAGCATCTCGAGAATGCTCTGCGGTTCTAAGGTATGTGGGTGGAGCTCAAAACAGAACTTAGTAATATGTAAGTGTAGTCGTATTCGAAGCGATCGTCCAATCCGCAACCGCGTCCTACCAACGCCGACTGCGACGCCGAACTGACCCGAACTCCTACGGCGCCGGATAGATGTCGGTAGACGGAGCCGAACTCCACCAAGTCTCTTCGCTTCACATCTTAGACGATTGAAACCATTCTAGTTGTCAAACTAGCAGAACGTCTGTACTGATTCGCACACCTCTTGTCATTGCTCAAACCCAGCCAGTAAAGAGGAAAACCCGAGACGAAGCTATGATGAATCGGGAGCTTTGGTCGCCAAACGGGGTAAATATATATTGGAAGCATGTCGTGCTCCTCGTTCAAGCATGCTCCACTGACTCCTTTCGATCCACACTCTCTGAGCCGCCACAATGTTCAAGCTCCGCTTCTTCCTCCTTGTCGCCTTGGCCGTCGCCCTTCCACAAGACCTTCCAGGTCAAGGCGTGAATTGCATGCCTGGCACTGCATCTACTTCACTCGAAGAGTGCCGGTCGCATTTTGAATACGCTTGTTGTGCTGGAAGAATCTGCTATCAAAGTTCTCCGGGCGTCTATGAAGTCTGTGTCAATAAAGGTGAGTCTGAATCCGACTGGCCAGCGCGGGATCCAGGCAAATTGATCGGGCCAACGAGCGTTGGACTTGATGGCTGACGAATGTTCAGGCGGATCTTGAGGTACTACAGATCACGGATGAAGAAGGGAGTTCACAGTGATTGAGCACTGATTTGCATTAAAGTCCGAAGACGCCGGGGGACAAACTCGTTGGAAAGTTGGCGATGAAACCGGTGTTGGGTACTAGTAGAGAACGTCAAACCTTTGGTATCGATCGACTTAAAGAGAACGTGTTCTCGAAGCACTTGTCGGGCAATATGTATGCAAAACTGGTAAATAGAACCGAAGCTTGTGAGGATGTCGTAAATGGATGGGCCATGATGGGTCTGTGTGATTTCCGACATAGAAACACGAACCATGACCTCCCCGCACTGCTCTGATGCATGCACCACAAAGAGGTTGTGCTCCAGTCTCTCAATCGGCCTCGGATCCCTGTGCACCGCAATATTTCGTACAGTAGTGATTCATCTGCAAACATCAACATTAGTATACGTTTCATACGCGTTGGCATTAGTGAAACGATATCATCAAGGCACTTACCTCGTCGCCTCCAATATGCCACCCCTCAGACTTGCACTCTAGGCCATCCTACGCAAGATCAGCAAATAAAGCCTTGAAATCATTCTCAAACATCATTTCGCGTCTTACAAATGTACAGTCAGGACATTGATCCCATTGCTTATTCCCAGTATTCCGTCGACGGTAGTAGCCACAAGCACAGTCTGTAGCATCGAGCAGGATTTCGTACGTTTTGGGAAAGCCGCCCATGCCGGGACTGAAAGGAGTGCCGCCAGGATGACCTATCTGTCTACCGCTGACACAGACTGCTGAGCTGTGTAGATCCGCCATTACTCTGCGTGACAAACGATTGTTAGCATGGATGTCGAATCAGATAATATGCTCTTGAGCTGACTGGACGGACTGTGAGGCAAGTGCCAGGAGAAAGACTGCTCCTGCGAAGTATTGCATGGTCCTTGAGGACTTGGTGCTGAGGCGAATCAATGTCGTGAAGGTATCGGGATTCGGACGTGCTTGTTGTGCCTTTGGATGCCGAGTGAGCAGGCATATTTATATATTGCATCATGTAACCCAACAACAGACGAACTCGTCACGAGCACTGTCGAAGATGCCTTCAAGCGTGCCATTTTGCCGTTGTCTTGCTGGGCGGTTGCGCTATCCCTCGCGTTGACGTTGACTCTGGCCGTGTGCTGTCATCTCGCTTCGATATTGTTCACCAAGGTGGTGACACTTTTGCTCGGTTACCACGTTGCATAAGGGAACCTAGTCCGAGCAGATAAAGCATGGTCGTTAATGCTTGTGTCTCCAGTAACTAATGTAAAGCTTCACCTTGGGTAGTAGCACTAGATCTTGGCCTGCTTGGCTTCACCTGTGACATTGATGATAGCGAACAGAGTTTGCAGCTTATCCTGTCATTTCGTCTGGATAGGCAAGAGAACTTGCAAATAGCCCTTCCACCGATTGAATATATGTGATGGCTTTGGCACACCTCCTGGACCCTGCTCTGATCATGATCCCCTCCAACGGTCTCTGTGGAGGATGTGCACTGAGTAGCAGAGCACGTCTGGCCGGCCACGTTGTGAGCAGGGATGCTTTGACAGTCTTAGCCTCACAACGGGCCCTTGGATTTCGTGGTGCTCTCGTTCATCAATGTATACAATCGGCAGAATCCGAGAACCCACTGTGGCCGCCAATCATTGATTCGCCCTGGTTTGACGTACGTTCGAGCCGACAACCACTTCCAGCTAAGAGCGCCAATCATGCAAGAACGACATGTCTGTGGCATTCAGTGTGGTGTCTTTGATCCTTCGGAAGTTGCCGAGCTACTGCCGCATAGCACGCTGTGGAGCTGACTTTGGGGGTCGCAAAAAATATTTGTGATCTGGCAGTTCTTGGTAGCAGTTGAGACTCAAATTGTCTCAGTCGATCCAATTTGGATTACAGATCAATGTCACGGCCTTGTCGAATCTTTGGTGGTTGGGTAAGAGTGCAGGAAAGCGTGCGCTGTGCAACTTATGGTGCAAGTGCACGTCCCGGCACTTCTTCCGCTGACTGGATCGACAGGTCCCACAGTCTCCGCTTTGCATATAGAACACGGACTTTGATGATTCCTTCGCAATGCTCTGCTAGGAAACGTGCTATGGGTCAGGACTTGGAGATATTCGGGACGAGAGTTTCCAATCTGCTCCGGCACGTCCAAGCTAGCATGGCGATGTAACATTCAGGAGTACACGGCCCATGTGACGATGCATCTTGCTCGTATGTGATGAGTGTGGTGTGCAACACAGGTTGAGTAATCGGCATGGTCGGTCTTTGAAGCTCTGAGAGCCTATTTCGAAATGGTATGGGCTTGACCATGGAGTGGAGTCGGTACTTCGTGCGCATACTTAAATGGACTGAGCTGGAGAACATCTAGGACCATCGACCAAGGCGACTCTTCGTTTCCTGTGCGCTTCAGCAGCTTCTTGGATTTCATCATGCTCTCTCACGCCCTCGTGTCGTTGCTGCTGGCAGCCGCCGCAGCCGCCGCTCCAGCCCAGATCGATCCCGCCGCAATCGAGGGTCTTACCCCTGGAGATCTCCTCTTGACCGAAGGTGAACTCGCAGGTAATCGCTGCCCATGACAAGAAAGCTCGACAGATATACTGACCAGTCGGCCCAGGGCAAATCTTGAATGCAACTGCCTGGAAAGATCTCTTGGCCGCAGAGGGCATTCTGCTCGAGACTCCAGAGGTCGATCACGATTATCTGAACTTCACTGCACCAGAGGCAGTGGAGACTTCGGCAGAGCCTAGCCTGAAGAAACGTCAGTGCAGCAAAACCACCAGCATTATCACAGACAAAACCGAGAGATTTGTCGACTGGGATGTTCAGATGTCTCCCATAGTGTGCGGCAGCGGTGGACCAATGGATGTTACTGTCACAAGTGGTTTCTCAGTGGCCAATGGAGTTACCGTTCAGGGTAGCGGCAGCCCTACTTTCATTGCGGGCAGACTGAGTGCCACCTTTGGCGTCTCTTTCACCAGGACTTGGACCACTCAATACTCCGTTGCAACGAAGGTGACCATCAATGATGGAGAGTGCGGCGTGATTGTCACGAACCCCTTGACTACTCGTCGCTATGGCCGCACAATGGAAGGCTGTCCAGGAAGCTTCCGTCAGATTGGCACATGGATGGCTGATGATCACGGATCGGGAAGCTACGCAGGTGTGGACTGGATCTCTGGTGCCATTACCACTTGTCGCAAGAAGCAGCGTTGGGCGCCGATGACTCGCTGCCACGGCGAGGGTGAGTTCAAATAGGTGCAAATTTGGCGATACTCGCAGGAGAGGTGCAAGAGTGGTGCGCGGAGTCAGCCGAGGGGCAAGACGGGCTCTTGAGATTGCTTACGTACGCGTCCAATTCGTCGGCAAGATTCCATACTTGGTTGTTCGATATGTAGAGAGTGACCAGTCGTTCTTGTCTCAATGTCATGTTTAGATGGTCGTCTTCATGGAACAGCCTAGCTTCGGTCAGGCTGACAGCAAAAGTGTGGTTCATTCCTGGGTGATGTGCTGTCCTTTCTCTCTCGTTGAGTCCTGCATCATTTAGCAGAAGGTCATCTGAGGTCCTGCACTCTAATGTTGAATTCGATCCTCCAACGCCCACGCTAAAAAGTTGCACCAAATCACATGTCTGATTTCACCTCCTCAAAACGGCCTCCTCTCCGCAAACTTCTTCAAGTCGTCTTTCGTCGCAACGCCCAACACAAATCTCCTCCCCGGATCTGTCACAACAGCAAAGTCATTTCCTCCTTCATAGAACTCCTCCAAATCCTCCAGCCTCGTCTCCATAGTGATAAGCTTATACTTTTTCCCGCGCCGTTGGAACTTCTGCATCGCCTTCTCCACAGGCTCGCTCTCGCGGACTTGGCCTCGTTCCAGAAGCTCACGTAGTCGAGGAACGGAAAGGTAGCCGAGGAGGGTCTTGTGTTCGTCTATGACAGTGAGATGGGTGTAGTCTCGTTCGAGGGCTGATGTGAGGGCATGGGCGATCGGTGATGTAGGGTGGGTGGAGAAAGCGGGTGATGGGTCGAGATCTTCGACTACGGCCTAGGAAAACATCAATACTCAGAAGATGGAGGGGTTGAGGGGAGTTTATGGCATACCCCTCTGTATTTGCTGGCCCATGGACTGGGCTGTCTTGTTGTGTCATTGGTGCCAGTCGGCAACTCGGAAGCGGACGATGTCGATGTCGCTGCCATTGTACCAGATCGGGAGCTGTAATCGGAAATGTGCACTTAGCCGCGTAGAACACTTTCTGGAGGTGAAGTCCGGCGACTGGGGTCAGGGAAAGTTCACTTCTCGGCGCGAAACAATTAAGGTTCGTTATCCGCGGGCAGGGGTACGTCATTCTGCCACGAGCTCAGCTGCCCCAAACAGCTTAACCAAGGTATGCGCGCATACCAGTGTTGCTGTTGCTCTCTTTCAGCCTCACGTGTGGGCACAGAACACATATTGTTGGGAGAACAGGTGAGCTGAACGCTTCTCGTATTACTGGCATCGATATCCTCAGAAAGGATCAGCAAGATTCCGCAGCCGTCCGTATGCCCGGCAACAAACGGAGATAATAAGCAATGCTCCGTCTCCAGCATAAACAACCAATTCCTCCCATGACTCCACTGCTGACTCTGGTTGTCCTCTAGCACAGCACATCATGCCGTCGCTATTCCCCACCTTCAGCGCCCTGAGCGCGACATTCGGTGAAGCTACACCCTACCAATCCACACCCAAGCGCAAAGACATCAGCCACTTGTATACATCCTGGGACGTGACAGAAGATGCAGAGAACAAGGCCACGCAGCTGAGCGACAAGGCAGCTGCAGAGCTCGCCAAAGCCAGCAACATTGCGCAAGAGAAGACGGGCAAGATTGAGCTGTACAGCGGGAAATACTATGCTGCATGGTGAGATATACAACGTACCGCTTGAGTGTTGGCAATCGTTGCTGATAGGAGCTCACAGCACGTTCGGGGGTCTCATGGCCTGTGGTCTCACCCATTGGGGTGTCACTCCACTCGATCTAGTGAAGTGCCGTCGTCAAGTCGATTCCAAACTTTACAAAGGCAACATCGAGGGCTGGCGCACAATCATCCGTGGTGAAGGTGTCCGAGGCTTGTACACCGGTGGCTCGCCAACTTTCTTCGGTTACTCGATCCAGGGAGCGCTCAAGTACGGCTGGTACGAGTTCTTCAAGAAGTTTTATTCGGATCTCGCGGGCGAGGAGAATGCGGTCAAGTATAAGACGGGAATTTACCTGGCTGGTTCGGCCTCGGCAGAATTCCTCGCAGATATTGGTCTTTGTCCTTTGGAAGCCGTCAAGGTGAGGATGCAGACGACTATGCCACCTTTCGCCAAGGGAACTTTCGATGGTATTTCCAAGATTGTCGCCGCCGAAGGTGTTGGAGGTCTGTACAAGGGCATCGGTCCGCTTTGGGGTCGTCAAATCCCGTACACCATGATGAAATTTGCTTCCTTCGAAACCATTGTCGAGATGATCTACGCCCGCTTGCCCAAGCCCAAGGAGGAATACTCCAAGGCTGCCCAGACGGGAGTTGCTTTCACCGGTGGTTATATGGCCGGTATCCTCTGCGCTATCATCTCCCATCCCGCCGATGTTATGGTGTCCAAGCTTAATGCCAACAAGAAGGCCGGAGAGTCTGCTGGAGCTGCTATGGGTCGGATCTACAAGGAAATCGGTTTCTCTGGTCTTTGGTCGGGTCTGCCCGTCCGGTAAGTGCAAAGTTGTTACTTCACATGTATTCACTCACGTGCTAATCCGTGTGAATAGTATCGTAATGATCGGAACGCTAACTGGCCTACAATGGATGATTTACGACTCATTCAAGATCTTTATGGGCTTGCCGACGACCGGTGGTGGTGGCCAGAAGGCTGAGGAGAAGAAGTAGTAGTTTCGAAGTGAACAGGTAGTCAGCGAGGGGTGAGTGCTTCACCACACTCTGGAGAAGACCTGGAGCCTGTCCTGAGGATGGAACAGTACTGTAGTATACACCTGTGATGATTAATGAAGAAAGCTTGATGCGTGGAAAGAACAGTTGACTCTTGAGAGATACCTCCCTGTGTCTTCCACTGCATTGATGTTGAGCCTCACCGGACTCACCAGGCCCCTCCCAGCACGTGCACGCAGGTACACGCATGATCTGACATCTGCACGATTATGATCATCGCCATTGCGTCTCGCAGAGCTACATTGTAACTGATAAGAAATTTCTCCTTTGAGGCATGTCTGATAAGCCCATGTTCAGCGCCGCCAATGAAGTGGCCCAGTGCCTTGGCAATGACCTCAAGTGTCCGACGACTTCAGCTCTCTCCCTCCTCCTTCAACGATACCAAGACCGAAGATGGCAGAAAGTGTGGCCAGTCAGAGATGTCGCTTTCGCCTATGGCTGTGTCGACACATGCAGTCACGAAGCGAGGCGGCTGCGTCATTGCTCTGGCCGGCGCGGTGATGACATGAGGCTGTCGCGTGATGTGGGAAGCGAGCATCTTCCTGGTCGACGCACGCTGCAGTTCGTCCGCTTCTGTGGGTGCTTCTCACTGTTGTGTTTACTTCACTTGTTTCCTACAGCAACTCAAGAATCACGTTTTCTTGTGCGACATTGAGCTTTGAAGCTTCTTCAGCTGAATAGCTACATACTAACAGAGCGATCACTTTGCGACACGCGACCACTTCGTTCGAAGAAACCCAAGCGGCACTTGCGATCATGTCAGGCGCCAACGGCAATAACCCAATCCACTCCACTGGCCGCGGCGGCGCTGGCAACATTGGTCCTGATGCGCACACCTACGTTGACGGGGACATCGTCCGCGAAGGCCAAGCTGGCGTGAGCAACCATTCTGAGTACAGTGCTGGACGAGGCGGAGCTGGTACACCTCCCTCACCCATTTAACTCCTCCTGCAATCGCACTAACACCATGTACAGGCAACATCGTCCATCCCGCCGCAGGCCCCGGCAGCGCCTCGGAAGAAATCATCCCGGAGTCCGCAACCCGCAACGTCGGCCCCGGTGACGGCTATGACAATTTCCACACGGGTCGTGGAGGTCAGGGAAATGTGTACAAGGAGAAATATGGAGGACACTCGACCAAGAAAGAACAGACTGCAGCTGAGGCGAGGAATTCGCCAAAAGTCGGACCCACGACGCATAAGGAGGGCGGAGGCCTCTTGGACAAGGTGAAGCATGCAGTGGGACTGGACAAGAAGGACAAGACCCCTGAGCCAGGAAAGTGAGCGGAGACGAGATACTGTGGTAAGGACAGGGCGAGGATGCTACTTGCTCCTGCTATGCTTGATTTCTTTGCTTTGGATTTGAAGGATCCTTTTTTGATACCACGATGACGCCCGCGCGACTGGGAGAATCACGATTGTCTATAGAACACATGACTTACGACTTTGGAAATGAAAATGCTTGCCTGCTAAGTCCGTCTTCCTGTGAAGCGATGTAGTATCAGGCCGCGGATCCGAGCGAGTTGGAGACTGCACTCGCGGCGCAGCGACCAAAAGCGATCGTCCCCTGAAACAAGACGCCACACGCTAAGAAGCAATGCGATCGGTAGAAGACCGGTCATTCGAATTCGGGAGCGAGAAGGCATGCGATGCCATGGGAGTGGTCGTGCTCTTTCGCAGAAGGCCTCATACTCTTCAGTGTATGAGCTGAAATGTACAAGTTATCTCGCAATCTTCCTCAACGAAATGGATCATGTCAAGGTCTGATCGTCTCTTATGTGTGGGACCCTCTTGTCGTGGCCCCGAGTGTAGGCAGCTTCGGAGGCAAGACCCAGACATCGGAGGAGCGAGAAGGCTCTGCCAGCCTTCTCGCTTCTTCGAAGTCACCAAAGGCACATTTGATCGACTCGAGATCACAGTCTGGGAGTATTGCAGCTTCTCCGCATGTTCTCTTCTACTAGTGCTCTCTGTAAGGTTCAGATGACATCTGTGTGTGCCTGGGGCAGTGCTCCATCTCTCAATTTTGCCATCTACTATGGCAGTAACGTGCCCACACCAGCTGCGCCACGGCAGCACGGTCCAGCGCATGAAATTCGCTCCATGCCCAGTGAATGCTGCGTGGCCAACGACGCTTTTGTAAGAGACAATCATTCTCGAATGAAGCTTTGACGTTGAGAAAATCAAGTTGGAACGTGTACCAGCCGTTGAACTCATTGGACGAGGGATTTTGAAGGTTGAGGTCGGCTTGCAGACTCTTCATCGGTCGTTTCCGTTTAATCCCAGCGATCTTGCTTACGATGCTCGCCAGGTCATCGCGGACCTCGCGAAACCACCGCATTTCCTTGCTGACTGCATTGCGTGATTCCTCCTCTGATGGTTCACGGGTCGGACAATCCGAGAGGGTGATGCTGAAATACATGCTCCTGACATTCTGCCGATTCTGATGACCGATCGATTTGTAAAATTTCGCTGTAATGGATGAGGTGTCTCGCCAGTTGTGACAGCCTGTCCGCACCTCGAATGTGTTCAGTGAATAGAACAAGGCGCTGCACTCGGATCGCATCTGCTTGCAGACTGCTAGCATAGCTGTGACGTGCTCGTTACGTGTTGAGGACGCTTTGTGCTCGGTGTTGTTCCCACACGATCGCGGCGCGACAAGAATGTGGTCGTCGTGGGTGACAGCGAGTTCCCAGATCATGTTGCGAAGCTCCGCAGCCAGTGCTCCAAGGGGTGAGGCGTCCATGTTCAAGTTGCAGTCTGGTCGGTGGAATGTTTAAGTGGTCGAGGGTAGTTTGTTGTAGTTCATACGACTTGTGATATTCGGAATAGGCAGAGAAGGGTGCACAGACCCCTGTCATTTTCACATGCACGTACGTCTTGGCGCAGTGAACGCTCCTGCTTCTTGCCTAAACTCAATTTCACCGACAACCAACAGGCATTCATGGTCCACCAGCCAACATTGATGGCACGCAACCTCCTTCGGAAGATGGGCCTCGACACGGCACGCGATAACGAGCCGACGAAGATGGCAAAACGCGTCGGCCTTGGCTTGACTGAGTCGCTATTCAGTCGGCTGCCGGCGGAACTTCGCAACAAGATCTGGGAGTCTGCTCTCATCACGGAGCAGTGCCATGAGGTTATCTTCACATTCGAGCGGAACGCAGAGATCACATTCTCCCTCACCGACAAGAACGCAACCTCGTTGCTCATGACGTGCAAGCAAGTCAGGCAGGAGTGCACCAACATATTCTATCACCACAACACTTTCAAACTTCGTAACCAGCGTCCATACAATGAGGATTCGCCATACTCGAATGGTCAATCGGACTGGGTGCAGCTGCCATCAATTGTGGTCAAGAAATTCCTGCTCATCAACACCATGTCCCACAGACTTGGAGTAACTGGCATTGTCTACCACGTCTCAACCTCCGATAGACCACGTCAAAGGCTCGATGTGGGGGCTCTTGTGTTGCTCGACCACACGTCCGTAGGACTTTGAAGTCAATAGACGATGATCACCTCCGTGAGCTTACAGCTGAGGTCGATATTCAGATTCCAGGGGCACAGGGCCCGGAAAGATGGACCAGAATCATGGCAAATGTGAAGGAATATTCAAACTTCTGTTTCGACATGGCCCAAGTGATCGTGGACCTTTGGAATCACGAATCTGGCGTCGACGCCTTCATTCCGCAAGCTATGACGCGCGTTGGATACACACATGAGGTGTTGTGAAGGATCATCATGTCCAACGAAGCGTCAACAAATGAATGGGTGGTACAAGGGCGTCAAGTGGTAAATCACAAGAAATTTTCGCGAAGTGTTGAGCATAGCATGGAAGATACATGGCAGCAGTAGCGCGGTGATACGGGAAATCAAGCAGAGCAGAACGAGGCTTCGTCGCATGCCACGGGGCGAGAATGGATGGTGCCCCGCACGTTATAGCATTAGCAGTTCGGCGCATACATTGCAGCACTAGATGCAAGTCTCGAGTTCCTTCTCAGATCAAGTAGTCCGAATTGTATGCACCTGTGCGTTTCTTGATGGCTTGATGTTTCCTGGCGTCGTCATATGCAACTCGGCTTAGTCAAGGCTTTGCTACTTCAGGCCCCCGTCTCCCTTCTTTGCGACACCAACCATTGCTGCACGGTCATTAGCAACAGACTCCGCAATCATGGACGACTGGCCATTCCGTAAGCTTGCGGCCGAGGTATGTGTCTTCTCGAGGCGCTTCAAACTACCTACTAACAGTTTGCAGCTCCGCAACAAGATCTGGGAGCTCGTGTTGATCCACGAAGATCCGATCTTCGTGCGCAGCAGCGTCGAGCCCCCAGGATCTAGGACGAAACCCGAACATCTTACGGCTCTGCTCCAAGTCTGCAAGGAATCGAAGAACGAATGTTCCGAGATGTTCTACGCGTCAAACACGTTCATACTCGAGAGCTTCAGCGGCGCTTCCAGTCTCGACGAGGATCTTCGCAGATTCATACACAAATTGGGCAACAACGTACCGTTGGTCAAGCGGGTCATCATATCTGCAGGAACGATAGATGTGCTGCACCGAGATTCCTCTTGTTTCTACCGTATTTGTTACGGTGAACTTGATCTCCTTGGTCACTGGCGTAGTCGCCTATCGAGTTTGCGATTCGAAGTCCGGTTTACCAAGAAGCATTCAGTGGAGCGAAATACTGTGTGGGACAACGGAGGTCTACTGCTCGATATCGACGTCTTCGATCTGCCTACGTCTTTTCGGCAGGCGATGGCCAAGATCTCGACCGCCATGGGAGGGAAGACGGTCAATCTCCTTGCGATGGAGTCCAAGATACATTTACCGCAGTATGACGAGCTGTGTGCCAGGCAAGAGGTACTTGGAGAGGCTACGCAAGCCAGTGGCCCAGACTTGAGTTTACAATCAGGTGTGACTGGGCGGAAGGTGGGATACTGCTGCATACAGTGACTCTTTACTCAGAAGAAAGCCGAGACCATGGAGCGCTACTTGCTCATCGTCACCTTTGAGTTCTGTAACATGTAGCAGAGGCATGAGCAGGTCGTAGATCCACAAGGTTTTTCAACCATATGACAAGGGCAGAAAGGTTTGCACCTTTGGAGCACTGTCAGCAGCTTCACTCTCGCCGAGTGGTGTCTTTCGGATCTCACTTTGGCAGTGCTCAGCGTGTCGCCTGGGAGGGCAACATCCCTGCAGCCTCACATGCAGCTTCCCCTTTAGTGCGTTTCGGAAAGCTATTCCACTTTTCTCTTCAGAACACCGCTTTCCACTCTTGAACATCAGACACGAAGTCGTCAAACCCAGCGCCACTTCACTACCGCGCTGTCGACAAATCCAATGGAGGAGTCACGATTGGGCAAGCTCGCACCGGAGGTGAGTCGAATGAATGGCATTCCGTGCGCGACGACGAGAAAGTCTCTGCTGACAGCCACAGCTGCGCAATCGCATCTGGGAGTCCGCGGTGACCCAGGACGTCCTCATCAGACTCAGCACCCTGATTCGTCCAAACTGCATCAGTTATCTCTGGCGCCGTCCAGACGTCAGTTGGGTTTTCAAAACCTGCAAGCAAATCCATGTCGAATGCGCCGACATGTTTTACGACAACAACACATTCCACGTGGATGCAAACACCTTCGGCACGTGTACAGACAACCCACTCACTATGCTCGCAACTCGAGATGGCCCAAAGACAAAAAATCTCACTATGCGGGGCTTCGATGACTTCCCACTTCCGGTAGGTAGCAGCCTCCATGACAACCTTGCGTACGGCCAAATGATTGCAGAAGCCATCCAGGAGCTGGAACCAGAGAAGCTTCTCGCGCTTGCTCCAAATCTCCGACACTTGAGCTGGCAGGTCACGATCTACAAAGGCGTGACTCTCGACGTCGATCTGCGGCACTATCGCGAGTCGCTTAGGATGAACGTGGCCAAAGCGCGCGAGGTGGTTGCAGATTGGAAGCAGACCGGAGACCGTTATGTTGCGCGGCATATTGAGCAAGCTCTCCAACCTATTTACGCTCTGTGAAGCCCTGCGATGGTGGCTGAGAAAGGCTGCAGGACGAGGGCAAGAAGAGACTGAATGCTTTCAGAGAAGGACTCCAACGCAGTGGCCCCAGTGTTGAGCGAACATCATAGTGCATGGCTAGAATATGGGATCGGAGTCGTGGGTTCCGAAGGTTTACAGTTGACGCCCTGTCAAGTCGCACCAAATGCCAACAATTAGGTAAGCAATTGGTCAAAGCAAGCTGCCTTTCTCGTTCTTCGGGCTGTGTATGTTCACGTTCGTCGGTCGCCGCTCGTAGTCTCAAACGTCCTCAGAAGGAGATCAAGCGCGGTCAGGCGCTCGTGGGATGTGAAGCAAACAACCCTGCAGCTTCACATCCAACTTCAGTTTCTAGCGCGCTTTGAAAAGCTTGCGTTTCTTGTGCTTTGAAACGCGATCTTTGAACCATCAATTTCTCCACAAAGCGCTGCACAGATCGGCCACATCGTCGCACCACGTCCAAGTGGAGTCATAGACAAGTCGCCGCTGGGCGGACTCCCACCAGAGGTGAGTCTCTCTCTTCATGTCGTCCAGGTCGCGACGTTGTGCCTTCGCTGACGAGTTCAGTTGCGGAACCAAATCTGGGCCCTCCTGCTTCCTGACCTCAGACCGATCATGCTGGTTGTTCCCGCTCTGGTTGGTCGTTTCCGCTCGTACCAGCCGATGTCCATGTCTCTTTTGAGAACCTGCAAGCAAATCCACAACGAAGCCACTGGACTGCTCTACTGCGGCACCACATTTTCCATCGAGCCCTCCTCCGTGGAAAGTGCAGAGGTTCACCTCAACAAACTCACAACCAACGAAGGCATGCAAAGAGTGAAGAGAGTCGTGATTAGGGCGTGGACGACCTATGACCACGAAAGGGAAAAGCATGTTTTCGACCGGAAAATCTTGAAGGGCATGATCGCCAACCTAGGCAAATTGCGGTCGTTCGCTGGCAAGTTCGAGCAGTTGACTTGGGAGCTCCAAGTTCAGGACGGAATTGAGCTCAAGATTGACGTTTTCGACTACGAAAGTTCGCTGGCCAAGACTATCGCCGGCGCCCGGAAAACAATTGCGAAAACGGCTGCTGACGGCGACAAGAAGTGGGCTGCATGCGAGGAAAAGTTCCTGAGTGAACTGGGTCTCGACGCCGCTTGAGCTGCGGAGAAATACAAGCGGGAAGGAGGCTGCCATTCGCGTCGATAGCTGCCTTGAGATGCGGCACTACGCTATGTTGGCCAAGGCTGCTACACGCAGGTGTGTGCTCGAAAGGTCTGCGTAAAAAAGAGCGAGAATTTTGTGGGTTCTGTCAACCGACGGTGCCATGCAGTCGCGCCGTAACGCCAACGCTCAGAAACATGTATAATACGATGTCAATCCAATGCATGTCCATGTTCACTGATCCGCACCCAGTATCCCAGCGGTCCTCAGACACAGGTCCAGCACTGTCAGGTGTTCATCGCTGCCATCGACCAGCCTCTTATCGACCTCAGAGAAGACGAGCATGATTTTGTTCTTCGCTGCATCGCCCGTTATCTCATTCGTCAGGACTACCCTGTCGTATAGCTGCGTGACAATTTGACTCGCAGACCAGCCTTCAGCGACGAGATCCTCAACAGCTTTGGCAATCGGCTCGTACGGCGGAGCCTTCTTTCCCGCGGGTGTGACCGCTGTGATGAGCCGATCTATTGTTGAGTCCGGAATCACGCCGGCGATTTCCTCAATGCTCAACACCGTGACAGGTTGTGATGAAGCTGAAGGTCCTGAATCAATGTCCATGGCATCGTCGTCGTCATCCTCCACCGTCTTTCTCTTTCTCTTCCCTCCGCCCTTGCCCTCATTTGCTGTAGCACCCACCAGTCTTGCCGCACTTTGCAGAAATGTGATCGCCTTTCGCAGATCTCCCTCGCTGCATCTCAGCAACGTCTCCACGACTCCGTCCTCTAATTGCACGCCTTCCAACTTTGCAATATCTTCAATCCTCTTTCCGGCATTGCTCTCATCCAAGCTCTTGAACCGAAACTTCGAACATCTCGACGCCAAAGGATCAATTATCCTCGTCACGTAATTACACACCAAACAAAACCGTGTGATCTTGCTATACGTCTCCATCGTTCTCCTCAACGCACTCTGAGCATCCTGCGTCATGGAATCTGCTTCGTCGAGAATGACAATCTTGTACGGCGGACAAGGGTATTTCTTCTTGTATTCTTCTCCTGCCGGGCCTGAAGGTGGATTTGAGAGTTGCATGCGGGCAAAGTTCTTCACCTTTTCACGAACGATGCTGATACCGCGTTCGTCGGATGCGTTGAGCTCGAGGACGCGAGATTTGACGAGGTCGGGGCCGTAGAGCTGTTTGGCGAGTGCGAGTACTGTGCTGGTCTTTCCGGTTCCAGGAGGGCCGTAGAAGAGCATGTGGGGAAGGTTGGCGGATTGGAGAGTTCGACGGAGAATAGTAACGGTATGGTCTTGGGCTGTGACATCGTCGAGCGATTTGGGGCGGCTGCGGAGTAGGATTTGTCAGTATCGCAGGCCATACGCAGTTGATGCAGGAGAGGTGTGTACTATTTCTCAACCCATGGCTGTAGACGATTGTCTTCTTGATTCTTGTCTGGTTTCGATGAAGATGAAGCTGCTGCTGCTTTGGCAGCAGCTTGTCGTGCCCGATTGTCGAAGAAGGGGTTCATGTTGCTTGTGTTGATCGAGAGGGCATGTGGTATGGAAGCTTCGAAGCCGAAGGTGATGTCGACGATGATGTTTCGCGTTGGAGTCGCGCCGTGCACTTTCGCGACGCGTCATGGACAAGAGCGTCAATATTTGACGCACTTTCGTCAATACTTCGGATGACGCGACTCCGCCGAGCGTCCATCGGTTCGGCGAGACGAGCCTCACCCACTCCAGCTCCCAGACGCTCCTCGCAACATGCTTGCACGATAACCTCGCCCATCTTGTCGACTGCTCTGTGACAGTCCGTGCAATGCGCCATCACGCTCGCTCCACGCGCATCAAGTCATGAACGATGCGCCGGCTTCATCCGCTGCACCACCTGCGACAGATGCCGATCTCGAGCAAGATGGACTGGATGACGATACCAGGCCGCTCACGGCGAAAGAGCTAGCCAAGAAGAGGAGGAAGGACCGGGAGAACTTTCAACGGAAAAGGGCAGATTTGCTCGATGATTTGCTTCGAAACCTTGACATATTGATATATGCGGAGCTGAGCACGATCTATTACATGGAGTATGTGTTCTCACAACATTCAGGTTGGAGGCAGTGTTGACAAATAGACAGCTGCCAGGTGACATTGTTCTTCATACGAGCATTCATCCAGTTCCTCTTTCTCACCCCAAAACCGGCTATTTTCCAGGAGCTCCCAGATCGCTCATTCCTAGGCAGCATCGTTGGGCCCAATCTCCTTTGCATGCTGCTGCATTGTATCCTTGCTACGCCCTCTGCAGGTGAAGCCACGCGAGGCTACATGCATGGCGGTCTGATCATGGACTTCATCGGACAAAAGGGGCCTTCAAGTAAACTGCATCTACTTTTGCTCGACTTTGTGTTGTTGGGGTTGCAGATTGTGCATCTGTCAGCATCAACATTGCGACGGCGACTCAGGAGTGCCATCGAGACTGGGTCCGCTGTGGTCGCAGCTGATCCTGTTACGGCGACTGTACAGACAGTAGAGGACGAGGAGCGAGGCGTCCGGCGTTCAGCTGAAGAAGAACGCCGGGCCGACATCGAAATGCAAAATCTCACTGCAGCGGGCACTTCGACCGAGAGTGCTGTTCCAACCTCAGCAGATGAAGAACGAGAACGCCTACTTGCATCTTTCACTCCTGCTCGTCGGACAGAAGCTCACATTTTCGATGCATTCAATTCCGGTCAAATGGTAATCGCCGATCTGGACCTTGGCAAGACGATAAAGGAGCAAATGGTGTTGATGCGCGTGAAGTACAACGTGGAAGAGGAGAGAGCGCGTAATGCTCAGCTCCGACAGAGGCTGTACCAGCGACTCCTATCGAGAGTGGGTCGATGAGACCACTTACGTCCCGTGCCCGAACGACCGCTGAGGCGCCTGCCTCAAAACCTCTTCCGCGCTGCCTGCCGTCGAGTATGCTGGGAGGACCTCACGACCAGCTAACGATGGACGCGTCCACCTCGCACAAAAGACAGACAGGCCATGGAGAGGTGGTACGGCCAACAGATTTGCATGCACACACGCTCGCCATCATATATAATGCACGAGGGGTAGATCAATGGCCTATAACCGGGATCTGGGATCAGTCCGAGGATGTGGCCTCCACTCAAAAGATCAGCTCGAAGCACTTCACGAAAATGTTTTCTGGCCGATCACAGCAGGTCCATTCTGCAGCTACTGCTGGCGGCATGACCCGCCCAAAGAGCTTCAAAAGAGCTGCAGCTTCACCATGACTTGCTCTTTACATACTGGCGCTGCCAAGAAACGCCCTCGGCAAGCCGAGATACCCTTTCCGCCCGTCCCATCTTGTTCATCCTCCCGACCTTCATCTTGACCGCATCTCTTCCGCTTTCTCCAGATGCTATTGAAGAAGATCTAGTGCCAGGATCCCAATTCTACACACGCTAATATCACAAGCTCTCAAGGGTACCGCTGACACAGCATATACCTGGAGTTCTGATGCTGTAGCTATCGGATGTGGAAGGCTCCGCTTTAAGTTCACTAAATCTTGCGCTACTTTGTCTAAGCATAACGCACGTGCTGCAGCCTGCATTGGTGCAAGAGCACTGGACAACATTGTTGCGCAATGTACTTTGCCCCAGCCAGTGAAGGCCTCGTGCCAGCACACCACTCAGCTCGTGGTTTCAGCGTTCTGCCTTCAACCCGTGTACAAAGTGGAACACGTATGGTCGCGGCCCTTGAACCTATGTTACTCCTTCTGGCAGGCTTAGTTCGTGGCTTGCATGGCTCAGCTCGATGCAAATGCGCCTCAGTGCAATACGGATCGTCGAAAGAACACAGCCTCTGTCAACCTTTGTTACAGAATCTTACCCTATCAAGAATCAAGACACATTTCACTAGTTTCGACTAATCGATTCCAGAAAATCCTAGCCTCACTTCCAAGCAGATCTCGCCTCGGCTTGGTGTGCGAATACTCTTTCGGGCGGGAAGGCGCTCAACTACTAGCTGAAGCGCTTTCGCATTCGGGCATAGTTTCAAACTAGTAGGTAGATACAGTTTGACCTATCGCTTGCTGCTCATGATTGTAGCAAGGCGTGCTACTCGAAAACGTGGCGACCAGCGTGTGGCGCTCCGGCCAAGAGCTGAATGTGCACGCTGAGGAGATGAGGGGAGCGAGGGAGACGGGGGAGCGCATATATGCTGCTCGGCCACCGCGAGCATGGATGCACAGTTTGTCGATCACTAAATTGTCTTCGGAGACAAGATGGTTTACTGGACTTCTACTATCGTAGCAATCCTTGTCTTCTCTGGCCATGGAGCTTGCAACGTTGCTGCCTCGTACAAGGGACCATCTACCAAAGGGTGTGCGAGAGCTGTGAGTATCTGCCGCCAGCTTGCGCTACACGAAGTTATCTGACAATTTAGTGCACCGATCTGAGCAAGTCGCTGCCAGGCAAAGTAACAACAGCTGCAAACGCCGCAGCATTCCAACAGATCCAGTCTGGCTACTATTCGACGTTCAACTCCGACCTTGCACCGGCGTGCTTCGTTCTGCCTACTACTGCCCAAGATGTTGCTGCCGTGGTGAAGGCAGCGAAGAAAGCCCAATGTCCGTTTGCTGTCAAGGGTGGTGGACATACATTCTTCGCTGGAGCAAACAGCATTCAAGATGGTATTTCTATCGACCTACAACAGCTTAATCAAGTCACGGTGAACAAAGATGGCTCAGCGAGCATCGGGCCCGGAAACCGATGGGGACGAGTCTACGAGACACTTGATCCTCTTGGCCTGACTGTCATGGGTGGACGCGTCTCGACGGTTGGCGTCGGAGGCTTGCTTGTTAGTGGAGGTCTCAGCTTCTTGCACCCTTCTCAAGGACTGGGTGTTGACAACATCCGCAACTACCAGCTTGTTAATGCTGACGGAAAGGTGTTGGAGGTCAACCAAAAGAACAATCCAGACTTATTCTGGGCGCTGCGAGGAGGAGGCAATAACTTTGGCATCGTGACACGCTTCGATGTTAACACGGTCAAACACCAGAGCTTTTGGGGTGGAGGTATCAATTACAACATTTCCGAGCTGGAGCCTTTGATGAAGGCATACAACAGGCTCGCACAACCAGAAACGCAAGACCCCAAAGCCACTACCTGGTTTGCTCCGGTCTACTATCCCAAGACAGATTTCTGGCTCATCAGTGAGTTTACATATCAACACTGAGCGTACTTCAAGACTGTACTGACCTTGACTAGACACCGAGCCTGTCTACGCCGACCCTGTTTCCACAACTCCAGAGATCTTCACGCCTTTCATGGAAAGCCCCAACCAACTATCCAACTCGATCCGCATCGCCAACATCTCCTCTCTCGCTCAAGACACCACCCCGACACCGGGCAATACTGTCGCTGAATGGGACATCACCATGAAAATGAACACCGAAGTGGTCCACTACATGCATCAACGCATCAACGACGGAGCAATGAACCACCCTGCCATCGACCTCATTGCTTTCCCCGTTCAGATATTGGGTAAGACTACCCTGTCTCACACCAAGAATCGCGGCGGCAACGCTCTCGGCCTATCTGAGTCAGATGGTCCGCTTCTCATTGTCCAGCTCGGCCTCAGCTGGCCCGCTGGGGCTTCGGAGGCAGACGATGAAGCGATCTATGCTCTTGGCGACGCGCTCATGAGGGACGTGAAGCAATGGAGTGTGAAGAAGGGGTTGGAGCATCGATACATCTATATGAATTACGCTGGGAGGAGCCAGAATGTCTTTGAGGGATATGGAGCGAAGAATCATGCGAGGTTGAGACAGGTTGCGAAGAAGTATGACCCGGAAGGTGTATTTCAGAAGTTGGTGCCGGGTGGGAAGAAGGTGTTTTGAGAGCTTTGCGTTGAAAAGGCTCGCCGCATTCCAGTATCAGCCCTGCAATCTACTGCTGCTGTTCACATAGATCAGTATCTACGGATTGATCCCATGTTTCTGAATATCGAACCTGAGTTCCAGACACAGCTTCTCTGCATCAGAGTGCTCAGAGTAGACTAAATCCGAAGAGACTTCTAGAGAAGAAAAAGTGAAAGAACACTACTCCATTCTTATGCGCTTCGAGCTTGGGTGAGAATCCTGACACATGCTGGCACCAAGCCACGCTGCCTGACAGAGAGCCAATAAAGCCCGAACACCTCTCCAGTGTCAATAATCATGGCAGGTCTTATGCAAGGGTACTCGAGTTGGCCCTCAATATGCTCGACAGCTAGAGCACTGGTGGTGCTCACAGACCACCTCTCCCAGAAGCGCTGGCAATTGTTTACGGTCAAGTCGAATGAGCGACCATTTCACAGCGTATTCGCATTGAACGTCAAGGTATGCTGCATCCCTACAAGCTCGTTCGGTACAGTGATCGATCGCGCAAGCGAAGGCTGGCGTTGAGCAGTATCACCTGACAGAGAGTTGAGAGACTTCGACCGCCTCTCCGATCTGCAACGAACACGGCAAGTAGTGCGCGATGCGACCTGAGGCGGCTCAGTGCACACTCAGCAACCAGAGGCGAAGGTGCGAAGAGTGTCGCTCCGTTCCAGGAATACTTACTCGAGCCTACCTAAGCGCTCACACCTTGGCAGTGATTGCGGAGGGTCGACGGAGACAGAGAAGAGAAGCATACTCTCAATATGTTGAATTGGAGAGTTATACAAGCGAACCTGTTTCCCAAACGCGGTGCTTCCGTCACAAAAAACCTTTTTTCAACCGTTTCATCGTCCGCCTCAATGCCTCAGAATCACCGATTTTGAGCCTCGCCGCCGCCGTCGCTAAGAAAATGCCAAGAAAGACAATGCAGGAAGATAGCGATACTTACTTCTGTTGTTGGGCCCGTTGTTGGGCTTCGAGCTTTGCTGCGGCTAGTCTTGCCAACAGCTCCTCTTTGGTGATGCGAAAGGGGTTCACTAGTGGGCAAGGGCGTCGATACTTACACCAGCGTCAGCAAAGACCAGAAAAAAAGGGAAAAGTGCTCGTGATAGTCGTTTCGAAGTTTGCTATAGTTGATACTCGTACTGCGTGAAGGTTTCCTGAAAAGGTCAAGGTTCAGTCATCGTTACCCACCTCATTCTTAGCACCGCCACTGGCTACGGACTCTGATGACTTCGAGCCTCGACGGCCGTTTCCTGGACGATCGCCATAGGAAGAGCTGTCTCGACTCAAGCGATAGTTTTTGTTGCGGTCTTTGCTTGGAATCAGATCAGCTGGTGGCGACAGTCTGCCTTTGCGTTTCGACGGTGGCGAGTGAGATCGAGATCGGCGACGCGGTGGTGGTGATCGGGATGGCGATGGACGGCGACGCCTGCTGGGTGGTGAGCGTGAGTAATCAGAGTAAGAGGGAGATCGCCGCCGCCTGCGCGGTGAAGGTGAACGTCTCCTGTGGTGACGGTCGTCATCGTCACTGCTTGCTGGTCTGTCCCTCTTGCGAGGAGGTGAGCGAGATGCATCGGAATATGAGTCGCGGCGTCTACGACGTCTTGGAGGAGAGCGTGAGCGCGATGGTGATCGGCCATACGAAGGTGAACGACGACGGCGACGGGGGTTGTCATCTCTGCCTCCACGACCGCGTCCGCCTGGTACGTAGCTGTCAGTCGCGCGTGGTGGACTGCGACGTCTCGGAGGTGGTGATCTGGACAAGTCTCTCGAGGGTCGGCGATCGAAGGAGCGATCGCGTACGCGGCCTCGACCTCCACGTCCGCCTCCTCTGCCGCCACGAGAACCGCGCTCGCGCTCGCGGATTCGTGCCAAGTCTCGTTCGCGTTCGCGGTCTTCGATCTCACGCTGCCTGGCTTCCTCGCGCGCCTTGTCTTCTGCGATCTGTATGTGCTGTCAGCATACTGTAGCTGCTTATCCGGAATCCAAAGCTATTCCTCACCCTCTCCTGTATGAGTTCAAATTTCTTCGCTTCAAGCAGCTCTTGCGGAATGCCTTTGGGGTCGGCCTGGGCGCTGAGGAGCAGCTTCCACAACTGGAGGCAGAATGGGGGAGCGTCTTTGTCGAGGAAACCGGAAATGTCGGTCTGGATCTGCTTGATGTTCGGCTAGGAAAAGCTGGTCAGCACGAGTGACGGAGTTGCAGCTGAAGATGTCAACTCACGAATTTTCCGGCCTCGAGCAGCGTGAAGATCATCTCGGTGACCACGTCGTCGTCGCTATTGAGGATTTTGGTGATCTCATCCGACACCCACTTCTTGATCACAGGCAGGTTGACCTTGGTCATGTCAACTTTCTTGCTGAACTCTGGTGGAAAAGAGGTATTACGCATCGCTCGCGCGTCTGCGCCCGTCTTGAGCGCTGCCGACATAATCGGCGTGATGTGGTGGTAGTGTATGAGGCGAAAGGGAGAAGATGTGGACGAAGGGAAAGCAGGGGTCAGACAATGCCGCTGCCGGAGCAGGTGAAGTTGGCGACAAGTCGAAGGTGTGACGGAGTGAGCTTCATTCAGCATTGGAGCTTGGGACGTGGCTGCGGAACTGCGCCACAGCCAGTGGCTGGTGACTGCATTTTTACCTTCACCTTCACTTTCCTCTTAGCGATTGTTGCTGGTCGCCAACGTCCATTCTGGGCCCAACTGGGGCGGTCTTACCGGCGTGACGGCTATCATGAGAAGCTACGCCTTGATGTTGAGGGAGCGGGTCAACAAATCTCGGTGTTGGACACACCTCCCAACAGCTACAGATATGTCCTCTCTCGAGTATCCGCGTAGACGAGTTCCACCCAATTTACCCTGGTTACATGCTGAAATACGAAACTCAAGAACCGCACGTCCCACCGCCATTCTAGCAAGACCTTAGGTATGGATTGCAATTGTGTACATGTAGCCAGCTAAGGTAAGCGCCAAGCTCCGGTCCTAAGTGCGCCCCAGGCTGCAACATTGCTTATAGCTCCCTATTGCCCGTCAGTCCATACATCCAACCGAGTCGCAAGAGTTCAAGATGACTTCCATCCATAGCTTACAAGCCTATCTCTCGCCTCTCCTCAATCTTGCTCCGTACCATTTATTGAGCTATGGCATTCTTCTGGGGACGACAGTTTACCAGTCCTTCGTGAACACAAAAGTGTGCTACCAAGCACTACCGGCATCAGCGTTTACCACACTTCAGAAGCGCATCTTCCCCGTCTACTTCCAGATCCAGACAGCATTGCTCATCGTCACTGTCTTGACTGCGCCACCATATGGACCGGTATTATTGATTCAAAAGAAGCGCGATTGGGTCCCACTCGTATTTGCAAGTGGCATGACATTGTTGAATCTTTTCATCTACGGCCCCCGTACTCAGACAGCCATGATGGAACGAATACATCAAGGTGCGACCACTCGCCGCATCATCGCCATTGTCCATCATGTATAGCTCATTCACCTTGATCCAGCGACGAGGGAACGCACGACGTCCAGCACGGGAAGTGCCAAATCTGAGCCCAGCGCGATCATGCGAAGCAAGAACAGAGAGTTCTCCAGAGCACATGCGATGTCGATCCATCTCAATCTGTTGTCCATGATCGCGACGGTATGGTATGGGATCAGACTAGCATCCCGAATGAATCTGGAAGTATAGAGGGAGGAAGCTTTGTGGCTCGTACTTTGCTGTTCGCCGGAGAGGTAGAAAGAGGTCTAAGCCCGAAGAGTTTGATGTAATGGCCGTAGCGATAGTGCATGGTAACATGTAGAAATCGGACTAATCGTCAAGTCGCGATTTCTGGGAGCAGGATCCACAGCTCAGTGTCTGTAAACCTATGTCCTGATCGCAATCGAGTCGCAAGCATGCAGGCGCATGAGTTCCATGGTCGCTGGTCGGATGTTTACGCAAAAATTCTCGAGGAGGGCGCTAGGCATGGTTTGGAGTGCGGGCTCTGGAGACTGGGGGCCGCGAAGCTGCTAGGTCCCACTCGACTTCGAATACCAGGAGGTCGCGGACTTGATGATACCATTTGATACTTGGCAGCGCGAGTGACTCGAACTTCAATCGTCTTCGTCATCGCTGAGGTTCGGCTTGAAGATGTCTTTGCCGATCTTCTTCGGTGCAAAACCTTCGATCGTTCCAGCAGTCAAGAACACTTCCACATCTGCATCTGGAGCTCTCGGCATGTTCGAGCTGATTTTCTTCTCCACGACATCATCAGTCATGACCTGCTTTGGCCTGAAACCGCCACTCTGCTCGCCACGCTCAGCGGCAAGTTCGTCCTCATTCGCGACCTTCTCGCGCCACTCGTTCACGCGAGCTGCGCGATTCGCTCGCCTAGTAGCAGTGTCTTCCTCCGGTGGTCGATCGTCTTCGTGTAGCATGATGTCTGGCTGCTGGCTCCGCTCGCGCTCCCAGGCAGGCACTTCGCTGAGCTGCGCTTTCACGTAAAGGCTCTTTTTGGCACAGTCGGTAGAACAATAATCACCCATACCTTTCTTCAGCTTCCACTCCGACGCCTTACCCATCGTTTGGGAGCGAGGTGAGTTCTGGCACAGCGCATATCCGCATTTGTGGTCTATGGTCCTTTCTTCAATGAGACTGTCATAGTCTGAGGGCTGGAACGGCTTGACCAGCTGTATGAAGCTGAGGGCCTCGCGAGACGTGAAACTGGGTGATGCTGGGTAATCGATGAGAGCAGTAATCGAGTCCAGGATCTGCGCCTCGATATCCTTTTGCGCTTGAATTCTATACGCGTGGTGAAGCGCTATCTTCAGGTTCTTGCGGTCCTTCTCCGCCTTCTCCCTCTCTTCGGCGGTCAAAGCTGGAGCACGCTGCTTCGACGACTGCTTGAGGATAGACTTGACCGGTGTCTTGGCGGCCATGTCGATAATCCGACGTGTGTGGCAGCAAGAAGGTTGTGCGGAAGATCGCAATTAAATCGCAGTTGTATGCGATGGCCGGCTAAACCTCGGTGGGCGGTATTAAACTCTGAGCGACGTAATGACCGTGCTCTCCCATGCCACAAGATTGTTGACCCACTTCGGACCATTCGACTGCAGCTGCCTTCTTGCTGCTGTCTCTGTTTGGCCATACCGCAAGCATTGCTTTGGAGGAGCATACACGGCGCCGGCGAGCAACTTGGCATCTGATCTGGCCGGACGGCGGCGGATCAGTCTCGACGACAGCGCATCGGATCTGTTTCATCAGCAGCTGCCTTGAGCAGGCCGCGTCAACGATCCGCAGCACCACCGCCCACCAACACCACCCCGCCTTCCACGAGCACACCACCGCCGCTGCACCGCCGGCCTGTGGACGTCTACCATGGCGTCCTGGTTTAAAGTCAAAGCTCTGTACGAGTTCGAGGCGAAAGAGGAAGACGATCTGGGCTTCGACGGTGGCCAGATTATTGATGTCACGGAGGAGATTGATGCGAACTGGCTGGAGGGCAAGTACACCGATGCAAGTGGCGAGAGCAAGTCTGGTATATTTCCGCGCGAGTTCGTGGAAAAGTATGAGCCTCCGGTGCCTAGTCGTCCTACGCGACCTGCCCGCCCCAAGCAGGAGCCAGTACCTGAACCAGTGCCCGAGCCTGTAGAGGATACACCAGCTTCAGACCCAATTGAGGATGCCCGCGATGTCCCTGCTGTACCAGCAGTAACCAAGCCCCCTCTTCCACCAGTTGACACGACGCCAGCGTTGCCTCCACGGGAGGAAGTCCGCTCGCCCCCCGCCAACGTCAAATCACCTACCCTGCCGAGTGAGCCCCCAGCAGCACCGAAGCCTACTCCGGCAGAACCAGCAGCTCCTGCTGCGAAGAAGCCGCCTCCTCCGATTGCCGCGAAATCCAATGCCTTCCGGGACCGAATTGCTGCCTTCAATGCTCCAGCAGCTGCTCCCATCGCGCCCATGGTCCCTGGAGGACCTAGATCTGGTGCCAACACTTTTATAAAGAAGCCGTTCGTCGCACCACCTCCTATGGCAAATTCCTACGTGCCACCACCAGTCAAGGCTGAGCCTGTTCACAAGCCCTACATTCGCGAGGAAGATCCTGAGATCAAAAGGAGACGTGAAGAAGACCAGGCTGCTGCTGAGGCGGCAGGCTTCTCAGTGGATGCGTCTGGCGAACAACAGGATGATGCCGAAGACGTACCAAAACCTCAAACACTGAAGGAGCGGATTGCCTTGCTGCAGCAACAGCAGCTTGAGCAGGCACAACGGAGGGCAGATGGTGGTCAGAAGAAAGAGAAGAAAGCCGCGCCAAGACAGGCTTCGGAGTCTTCTGAGCATGGCCAATTGCCAGAACCTGACGCAGACGCTGATGAGTCCGAAGATACCACGCCACATCCCAGACAGTCACTTGAGGCACCGGCCGAGCGTCCGCGGGTTCCATCTGCCCAACGCAAGCCCTCAGAGCCACTGTCTCCTGGACCTGTAGCTCCTGACTCGGAGCTTGTGAGCGATGGAAATGACGCAGACCAGTCTGCTGCAGGTGAAACTACAGAAGATGACGCAGGCACAATCGGACCAGAAGATAGCGATGAGACAAGCGCGCCACGCCCGCTGCAACGTAGTCCCACCGTGTCAAAACGAGACCCAGCCGCCAATGAAGAGAACGACACTACTGAAGACGCCGAAGATGACGAAGACTCCATGGACGAGGAGACCCGGAAGCGCATGGAGATCAGAGAACGTATGGCCAAGATGAGTGGGGGTATGGGAATGCCAGGCATGTTTGGAGCAATGCCATTACCCGGTGCGGCCCCCATCAAAAAACGAAAGGAGAAGAAACCAAGTGATGAGGCACCTCCTACATCCCCACCTCCACAGCAAAGAGTTCCAATGATCCCCGTCCCTGGCCTACAACGAGTGCAGAGCCCAGAGTCCGCAACTTCTCAGCACGACGAACGCTTTACCCCAGCTCATGGTGACGATGAACATGAATCAGTGCCTCCTCCGCGCAGATCCACTGGCGAAGATCGCGGCCCTCCACCGCCGATCCCCACAGGTAAGATGAAGCGAAGGAAGAGCATTTTCTCGATGCGCATAAGTCGTCGTGGCAACAAAACGCCGTGTCAGCCCTCAGGTCATCACCTTCGTGACGCATTCTCCTCCGAAGACGTCATGGATGAGCCGACTGAGCAGGCTGCAGGTAGTATGTGGCACGCATCAGCGAGCAGAAGCTATCCTCGCCCCTATTCTTCACCATCTGAGTGTTCGCTGACATGTACACAGAGTCTCGTCCTCCACAGGAACGAGGAGCGCCACCTCCAGTGCCTGGTTCTCAGCCCAGCCGCGCTTCGACGATAGAATCGCGCCCCGTGCCACCGCCGCCGCCGCCACACGCCAATCCCCTGTCTCCAGGCACCGGCTCCGAATCAGACGACGAAGCCTCGGTGCGCAATCTTGGATCGACGGCTGCGACACCTGGCGCTGAGACACCCGGGGTGCCTACACGCAATATGTCGGTACGAAGTCCGCCGCCGGTCCCAGGATCTGAGACTGCCAAATCGCCAGAAGGTCGACGCGCTTCTTACTTCTCAGTCGACTCTCAAACCGCGACTTCCGACAAGCGAGCAAGCAGAGCGCCGCCCCCAGTTCCTGGAAGTCCAATCACATCGCCTCGTGCTCCGCCGCCTCCTCCACCACAAGCTGTAAGCCATACCACTGACTTGCAAGCTGGAGATCATGAGCGAGAGAGCGAATATGAGGGAGATTACGACACCGACATCGCGTCCAGTGCCAAACACAAAGACGCTTTAAAAGCTGGTACACACGTGAGAGAACCGAGCTTGGACGACAACACTGATATTCAATCTCCACCGCCTCCACCGCACGGCACTGCGCCAAGATCTGTTCCTCCACCTCCTCCTGCGCACGCAACAAGACCTTCCATGGACGCGCCCAGAGCGCCGCCGCCTGTGCCTCCTGCAGCACCTCGTGATCCCGTACCTGGTGATGATGATTACGATCCTTTCCGCTATGATAGCACTCGCGGTCCACCTCCTCCTCCGGTTCCCAGCACAATTCCCATGGCCGCACCTCCCGCACCTCCTCCGAGACAACCGGAGCCTGAGAGCTCTGCAGATGATGCAGACGAATTGTATTCTGTAACTCCGCCCAAGCGGTCCTTCGAGGATCCCTCCCGCATTGCTCCTGCGCCTCCGGCAGCGCAGCCTCCACCGCCCATCCGGGCACCCCCACGAGAGTCTGTTGACCAACACAGATCGAACGTGGCAATACGAAGATCAATGGACCAGCCGAGACCATCCATGGATAATGGCCACATCGCCCAGGACATTGATATGGCTGAGTCGACAACATGGTGGACTGCGCCGCAAGCTTTACCGCCGTCATTGCAGAACAGGCAAGGCGTGGACATCTTGTCTGAATCCGAAGAGACTACTGCTTCGAAGCGTGGCGGCCGCAAGGAGGTCACCAAAGAAATTTACGTTCTCTATATTGATTACAGTCAGACCATCATCACGGTACGCTTCGATGCCAGCAATCCTATGGATGCACAAATTGAGCAGCAGCATCGCCCTCCTCCAGCGAAGCTCCGCCAGGAGCAGCTCGAAGCATACTGGCAACGCTTTGGTCGCAACATCTCGGAATCTGTGAACGCTCTGGGACATGCGAAAAAGGATACTTCAGTTGGCAACGGCTCTCCTGCTGCGCTCCCTGCTGAGCTTATCAAGAGTATTCCCAAAGCCCTTCAGCCAGTTGGCAATCGAGCCTACGGCGCTCTGGTATACGCCAACCTCGCAAATGCTTCAACACAGCAATTCGACGAGATTCGACCTGGTGACATTGTGACGCTAAGGAATACTCGATTTGAGGGCACGCATGGCGCAGTGAAGCACAAATATAAGCAAGAATACGGGAGTATGCACGTCGCGATTGTGGAAGAGTGGGACGGCACACGGAGAGCCATTCGAGGTTGGGAACAGGGGCGTGAGAAGCAAAAGGTCCGAAGTGAGAAGTTCAGACTTGGCGATTTGAGGAGTGGTGAGGTCAAGGTCTGGAGAGTTGTTGGGAGAGACTGGGTAGAGTGGGAGACTAGCCAGTGATTCTGACGTGATGTGATGTGAAGACGAGTGGTGGCTTAATGCAGATGTTATGAAGGTATGGGGGTAGCGCAAAAGGGGTTGTTATGTCCATACACGTGAAGCGCATAGAAATGCATATAAGGATGGCGAGAGTTCATCGCTTCTGACCATCTCGCATACGTTCCCCTGTCTGACCTCCCTCTGTGCAGTTATGTTTGTTCTAGACTCGTAGATTAGAGCAATGTTCTCACGGAAAGCGACTGTTGGCACGGAGAGTGATCTATGCAGGCGATGAAGGAACCTTCACTTTCCTGCTCAAGCCTGCTCGCCGTCCCCATTCCTCGTGGTCGAGATGGCACATGACGCGAGTCTACTCATAAACCGCCGCGAAGCAAGATTATGTGCACAGCTTTCAGTCCCGAGTCAGTCATGGTCGCTCCAACACATACTTAGCTCCTCTCGCGAGTCGACTCGGAAGGATCCTGGTCCATGTTACGCACGTAGCGATTCTGGGTACGTACGTAGCGATCGTGGGTACGCACGTAGCGATTGTGGCGCATCAAATATGGTCGAAGTTCGTACTCTGTAGGACATGTTGTCGCAAGGTAATCCCCGATGGGAGCCCTGGATTCGTGTGGGTAGCACAAGTTGTTACAGAGATGGTAGCGTTGGTGACTTCCGCTACTGGTTGAAAGTGGCTTGGTCTTTGGGAGTCGTGAAGGAATTCTGGGTGTTGGATGATGGAACGATCAGGAAGGCTGGGTACAGGCGATGACCCAAGTATTGGACTAGCACTGCCCGCTTATGCTGTGTTCGCTGCGTCGTCATGATGGATCGCTTCCTGAGATCGAAGATCTTTTCATGTTTGGTATGGCCTGCTCTCGAGGATCGGAAAGAGCGAGCAGGCTACGGAGATTTGAGAGACTGTTAAGTCTCCTTGTACCTACCATGTCCTTGGAGAGGGGACACAAGCTCTCGTACTGATGTCGATGGGTAGAGATGTGTGAACACGAGCGTGGCGCGCTACTTCAGCTTCACAAGGCGCTGGTTGTTCTCTTCTGCACGCATGTTTCAAGTCAACGTGGGCGGAGAAAAGAACGACTAGGCAGGCGCGTGCAACCGGCACGTCAACTTTCCTGGTAGGTACGCTTGACTGGTCGCAGTACACCCTCTTCGAATCTGGAGGTGCCTGGGCTCATCGCGTGGTACTTGTTTGCTCCTCACTTGTGCGACGTGTTTGCGTGCTAGAATGACTCGCGTAGCATGTTCTGGGCTGTGGAGATGCTCGCCCGACCCGTACTGCTGGCCTGACGAACTTGTTCCCGATATTTTGGTAGCCTGGCTCACTCTCAGGAAGAGGGGAGGGAGCACAACGAATGATGTTGCAAAATGAACGTCATTTTGGACGAAGCCTGCAGTCGGATGGACAGTCCAATTGTCCAGCTACGTGAGAGACCATGAGCACTCCGTCACTATGTGCATCTGGGCTGTACATTTGTCCGGCGCTCTCAGGCAGTGGAGGGAACACACAAGCAGGGCGCAATATCTTCAATTGTCCGTCTCTCCAGAACGAGATGCTCGAGTGTGAACAGCAAGAGCGCCAGGATCAGGGTGATTTGCCAGTCTCGCGGTTGGCTCACAAATCTCCGACGGAGGTTGGGCGAGCGGATGCGATTGACCAGCTGACCATTTATTGGCGTTCGCCACGATGATCACCCTAGGCTACCCTCAGCCCAGCCGTGTATCATGCGAATTGCAAGGAACAGCTTACGCCGAGGGGTGGGCGCGAGTGAGCACGACTGCGACGCTGTGACAATCGAAGATCCAGGTTGCCGGGCACGAGATTTGAAATTGGTCCAGAGGAGAGACGGTCATACAACACTTGAGCAAGCTTGTCGCACGCCTTGTACCGTCCTGAGCTTGAGACTGTCAACACCTGTAGTCTCACATTAAGCCTGAGGTCGGCCACCAGTTCATCGCCACTCTGCTAAGACAATGCACGGGCCATGGGTTCTCTGCAGTTGCGAGACTAGTCCTTAGCAACACGTAGGCGGCACGTGCATTGCGCTGCGAATTTGAACTTTGAAGCGCTGACGATGCAGATCTCCTGGTCATGTCGTGCATCATTGACGTGCTTGTGCAAGCGCCACAGTGCGTTCAATGTCCGGCCGGAGGCGCATTCAACATCATCGCGCTGAAGAGCGCTGCTGTATGTCGCTACAATTCATGTATCATGTGAGCATGGTGCATTGGCTCAGTAGTGAGCTCCTGACAAATTGATCCTTGGTCCGTGGGGGAGTGCATGTTGACGTGAGAAAAAGCGCGTGTATTGTTTGTTCAGCGGTTGAGTGCGGCGAGTGGCATGCGTTGGGAAGCAATGCAAAGTCCGAGCTGCGCCCATCCGGGTATCTCGAATTGCACGAGGTCGCTGTAGTTTTCTGCAGGGGGCCAGTACCAGCGAGACCGCAGTGGCAGATGACGACCGCTGGCTGAAACGACAGCAATGCCTCTAATCAGCATTGCGAAGTTTCAGCACCTAGACCAAGAGCGGCCACAGACGTCAGTGCTCCTAGGCGGCATGCATCAGTTGCAGGTCTGACATGGGTCATCGAGTCCTTGCCGAGCTCAACATACTGCGGGCTGCATCTACAGACACAGCGTGCAGCATGCTGTCGGGAACCAACTTGTCCAGGCAGGGGTAGACAAAAAGGACGACTTGCTTCAACGTGGGCGTCCAAGTTCGGCAAGTCTTGCTTCTCAGGCACATTTCCGTCACGTGCGGGCACGATGGCATCAGAAGATGTCGAGTCCTGTGGAGGAGCAAGTGGCGGTGAAAGGGTGCCTGAGATTGCCAACGGAGAACTGCAGCCATCCGCAATGTCCCAATCGTCTTCTAGAAGACAGCAAATGAGACATGTCTACTTCATTGTGGCGATGGCGACGCATGGCGCAACGCTGGCCGCACATGATCGACTCCCATCGGGCACAGCAGTCGCTCTTCCCTTTGTGGTTGCTACGCGCGTAGAGGGTTCTGGTATATCTTTGGACTAGCAGGAGTCGACTGGTATCCAATGGTTTTTGCGCGGGTCAGCTCTCAGCTTCGGTGGATGATCTTCGGAGCTTCCATTTCGACCGCATTGTCGACGAGACAGCTTAAAGCGGCCCTCTGGCGAGCTAACTTTATCGTCGTGTTGGCTGTGGAATGTGAACATGTGTGGACGCGCCAGACAGCCAGCGGTTGTGTTTCTCGCGGTTGCAACGAGCAGGCCTTGGCGGCACGTGCACGCGCTAGGGCGGAGGCGATTGGCTGGGTTAGCGAAGCGACCTCACACTTCGCCTCTTCTCCATCTGCCTGCATGATGGCTGACATGGATTCACGATCGAAGCAAGGCACACTCGGGCGGGACTGCGCAATACACTTGCAGCCAGAAGAGCCCGCTATGAGTGGGGGCCCGGCCTGAAACGGGAAGGAACATCGCGGACTCCTCGTCGGCGTGAACAGCGACGCGCTCGACGGTCATCAGTCAAACAGGGATCAGCAGGATCACGACGGCTCCAATGATTTCGAACAAAGAACGCCGACCCCGAAGCGCTTGGACCTGAGATGGGACTGCTGGCGCGGTGCCCGCTGCACCTATTGCGCAAGCGTGGCGGCTTGTAGCGCCAGATTACATGACGGGGGTTCTTGCTGTGAGGAGCGGACGCTGAACTGTCAGCGATTCGCGTGACTCGCTGCAGGCGCCCCAGAAGCCGTGGTCTTTGTGACAGGTATATTCTGCGCTGATTAGCTGACCAGACCGACGACTGTTGGGACCTGCCGGCTAGTCTGGTGGCAGCAAGCAGCAGGTCGCATGCGGTGCACCGGGACGCGGGCCGATCGGAAGACTGCCAGGGCAGCTGCTCTGGTAGGTCCATTCAGCGTGTGGTTGTGGTTGTCAACGCTGCGCCAATCCTCCAGATGGTCCATGGGCCGATCATACACACCGGGTTCTGGAGGTGGAGGGCGGGCTCCTTTGATGGATCGCGCAGACAGCGGGCCTAAGCGGAGCGATGCATCTTGCAATCAGTACAGACGTTGGTTTGCTGTGTTGAGTCAAAGCGGGAGCTGGCGCCAAACATTCGTGCGCGGCTGTCCTCGTGGAGCCTACGTACGCTCAGCATTGCGATGTGGCAGTGTGCAAGGAGAAGCGCAACGACTGGGCTGTATTCACACGTACGGGCCAGGCTCATCACCTCCTGGCTTCGGGGATCGAAATAGGGCGCATTCGAACAGCAGACTAGCCATGCAGCTGTCCACTGCGACCTGCGAGGCGGCAATGTGGCCTGAGCGCTACTCAATACGATGAATACTCTGAGGCTGACCTCGACCCAGCGAGTTGGTAACGATAGCCAGACTTGGTAGTCAGTCTCTGCTGCCGGCCAAGGTCGGTCATGACGCCTGTTAGAAGTAGGACACCACGGCCGGCGATCCTTAGCAAGTAGACGCGGATCTTGCTGCTTCCTCCCAAACAACATCTTGTCTTGCTGGGTCATATCAAAACCCGGCGCAGAGATCCTGTGCCTCTTTAACTTTGCTACCGGCTCACTGCCACTCTAATACTTCTTCTTTGTCCACAGCCTCACCCGCTGTCCGCCACAGAGTAATACTACTGGGGTGACACGAACACGCCCGGACTCAGATCTCTCTGACAACCACCGCACCACCCTGCAGACTCATCAGACACCTTCCACCATCGACATATATCGGCATCAGGCACATTCGCACTCGTTCGACGACCCACTGTTCAACAGCCTGGCCATCTGCCGCACACCATTGGGCCATAAGGGGAACCATCAGCACCAATCTAGGTCTTGCACCACGGTGCGACGACAGCCAGAACAAAGCTCCAGGAAGGACTTGGTCTCTTGTCGGACGCTGTCTCAGACGGCGAGGCAGCTGACATAAAGCTTTGCAGTAAGTACAGTACACACTCTCTGCGCCAGCAAAATGCTCCTCAGCGGCAGAGGGCGTTGCGATGCCTTCTGGCACAACAGCGACGGGCAGGTTCCTGGCACAGAACATGATCGAATTTCGAGGCATTGCGTGTGCCGTGTCCAAGCACTTACCCGTTGCGGCATGTCGCAATATGGGGACTTTGATACTCCTGGCGCTGCTCTGCTTCGACGATGCAAACCGCTACGAGAACCCTGCGCTCCTGAAACTATCGCAAGCGTCGTGCACAGTGCAAAGCTTGCTAACGAATTGCTAGGTTGGAAAGACAGATCAGCCGACGTCGAAAGAAACACCTCCTAGGCATCGCCGTTCTGAACTCAAACCGAGTTTGAGTACAGCTTCCCGCAAGCCTGCGCTGAGCGCCGCTGCAGAGTCTCAACCGGTTCCTGCTCTATATCGCACCTCATTCGTGCGTTAGCGATTGTTTCGTCATCGCGCTCAAACGCTGCAGCCGGCCCGAAGAGCGGATCCCATTGCCTCGAAAGCTTTGGCCAGCTCCGTTCCATCGGCACGCGGGCAACGGTCTAGGTGTCTTGACATCTATCACAAATTGACTTGCGACGCAGAGCGTCGTTGGTTCTGGTCTGCGCCAAGCGCGACGAGTAGACCATCCAAGGGCGAAATTCGCAGGCACTGAAGAACGACACTCGGTCATCTCAATGACCTCTGTGATGAAGATGGAGCAAGGTAAGCTAAGGTGCGGATCCTAGCACATGCAGCGTACATTCTCGAGCCCACCACCCCCATTGCCATTCGTCCACACAGGGCCGATGCATCACAGATTGGCAGAAAGCGACCAGGCATCTCACAAGCCCAGTTTGCGTTACGTCTGATGTGCAACGACGTCGAACTGCCCCAGGCGTTTGTTCGGCGTCGAAGAACATCTGTGTGAACGCAAACAGCTGGCATCAGCAGCAGCGTTGTGCAACGCTGGGCGGCGCAACGATCTCACGTGCGGAGGCGCACTCAACGGTCGGCAGCGCTGCATCCAATATCTGCAGTGCTGTTATCGCTCTGCAGGAGTCGGCCGTGGCGGCGCTGCAACGGGAGACGCCATGCTAACGTGTCGACGCAGGACCCATGCTCCAGCAGTACATTCCTCCCGTTCCGATCGATCATCATTCTCATCTTTCGGAACACGACTACAGCGACCAATACGCCGGCCACGCACACTCCACGTACACGACGAGCGGCGCTGTCGACCACCTGCGCCGCCACGGCTCCGCTTCCATCCAGACGCCCGCCCCGTTCGCATTCCCCGGCGCAAATGGCGGCGCTGGAGCTCGCTTCGACCCGGCTCGCGGCGTGGCGCCAGAGAGCAGCAGCAGGTAAGTGCAGCGTGCTCTCCTATTATTGGCGCTGGATGAGGCGAG